ACAATAATTCATCATGAATAATAAGAGAGAGAGATTATCATTACCATTAATCTTTGTAAAGAGAGAGACAATTTAATCACAATTAATGAGTTAATCAAATTGTTGTTTTGGTTAATCAAAATCAAATGTGATTTATGTTCAACAAACACATTAGATTATCATTGAAATTGGGTTAAGGTGAAAATTGAACAAAAAAATAGGTGTGATTGGAACTGAATATGAATGAAAAAAAGACTATCATGCAACTGAATCATTACCATGAATTCATGATTAGCAAAATATAATCATTAAGGTAATGCTTTTTTTAGAAAAGGAAATAGATTAATAAACTGTATCCGGTTATGAGTTTAACTTTTTTTTGAATAATAATTAACTAATATTCATCATTGATAATTAAATGTTAATTTATTTTTCCAACATTAAAATCTATTAACAATCTAATTATGTCCTACTTTTAATCAACAAATCAGAGTTAATCATATTACCATGAATTGATTGTAATTTAATAATAATAATAATGTTGTTGGTTAATTGTAATCATTTTGTTTTTTTTTTCTCAGGCAAACATTTGAATATTATTTCATTGTGATGATATGAATCAGCCTGAGGGCAAATTTGATTATCACAATCATAAAGTGTTAAGTGTTCAATATATATTAACACAAGTGATAATATTAAGTTATCATATTATGTTAAGAAATGACCTTAGGCTATTTTCATATTACAATTGATTGTTTGAATAATGATTTGGCTAAATGATGAAGATGATTAATATTATTGTAATAATAACTGAGATTCCCAATTGAATCTAATGGTAAACAATTAGTTAAATGTGTTGATTAGATTGACAAACTTTAAGACGTTTTGTCCAATACACTTATGAAAGATGCTAACGGTAAATATATTAACTTTTTTGTTCGGTGACAAAATTGATTGACTTGTTTGTGGTTAATATTATCATCGCTTTTTTTTACCACCCACTTCCTCATTTTCCTCATCTTTATCACCAGTAACTGATTAGTTAATGAAGAAAAAGAAGATGATGAAGATGAGAACTGTCAAAAATTCGAGCAACATCTTTTTCGACTCTTTCTCCTTCTATGTTTCTCTAACCACAGTCTCTTTTGAGAGATGATTGATGAAGAAAATTAATAAAATAGAATATCCTAGTTTTCCATCCTCATCCTCATCACCATCATCATCATCATTATCTTCATTTTCATCTTCATCCCAACTCGTTAATCCGAATCAAAGCCTCTTACCTTAATTGTCTCTTCACTAAATCAAATGAGATTAACAAAAGTTACTTGATAATAATAAGCAGAAAAACAGAATCAAAACCAAATCCGAATCAATTGATTGTCGTTTTATTTGTTGTTGTTTTTTTACCCGAAAATTTTAATGGTAACAATTATCTAACAATTAATTGCAATCAACTAATCATCTGTTTCAACACTGATGCAATATAATTTCAATTAACTTGATGATCAACATAAAGTAACAAAAAAAAACCTTAACGTTAATAACAGTATATTATGATTACCATGATGATATTAATGATTGAACATAATTAAGGTTTAATAAACTAAGAGTCTGGTTAACTTATATACATTGGGTTATGTTGATTAAGTTGATTATGATGATGAGTCAGTAAATATGGTTTTTACATCTTCCACTAACTTGATTATTAGACTTTTGTTGATTAGATTTTTGTGATTATTATGATGATCAATTTTCAAGATACAGTCAACTTATCATCTTCATCTTCATCTTCATCTTCATCCTCATCCTTAGCATCCTCAGCATCTTCATCATCTTGTCTCTCCAGAGCAACGACATGACAACCTAAATGTTTACATTTTATCATAAACACTGCCAATGATCAATCTGATTGTTGTATTAGTTATGATTATGATGATAATTCAATCATCTTTCAATGAACTAATAGTGATCATAATCAAAGTAATGAGTGAATTAAATTTAATTGATTATTATTTAGCTTAAATGTTTCAAGAATTTGTTTATTATTATTATTATTTTTTATTATCTCTTTTTATTTCAATTTGGGAATTGATTAAATGGGATATTGATTAGTTTTCTTAAACCATTTGGATTTGATTGTTGTTACAACAATTTACTGTTATTATTATTACAGATTAATTAACTTTTTCCCCCTTCCCTTGTTATTATTATATTAAATCTAATTGGAAAGGATTAACTATAAGTTTAAATTGTTTCTCTGACAATTATTGTTAACTTTAATACACTTTGGTTAATAATCTGATTTCAATTCTTAATCCGATTAGATTTTATCGTAATCAGTGATTTAATTTTAATCAACATTATTTTCCAACTTTATCAACAATTGAGTTGAGTTGATTATAACGCTTTGATTGTAATCAATTGCAATTAAATGTTAATTATGATCAAGATTTTTCTTTCTTTAATCGCGTTTACTGATAATAATTAAGATTGTACAGTTAATTGTTGGCAATAATCATCGTATTATCATGAAATTTAGACTATTATTATTACATTTTATCATGAAATTAATCAGAACTTATCAAATTATCGTTGTTATTATTTTCGGGGAATCAAATTTCATGAAAAGTGAGGCAAATTTTGATAATCCAACCTTGAAATAGAATCGTTTTCAATTTCAATTGGATAGTAATAATAATAACTGTGAATGAATCAGTCAGATAGCATGATATTCAAATCAGACTGATTAATTGATTGAGATAATGGTTTTAGTCCAGTGAGTAAAAATTTTCCAGGAAAAAAGTTCATCCTTCATTTGAGATGTTGTTTCCAAGTGGAGGGAAATTTTCATGATAGTTACTTTACCTGGAAATATATTATACACCATGAGTTTACCTTTTTTTTCATATATCACATTTCGTAAGGTAACATGTTAATCTTATTTTTCCATCATCTTCTTGTTGTATTCCAAGAATCTACATCTTCATGATGATGAAAATCACAGGTAAAAACAACAACATTCTGGAATCAAAGATAATGAAGGTGTAAAGGAATCTGAATGTTGTTGAAATGAAAAGATAACCATTCATCATGATCAACTTGAAGATTCCCTGGTGAGACTTATTGACCTTTTCTTTGGATGAACCTTTGGCCCTCTGATTGTTCAGAGTTCTGAACTTTCCATCATCACCATCATCATCTTTTACCTGAGAGAGAGTCAGAGACAGAGACAGACAGAGAGAGAGGTCGCAAGAAATAGTTTCCATCTACATTTCAATTCAATTCTAACCTGTAATAATATCAAATAACCATTACCATCATCAGAATCAGAATCATTATTATCACCATGATGATGATTACGATGATGAAGATAAACATGAGGACACAATGGAAACAGTTTCTCTTGCAATTCCTAAGTATTAATGTGGATGAATTTTCCCTCGTCTTCCTTTATTTATGTCCCATTATTTTCCTATTCAAATTCCCAATGGAATTCAGAATCTTCACCCTTATCATTATCATCATGCTATCGACAATATGATCACTTTCATCAATATTGTCGTTTAGGAATTAATTTCAACTAAATTGAAGGAGAAAAAAAAAGTTAAATCAAATTCATTTTCGTGGTAAAACTTGTTGTTATCTTAATTTGATTACTTTCAAAGTCAATCAATTACAACAATCAAATATGTTTGATACTGTAATTGATTAATTAGATTACAAATCAATCATCAATTCCCATCGATAAAAATTGAAGAAAGTTTCAATTTTCATGTATCATCATTTGAATTTCCTCATCATCTTAAACTGCCCCATCAAAGTGTCATAAAAAAGTGATGATAATGGTCAATTCAAGTAATCGAAATGTATATGAAAAAAAAATTCTATCATCGATTGACCCTCAGGGTGTTGGAGGAAATTTTTTCCACCTCATGAATGAATTGAAACTGAAAACCATGATAATATTAACACTATTATCATCAGTTTCATGGTGTTATTGTTATTTTTATTTCTCCATTGTATCATCATTGTTATCGTTGACCTTTCACTGTCCAGCCTCTTTCTGTCTCTCTCAAGAGAGAGAGAGAGAGCAATAGAGAGGCTAAAGGTTATCTAAGAACATTAGAAAAAAAAGTTTTCTTTTTACCTGTAACCAATTTCATCATTATTATTGTTGTTGTTGTTTCTATCATGAGTGTTAAATGTATAAATGTAACTTGAAACACTTTTATCATAATTAAATTGAAGATGAAAAAAGTTTCAAACTACTCCCATTTTCACTCCCATTCATATTGATTCTGTTGATATTCAGTGTTGATTAATCAATAGGAATCACTCCCTGATATCATTGGACATCAGTGCAATATGTTTTGATTAATTATCAGTTAATCAAACATTGATTGTTGAGAATCAGATAAGATTAATGTTTGTTGTTGTTGTTTCCCATGTATCATCAGGGTTATCACACAGATTCACTTTCATGATAATATGTAAAAGGATAAAGATGAGGATGAAGATGAAGATATTTCTAGTGGATAATATGGTTTACCTCAGAAAGAGAGCACTCGAGAATTTGTTTATCTTTTTCTCTTTCTTTTATTGTTCTTTTCTCTCTCTCTCTCTCTCTCTCTCTCTCTCTCTCTGAGTTTACCTATGGATTGGAAACAGTTCATCATAAATGTTTATCTACTTTCCAGTCTGAATTATCCTGCAGGGTGAATCGGAAATGGTTTACTTTTCCATCTTCATTATTATCAATAAAGTTTAAAGGGCTTTCAATTAGATGCCCTCGGGGTAAAAACAACATTCACTCATAAGTCAATAGTTTAGATATAAAATGTTTTTAATGAATAAATTTATTAATCATCAACTGATTAACTCATTTTGATTGTTGAACAAACATTAAATTAGATTACATTTTAGGATTCGTATTTGGGATTAAATTAACGTTTAACCAATGAAATATATCATCATAATTTTTAAATTGTAAGTTAATTGTTGTTGATTCTTAAACTTACCAAATAATGAGATTACATTTTGTAGCTTAATTAATGTTGTTGTTGTTGATGGTGATGAAGATGAGGATGAATGGGATGATGATAACGGTATAAATGATAACCAACACATTCAATCACTTTAATACTATTAATCAATATAGAGAAGGAAAAAAATTTGATCTGATATTTTGACGATTGGATTAAAAGTTAATTGTTAATCTTACAATTGGCTTATTGTTATTACTATTGTTGTTGTTGGTATAATTGCCGGTTTCCGGGGAGGATTTCAACTTGGATAACATGGATGTCATCAATTCAGGAAAAGGAAAAGATGATGAAGATAATGATTAAAACTTATGATGATGATGATGATAAACAGATGATGATGATAAGTGATGGACAAACAAATGATTGTATTGGCCTAGATTAATATCAAACACGATGATCATGTTGATGAAACAAGAATAGTTTTCAAAGTGAAATAGATTCGAGGAAGAAAAAAAAAGTGAGCAATTGATGAGGAAAAAGAGATGAAGATGAAAACGAAAGAGAAAGAGAGAGAGAGAGAGAGAGAGAGAGAGAAAGAGACATTTTCTCCCATAGATTTGCTCTTGCGCTTTTCCAATCATTTTTATCATCAATTTATTTGATTCTCTGATTGTTGTTACAATGATTATCTAATTAATTTCACGGAAATCAGAGATGAGATAATCATAGTTACATTTAATTGTTGAGGTGATAAAAAGCACAATTATCTTACCTCAGTTTCGTTTAAAAGGTTGATTGTTTTTTCTCGTAATCAAATTTTATGTATGATAACAATTAACACTTGATCAGTTAAAGTGATTAAGTTTTTTTTCTTCTTCTGGTTGATTGTGACAATTAATTTCTTATGTTTTTTTTGCTTTCATTTCGTTTTTTACACTTCTTGCTTGGAGTAGCAATTAATTCATCAATCAACGTCTTTACATTTTGCTTTTATTTTCTTATAGACTTTCAATTGAGTTTCGTTTTTCATTTCTTAATATAACACATTGAGATATATATTAAGATACAATTAATAATAATAATTTTTTCTTGTAATAATATTAATAATAATAATAATAGTGATACAATCAACAACACATATAAAACCTACAAAGATGATAAGCGGACATAATGACGAATGATCTTCTTCAAGGTTTCTCTGTCCATTTGCTTGATATTTTACTTTCTTTTTTTCTTTCTCTTTTTTCTTGATTCTTTTTTCCAACGATGAGCATGGTAGTTGATGAAGATGAAGATGATAGTGATGATGTTTGGTGGAGGTGGTGGTGGTGGTGGATTTCATGATGATATCGGTGATAATGGTGGTGATGATGATGAGGCCATAACCATAGTCTCTGGGACCAGAAAATTGTTTTGTTTTGTTGTTTTGTTGTTGTTGAGATTTAAGTTCCAGAGGCAAGGGAAGTGGTTCCATCTTTGGATACAATTAATTTTAAACCAATTTCTTGATCATCTGGACTATTAAACCTTTCCAAATTGGTTTCTTCGACTAATTGATTGATTAATTGAACAGAATCTATACGCGTTGAATAGCAATCATTATCTAACGGTATATCCCTAATATCTAATTTTAATTGTGTTGATGTTTCATCATCTATGGCACTATTAGGACAACCGTCGGCTAATGATGATAAACCATCACCATCTAGACTGTTTGTTTTATCTCCTCTACCACCGCCACCACTTCCAACCAAAATGTTGGTTGTTACCTCGGACAGTGAATCATTACGATAAAGTGGAGGATAAAGTGGCATCGTTGATGATAATGGTCTTTTAAATAAAGGATCACCACATAGAAGGGTCATCTCAATAGTCACTTTAAGGGTTGAATTATCTTGTCTAGAATTTTTGTTGTCATATCCTTCCAAAAGGTATCTTTTGGTTATCTGTCCGGAGCCTGCAAATTCTGCTAAATCCAGTTCAACAAAACCAAGCTTTTGAGATGAGCGACCTCCTTTGACTTCCTACAGGATTGTAAAAGTATATTTAAGATATGGATACCAAGCGAGAGAGAAAGAGACACAAGATGATAATAAACACCGGTAACATTGAGAGATAATAAAGAAATAAGAGAAAAATAAAAGAAAAACAGGGTTAGAGAAATTGATTACTTTGGTTTCGGTTTATATAACATTGAAATTTTATATCAATAACCATCATCATAATAATCTAATAATAATAATGATGATGACGAGGGTAATGGTGATGATGATGATGGTGGTGGTTGTGGTTGTAGTACTGATAATGGTAATGGTGATGTTATTGATAATTTTTCAATGTTTTTTTATATTCACTCTTCTTTTTTTTGGTTGAATATTTTACCTTACGAACAGATAATCGAAGGAGAGTCGAGTCAAGAATACCGTTAGATGGGTTTGCACTCATTTTACAATTGAAATCAAATTTAGAGTTCCATTTAACTTTATGGTCTTTTACTTCTTCCCTGTTTGAAAAAATAACAAAATAAGAGAGAGAGAAGCAAAAAATTAGAATAGAAAATGACAAAAAATATGTAATTTGAATAATGGATATAGGGAACCAACAAAAAGAAAACAACAAGAGGAGGAGGATCCGAAGAAGAAGAAAAGAGAGAAAAAGAGTAAAAAAAGAGTAAAAAAGAAAGAGAGTAAAAAGGTTGAGACAAGTGAATGAATAAAAAGGGTCAAAATTTGTTGGAAAAGGAATAAACTAATCATCAGTTTAGAATAGAATTTAAAGAAGAAATCGAAATTCTTACCTAGGAGAAATATAATGGAACGATCCTCCTTCGAGAAGGCGACATTTAACAAAAATCTGTCCAGTTACAAATGGAACTGAACTCAATTCTTCCAAGGTAAATGACACAACAAATTTATACTTCTTTTTTCTCATTAAAAATGTCATCCTTACAATGGAGAAATTGAGTTAAAAGATTAATACACTATTCTAATTAACCCAATTAATGATGATTTTAATAAATAGAAATGATTTAAATGATGATTGTTGCTCAATGAAAGATAAACAAAAAATATTAACTCACTGGTTACATTGGAGATACTGGTTAACATTATGAGAGAAAAAATTCTTCACTCACCTGCTGCCATCTGGCGAATTTTCTAGAAAAAGAATATCGGATATTCGAGATCCGAATCTTGATCTGTTTTCGATACTTTTTGAGGGAAACATGTGTTGGGTTTTAATTGTTTCGAGTTTATTTGATTGTGATTAACTTTTTTCTTCTCTTTTTTTGGTTTCACAATTGTTTTTGACAATTTGAATCTTTTTAGTTTTTGTTTTATTCGTTCAATGTCTTATAACTTATTACAACTTTGTATCAATGACTGAAATGTTTTTGGATTTTGATTGTTATTTTTTGTTGTTTTGATAACAATCAACCTTTTACAATCAGATGATTTAATATTATAATATTATAGTTTGATTTTTGTTAAAACTGGTATGAGAAATGTATGATGTTATTTGATGATATGAGAGGTTTGCTTTCGTTTGCAACATTTTCATGATAATTTAAAAATAGTATTTTTATCAAATGTGTTCATGTGATTGTTGGTGAGATATGAAGAAACAGAATTTAATATCTTTGATCCAGATCTTTCAGAAGAAATCACTTTATCTTTTATATATATTTGTGTCACCAACCAAATGAATTAACTGTCAATTATACCCAAAGTCCGAAATAAATTATGGTAATTACAGTATTATTGTTAGGAGGAGGAAAAAAACTCGATTACCAGAGAAGTTTTTCAATGTCTTTCGTTGCGTTGGCCAATAGTCGGATGAAGAGGTTGATTATTTTAGAGAAATAGAGAAAGGTGATTAATTGTCGGGCCGATTTAACTTGCTTCTCTTGTTTTCTTCCTGTTGGTGTTGGGGTGTAAACATGAGCCACATAAATGTTTTGTTGATATGTTTTTTATGACAATGATGAATGAAATTAAAATTAATAATAATAACTGGGGTGATAATATTAATGGCCTTTTATCATCTTCTTTTTAACTCTTCCTTAATCAAGTTCCCTCAATTTCCTGTACATACTTTGAACGTAAGTAAAGACACATTTCCAATCTGGTTTATCTTTCATCAATATCATATCATCAGTATCAAGAAGAGGAGCAATATCTGCTTTGTCTCTGTGTGGATATAAAGAGGAGAGAAAATAATAAAATATTAGAAAATTAAAGAGAACATTAAATTAATTATAGAATTATAATGTAAGCAATGTTATGATTAATGTTCTATTGGAAAGTAAACAGCCAATTCGATAGTAATTATTTACTATTTATGATGATTCCAAAACTTACTCAGCAGTTTTAAAGGCAAGGTCAAAATTAGATCGACGATTCTTGGGATCCAAGGTGCTAAAGTCAAATGCATCCGGATAATAATGATGGATAAGTGCACAAAAAGCCATCCCATCACACCAAGAAGATGAGAAATTAACAATATTAACATGCTGAGGAAAGAAAAGAGAAAGGAAATAATTAGAAATCAAATTTCGATGGCAAGTTTCATATGTCGTAACGAGAATCTCGTTATCCTAAAAAAATTATTTAATTGAGTTGAACGTAACGAGAAGATGAGATTGGATTATTGTTTGAGAAATCGTTGTTGCTGTTGTTGTTGTTGATGATTGTTCATCATGTATAAGTCAACAATCAGAAAATAGTTCATTTGATTTACCAAATAAACAATAAAAACTTCACCCTTGGTGTTGGGTGTATCGACCATGTTTAGTTTAAAAAAAGAGGCAATAAAATCAAGTTCAATTTTTCTAATCCTCATCTTGAAATCACCCATCCTGTCATCACCTTAAAGCTTTTGTTTGATAATGGAGGGAAAGGTTAAAAGAATTGATTGTTGGATTTCAATTGATGATTGACATTGGTTAAAGTGGAAATCATCTCACCAATCAATAAATTGAGTTATAAATCTTTAACCTTAACCAAAAGTGTAGATGATCAACGTTACCCAATTTCAATAAAATCTTTTCCCTCCCTTTCTCTGTTTGTATTAATAGACTAACAGAAAAGAGCAGATAAAATGAAAGACTCACCGGGTACCCGGAAGTCTTTGTTTGACACCAGCGTAACAACATATCTTTAACATCAGTACCACTTCGTGCAACTGGACCAAACCTTGTTCTTGTCCTGTAAGAATAAAAAAAAGAGAGAGAGAGAAAAAAAAGAGAAAATAAAACCAACCAAAAAATGACCCAAACACAAAGTGAAAAAGAATAGAAAACAAGCCCAACATGAAAAAGAAAATGGACGATCAACGAAAGCTTTTCTCTCGCTTCCACCGAAACGATTCCCTTCAACATAAACCACTAAACCTATAAAACACTATCGACAAAACCACCGATCAATTTGACAAATAAAATTTCGACAATAAAATCAGAAAAAAAGACAAAAGAAAAAGAAAAGAAAAAAACACTTACACTGTGGTTTTGGTCTCCATGTCCATTTGCTTGAATTTGGCAAAAGCGTTAACAGTTGTGGTAACACAAGTGGATTTCGATTCAACATGATTAGTTGATTGTGCCAACCATCTACCCGACATGTTGATGGAATCAAAGAAAATATCAAATCTGTAAGTAGACAAATTAAAACAATTCAAATGAAAAAGAACAATTAAAAAGGTAACAAGTGAATAATTTTTTTCTCTCTAATGGATTAACTCACTTGTCGCTTTTGGCGCTACTGTAACAAAGGGTTAGAGTTTCTTTCGACTTCTCTGTCTATTTTTCTCTTTTCGGTTTTTCTGTTGAGAATAAATCAAAATGATTAACGTTTATCTTTTTAATTCTTTGAAAATTTCTCTCAATTTGAACGGTGATTAAATTAATTAGAGAAGGTGATTTATGGATTATTTGACTATAACCATCAGTTAATTACTTTTTAAATGGTTAAAAAATGATTAGAAAGGTTGGTTAACTGTTTCGCTTTTCAAGTGTAACTGTTTTTCATTTTCCTTTTCTCTTTGCTAATTTTTTTATTCTTCATCTTTTTTTTCTCTCGTTTAATTTTATCTTCATCATCTTCTTGTGATTTCTTGTTCTTTTTTCATCATCATCATCATTTTGTTGCCCTTGTGTTCCATTTGGTTTGTGTTATTTACCTTGAACAAATTGTCTGATATATTGACATGCGATTGATTTGTAACTGAAACTAAATTTTCTGTTTTCTTTTTTTTTCTTCTTTATTCTCTTTCACAGTTCCAGGATCAATTCTCATGGATGAATGTCAAGAATAAGAAAATATAAAAGATTATGCTGATCAATACCTTCTATTTGCTTATCTTTCTCTTACCAGTATCATTATCGTCATCGACATCATCATTTTCAGCATCATCAATATTGTCATGATACTGTGACTTTAAGATTGAAACTGATTTATAATTGGTGACAGTTTTTCAATATTTTGGCTTTACAATTGGTGTTTATAGAAGTCAATACATACAAAGCTACAAGTGTCTTTTTAGTCAATAGCTAATAGACTTTTCTAATCTACTAATTTGTGTATTATTATTGCCTCATCAATTCAAATTAACCCGTTAAAGTTGAGATGAAAAATCTACTGAGAGAGGGCGAAAAAATAAACTCTCTTGAGCCAGGATCAATTAACAGAGAAAAGGATGAGGCAACTGTCTGGATCAATCATCTATGAGATTTATATCATCACCATCATCTCTTTCAATCACAGAGAAAGAAAAATGGAGAAGCAAATCTTTAAACGTTTTCTCCTGACGTCTGGTTACATTGGATTCGCTCTCTCATTTTTTTTTCTGCCTTTTTGCGCTCAAACTGCGTATTCTCATCTTTATCTTCATCACTATTATAATAATAATTAACCATCTATTATTATTTCCAGTGTTCGGTGTGTTTACAGTTCATGGAAAGGAGAAGAAAAAAGCTTTGTTTACATTACCCAATGGCTATGGATCAACTATGGGAAAAGAAACATGAAAGAGAAACTGTTGTTTTATTTTTGGGTTTTAAACTTTTTCAGGAAGAACTTTTCTATTTTCTTCTTGAAAAGTTATAAATGGATCGACTCAATGTTTTCCCTCATCATATATCAACAAGATGAAGCGACAATATCCTCACCCCCAACTTTCCATCAAGAAGTGACAACAACAACAATACAAAGAGAGGGAAAATAAGGGAGATAATGTTTACTCATTTATTAGAGAAACAAAAACATCACATGATCCGCATCTTCATCCGCACCATCATTAGAACAATTATAATGGTAACATTTATTGAAAACTCGATTTCTCTCAATTTTCTGTTTCTTTTCCTCTTATACTGATCATTATTTTTCTTCATTTATTTTCTTTGATTGGCAAAACTTGGCTTCGATTGTGACGTTTGTCCAACCCTGTTCTAATTCATGGCCAGGTATTATTCATCATAATCATTATGGGAATCACTTTTAACTCTGCATCTTAATAATAGCAACAAGAATGATGTTTTTTACTTTGTCTATTACGTTGATGACAATAAACTCTACGAGCTGATTGAACATGGTGATGACACAATAAATGATAATCAACAAGTGAAAGTGCCAAAAAGAAAGAAACAAAAAGAGATAATCGAATTGTGAAATATGATATATATCAACCTGATCAGTTCTATAAAATTTGAATATTTTTCTCTTATTTTGATGCTTCGAGTAGGCTGATTATCGAGAAAAATTCAATTACATAGAAACATATTAACTCGGTGATTTACTGAGTTAATTCAAACTCTTTTTCTTTACATTTTCACAATTTTCTAAAATTAATCTATGGCTGATTTTCTGTTTTTGTTTAATTTCTAAACTTTTTCTTGATTCCAATCCAAACCTCGATTTCCATGATAGTTTAGAACTAATTTCTTCCTATTTTCCGCCTACATTGAGTTAAACAATAACGAACTAACAATCAACTTGCTTTATACTTTTTCCATTGTAAACCTTGGCCTAATCTCTATCCAGTCACTATTTCGATAATCTAAACACTCGAAAAGATTAACTAATATTTGAATCATTGATCATGAAAATTAACCAGCAATCACAATTAGTTGAGGTTCTAATGATAATTGATATTGTTTATCGATGAAAAAATCTAAAAATACACCGATACAAATTACGAACTAAAAAGTTGCATCTAATTATTAGATTCTAATAATACTAATATTAACAGATGCACAACAAGAATGACGATAACTAATTATGAAGTAATCAGAATGAATAATGAAACAATTAACAATCAACAGACAATTTAAAAGGTGATCCCTTCAATCAATCAAAAAGTAAAACGAATACAAAAAAAATCCAGAACAACAGAAACAGTTTAAAGAAAATTAATTGTCTCGAATTGTTGATTAAATCACAATTACAATTTCACTGATATTCTCCTAATTAAGTTAATCAATTAGAGATCAATCAATTGTAACAATTAAACTTGAAACTGACCAAAGAAAATCAATTGATAATCAATATTATTTACAGTTAACCAAAGGTAATTGTTTGGATGATCAAGATGATTTTAATTAGTAGGAAGTGAAAATTAACTTACTTTCAAATTGATGAAGATTATTTTTTACAATCAGTTGATTAACTGGATTAATTATTTTAATTGATAATTGTGAACTTGAAGTTGTGAAAAATGAATTGGAGACTTGAGTTTATCTTTTCAATGGGAAAATAAAAGTGAAACAATTAGTTGAACACTAATGTAATTTAGACTATTGAGAAACAATTCAAATCACAAGTAATTAAAGTTGATTGTGATTAAACATCAATGAAGAAGATGAAAAGTAATGAGAAAGAGAGAGAGTTTCTTTCTCCTCTTTATTTTCATTCTTTTACCGCCATCAGGTGGTCATCGAACTAACTATGAATTCTAATTAATTGTCAACAATTAATTAAATTGTTGATCAACATTCAGCTTTTCATGTTATTTGATTGAATTGATTGAATTTCTTTTAATAGATTGGCTATTGTTTTCTGAGGTTTTGTTTTTATAGTTTATTTTAAATGCATTGCATTTACAATTGATTAATAATTTTTACAACTCATTGAGAAAAACATATCTTATTGTTGATTAATTTTAACTTTTTACAATTGAACAATTAGCAAAATAAAATACAATCGGTTTTTATATAAAAATACTAATCGTATTTTGTTATTTTTCATTTGGATAAAAATAACTTGTCATCACAGATGATAAATTTTTTTTCGTTTGGTGATTTTCATTTGATTTAATTATCAAATTGTCGACTATTAATGTTTAACGATTGATGTTTGACTGTTAATTGTGGTTACGCTTACTGAAGAAACGGGTCGTTTTCCTTCACTGTCTTGGCCTTTTTTCCCGCGTCGAAACAATTCTTCGACATTTTCGAGTGTTCGTCCTCGAGTTTCTGGTAATTCGAAGGCAAAATAGATCCAACCGATAATCGCAAAGCAAGAATAAAGGTAGAAAGCTCCGTAACGGGTTATGGCCTTGGTCAGGGAAAGGAAAGTAAGTGAAACGGCCAGATTGAAAGCCCAATTTACGGAAGTAGATATTGAATAACAGGCACTTCGAGCCCAAAAGGGATAAATTTCCGCGTTGATTGTCCAGGGCATTGGTCCCATTCCAGGTGAAAAGAAGAAGAGATAAAGGCAAAGACCCATAATCGTAACCCAAGCGTATTTAGTTGGACACCAACCATAGGCCCAGACCTTTTTTTCGGGAACAATAGTCCCGTTTGAACACATTCCAGTTGCAGATCGACTTATATCCCAAGACGAATCAAGTTCAGTTGAAGGTGCAGCATGTAAACAAGAACCATCGCTCCAGGGAGGATTATCGTTGAAACAGAAACCGCACTCAGGGCGAGCGATACAATCTCGACAAGAGGTTTGGACAGAGCAAAGATCTAAATTTGTTAATTGAGATGAAGAGTTAAATGGCTGCATGGGCTGAATGGAGGGAGATTCATATTCAGCTAATTGGAAACCAGCGGCAAGAACAAGCAGAGAAATTATAACACCGCCCAAAGAGCCAAGGGTCAACTTTCGGCGACCAGTTCGTTCAACAAGGTAAAACCCGAGAAAGCCACAGATAAAGTTAACCGAGGCAACGGCAGCGGCCAACCAAATGGCCAAAGTCTCTTCATAGATACCGGACATTTGAATGATGGTCGCACTGTAATACATCACAGTGTTTATCCCGGAAGCCTGAGCGACCGCTTGCAGAGCACAGCCCACGAAAAGGGCTCGACGTAAGGGCTGAGAAGCTAAAACTTTGGCCAAAACATTGGTACTTGAATTTTGCAAGACTGATTTTTCAGCTTCCTCTATACAATTATCTCTGATCATTTTAAATTCTAATAGGGCTGATTGATCACAACTACGAATTCGGTTCAGAACTTGTTTGGCTCGTTCGTCTTTTCCTTTCTTGATCAACCATCGAGGCGATTCTGGCATGAAAAAAAACCCAACGAACTGTAGGAAAGCGGGTACACCAGCGATTCCCAACATTAATCTAATAGAGAAAAATAAAGAGAAACAAATTAACGAACCGAATTGATTGTTATGATTGAATAAATTGTGGTAAATCTAAATTATATCAATAAATTATGAAAGTGTCAATGATCATTTCAATTGACTTCGGAAAGTTTTATCCTTTGATAACTTGATTGATTGATCGTTCAAAAGTAAACAACTGATCAATACAAAATCAAGATGAAAGTGTTTACAATAAGCAATTTAACATTAATATTGATCATTGGCACCTTAATCAAGATGAACAGAAATTAGACTAATTTAGAATTAAGTAAACGGGATTTCCTTATTAACCAATAATACTATTATTTAATCAACAATTGGGCTAGAAATCAGTAAATCATGTGAACTTAACGATATAATTTACACAATCGATACTGAACAAATACCAATTTGTATTTAAATTAATTCATGATCAAGGTTACATTAGAAATCAAGTTGATTGCCAATGTTGATTATCGAGTAAATTAAATCAACTATTAATAAATTGAAGTTGAAAATAAAGTTAACAATCAAAAATCAAATGTTGTTCAATGGGAACTTCAATAATTTAATGGAAAATTAGTTCAATTGTTTAGTAAGTTGAGTTAAGTAAACAATTAGCGATTTAGATTAGCCGTTTATTGACCTAATTGTGATTACAATTATTGAAATAATTAAGATAATTGCTTATTGTACATTGATTTCCATGTGGAAAATTTTTTGTCAATCATCACCCACATAAAAGTATTTATAACTAACTTTGTTAATTGTTAATCTAATTGTAAAATTAATCTCATTGTATTGAATTACTATCAACAAATAATCATAAACGGAAGACAATATTTTGAAAATTAAATCACTTTTGTAAACAATTAAATTGGTAAATGATACATTAGTTATTAATAACATTGAATATTAGCCAACAAATTAACAATTCACGAGTTAATTGTTGATTGATTGTTAATCATTGTCGCCTGTGAAAGGCGTTTTCAACTGTGTAAATCCAGTTAACTTACATTGATTAACTAATTGTGAAAGTGAAATTTTTGATTACGTTAATTAACAATCACTGATTATTAATCAATGAATTTTGTTCATTACAAAGTAAAAAACAAACCTACCAAGGTTTGATAAATTACTACAATTAAGATATCTGATATGTATTACAATTTGATCAATTTAACTGTGAAATTAAAACTATTCAAGGTTAATTGTTGAACAATTTGTACCATGAAGATGATTAAAAGATACGAATAAGTTAATTTGTAAAGTGTAACCAATGGTAAACAATTGAAGTTATAAAACAATCAAGTAATCAATTAATTATATTGGTGAAAAAAAGTTATAATAATCAACAGGTAGTAGTTGATTGTTTAACTATTACAATTAATTTTGATCATTTCCATTGACCCTCCTCAAGGATAAACAATATTTTTAATCTTAATCAAGATCATCCCGAAAACAATTAATCTTAATTGTAATAAAAGTTCAATGGCAATTAACTGAATGATCAGATAACAATTAAAAGACACTAATGAAGGTAAAAAAGGTGTTTTTCCATTTTGATTGTAGCAATTTAGTATTAAATCACCTTTTTCATTTGAAAATAATCTTGATTATCGTCATCAATTGGATATGAGAGCAACTAAATTCATGATAATCAAATTAAAATCTTGCAATATAATCAAAGACAGTGATTAACCAAATTGAGTGGAAATAGCAACCAACAATTTAGATTAAACTAGGAAAGAGATTGCAATTAAATAAGTCGATTAATTGTCACCAACGTCATGATGAGAATGTAAAATTAATATGGAAGCCAACAATTGTCAATTCCTTGAATTGAAACTACAATTAACACTTAATTGCGGTTGAATAATTAACTGTAGTGTTTTTATTGTAAGACAATCAAGAAGATGATGTTGTTATTATTCAGTTGTTTCAGAGATCAAGAACTTGGATTAAAGTTACTACGAAAAAAAAAACGTAAACAAATTGATAATCTCTCAGTGGGAGAGATTATTTAAATTCTGATTAACCTTTGCGATTATTATTTGATTGATTGTAAAACAGGAACTGAAAAGTTGTGAATTATTGGACTTTTACTGTTGATTTTTATCTCTGAACACGGAACAGGAAAAGTACCAATGATAATTTTAGATGATTAATCATGAAAAGATTTCGGGTTTTCACCATTAAATTAGTGGAGAAAAGAATTTGCAGAAAATTCTGAAAGAATGATGAGTAAAATTCGAGAATTTGTTGATTCTATTTAGAGAATGGGAATAAGTTCTAAGATGATCTATGAATTGATATTTTTTTCTCTTCATGGGAAAAAAGGAGATAACTTTTATTTTCTATTCTAATTATCACATAACATGACATCTTTTTGTTACCAAATGAAAATTGTGAATTGACTAATTTACTTTCTAATTTGAATGATTGAATTAGAGAAAAAGTTTTATTCTGATCATCTGTAAGGTGAATCAACAGATAGTTGTTAATGAGAAGCGGTTAATGACTTACCTCCAAGCGAGATCATGGTCAAAGTAGCTGAGAAATCCAGCTACCAAAGCGGCGACAAACTGACCACCGGTGATGAAACAATTGTTCAGACTGACCAGAGCACCGCGAGTTTCATCTGGTGCAACCTCGGCAATGTACATCGGAACCACCATGGACGCTAATCCAATACCCGCGCCAACAATTCCCCTGCCAATTAGCAAAGTCCATTTTTCAAGAGCAAAGGCCATTACCACGGAACCGGCGGTGAAAATTGCCGAAGCCACTAAGATGACCGGACGTCGGCCAAATTTATCGGTAAAATAACCAGCAAGGCAACTGAACACCCAGGCCATACCGATGGTTATACTAACAATTAACTCTTGCCAAAAGTCACTAAGATGAAGTTGTTTCTTAATTAAGACCATGGCACCAGAAACAATTCCAGTGTCATAGCCAAACAGAAAACCGCCAATGGCGGACAATAGGGACACCGTGTAAACGAAAAAAGGTTGATCTGGTTCCAGTGCCATTGTTTTGCTTTTCGTTTCCAAAATTTACTTGTTATTATCCAAAAGAACGAGATTAAAATCAAGAAGGTGATCAATTGACATTCGAAACAATTAATTAATTCACTTGAGAGGGAAAACCATCAACATGGAACAAGAAAATTAAACTTTAATTCTAGGTAAATGTTTCCACCAAAAGGACAAGATGACAAGTAGTTGAACGTGTTAAGTAAACCAACTGATTGTAAATAGAGACGAGGGAGAGAGAGAGAGAGAAAGAAAGAGAGAAGATGATAAATATTTTCTCTTTCTTTTCTAAAAGAGAGCAATAGAGAAAGAGGGAGAGAGAAGATAAAAGTGATAGGAATTTTTTTCGATTTTAATCCTAATCTTGTATTTTTTTCCATCAATGGAAATTAGTTAATTGTTACATCGTCATCGATGGTAATCAACAAATTGTCAATTCACGAAATTTAATCATGAAAATCAATTGTTATTCACTTTTCATCAATGGTCATTGATTTAGTTTCTATTACAATGAAGATAATTGTCTTAATTGATTCAATATAAATCATTGAGAATCGTGAGATAATTACAAGTACAGATTAACCTAGTTGACGATTAGTTAATTGTCTAATTGATTGTTTCATTTCTCTCTCTTAATTGAAATCAAATTGAAACTTTTTATATTTAATCAATTTAACAATGTCGCTCCTAGAATGATGTTTGTGTTAATTGTTCAAGGATTTTGTCGATAAATTTGTTTTAATTGTTTATCAACAATCAATAGTTTTTCAATGTACAGAAAAAGTTGCTAGATTAAATCTAATCAATGTGAATATGTTCATCATTTGGTAAAATCAGTTAATTACCAACTAGAAAAATCAATTAGTTAATTTTTCGGTTGATTAATGAAAATAGTAATACTTAAGAATCAAGGGAAGAGTTAATTTCAATCAATGAGATTTAATTAATTAAATTGTTCGAGGAGGGAAAGTAAATCATTATCGATATCAAGTTTAATTGTTAGAGTTAATTAATAGCAATCAAACTGTTGATTAAGAGAAAATAGTTCAAGATTAACAATAATCGTAATTAGATTATCATTTTGGGTACAAAACAATTTAACCACGATTACTGTTGATGGTTAGAAAGTTAATTAGTGAAAACAAGTGGTAACAATTAGCATTCAAAGAAAATTTAATTTCGTAATAATAATTGAGCGATTCAAATATAGCAATCAAGTAAATAATCAGTTACATAATCAGTAAGTTATAATTCAAGTTGTAATAATAATAATCCATAGGCGATAAATTTGTAATATGGTCATAACAATCAACATATAATCAATGTTGATTATATGTTGATTGTTATGACCATATTACCACTGGACGGATTAAAGGTAAACTAGATCCAGGTAAATAATGAAGATTAAGGGATTAAAGTTGATTAGATTAAAAATTTTTATCCTTGGCCAAAGTGTTCAAGGCACAAAGCACGAGGGCGAGTCGCTCTTTCCGTTTGTTCATTCTGTCTTTGGCCAATTCGTCCTCGTTGACCGTAAATGACCAGCCATCAACAATCAAATTAAATCGTTTCTTTCCCTTTTTCGAGTCACTAATTGGCTCTTTTATAAATCTATTGTGAAAAATAGAGAATTAAAGAAAACAATCAAAACAAGTTGACAATTAAAATTCGAAATTATTTGAATCGTAAGAAACTTACTTCGAATTGGGAAAAGCTTCGAATAGTCGAACCGTTGGATTTTTTGGGACATTGGCACAGAAAAATTCTAAAAAAAATAAGAAGAAAATTCAGTTAATTATAATTCATCTTAATTCTTAATCAATATTACTCACCGATCTCATTTCCAAAGAATTTCGAATAAACTTTCCAAACAGTGGCCAAAGAGTTGTCACTGTCCAGGTAAATAGCACCTGCGATTGACTCGAAAATGTCACCAAGAGCTTTTGGTGGATCGATCACTATATCGGTGTCCAAACTGTCCAAGTTTTCGAGGAGGAAAGATCCAAGTTTAACTTTATCTCCAGCGAAAAGATCATTGTTGATAAGTTGTTGACGGAACTCGACAATAGCAGAGTAGAGGGTTGATGACGAATGGAAGATAAATTTATTGAACTCGTTGACCAAAGAAATTGTTGCGAAATAATCATTGTTGACCAACGCTTGACGAATATAAGTTACATCGCCTGGAGTCAAATGTTGGTAATTTGGATGATCGTAAATATAAGCAGTAATCAAATAATCAAGAACAGCATCACCGATAAATTCGAGACGCTGGTAACTGTTCAAACGAGATCGACACCAAGAAGGGTGAGTCAGAGCCTCGATCAATAGATCTTTTCGTTTGAAAACATAGCCAAGCTTATTCTCTAACAAGAAGAGATTCGAAGACTTCCAAATTTTATTAATCTCTTCAGGATTTTCCATCGGAAGGATTTCGTTGTAAGTTGGTAACCACTTGTTACCTCGCGATGAACTCGAAGACGACGGACAATCGGATGTCTCTAGGGTGGTTAACGGCATTCCAAGCCAACAAAGGAATTGAATAGCTGCATCTTCACCTAAACAGGTTAGATGAGCCCCGATCATACCCTCGACCATGTCAGCGATACTTTTATCAGAAATTTCTTGCTCGGTAAACTCTCGATTTGCAGATGAATAGAATGGTGGTAACCAATTAGCTCGAGGATAAAATGTTCTGTCACAAATATGTTGAGCTAATCCTTTCGATCGACCAAGATGAAGAAGATTAAAGTTCGAGATTAGGGTCATCTTTAGAAAAGTAATTCGTGCTTCGTTCAAATCGTACAGTTTGAGAAAAAGAAATGATGATACGATGTATTTAAGGAAAGAATCGCCAATGATTTCTAATCGTTCCAAGTTGATGAACGGATTGTGCTTCTTCGTGGTCATCGCTTCGATAATAAGTTCAATTGGTAGGCCATATTTGTAAGTAGATGAATGGTCTTGATAAATAGAATTTGTTGAAATGATTAGACTGTTCTCTAGGTTGAAATCGTTAAGTTTAATAGAATCGGCGACCATTTTTTCAATCTCGTCGTTTTCTAGCCTTTCTAGTCTTAGTGATTTATCTCCAAGTTGCTGACCAATCTTTTTAATGTCGCAGTTTATTTTAATACCTCTGTCAGTCCATTTGACTGGGGCGATAGCGGGTGCAGGTTTAGCACTGAATATGGTCGCTCTGTTGGTCTGGAAGATTTCGATCGCGTCATTTGGGTCGTTTTTGGCAGAGTTTTGTCTTTCAAGTACTTCAGGGTTGAATTCTTTAGATTTATTGTGATTTTCAATCGAATCTTCGGAATCATCTTCAAAATCTGACAATTCTTCATATTCATCTTCATCACTGTCTTCAGTTGGGAAAGTTTCATCATCCAGACCTTCAAACTTATCCAATGATAATGTAGATGCAGTAAGGTTGGTCTTTTCTTGTAGTTTGTAGTAGCGTTTACAAGTGACATATGAAAGATCAACAGGTTTGGTTGAATGGGAGACATTATTCACCTCGACTTTGAGTGGGATAAAATTAGTGAATCGTTGACACTTCCAAGTCATCTTCACATTAGCAGGTATGTCAACCAAACCATAACCAATCTCTGAGCAAAGGCGCTTACGGATTTCACTTGCAATCAAACATCTATTGAGAGCCGATGAAATGGCTGGTATTGTGTAAGCGATTTCGACACAATAGCCTGAAAAAAATTCAAATTGACATATTTCGGGAATGAGGTGGACCAACTTCAGATTTTTCAATGATTTTACGCTTGGCTTATTGGGTTGCGACGGGAAATAAGTTCGGGTCGGTGCTGGGTAACAGGCCAAAAGTGGTTGATTTTCATTTAGAGAAGGCACTTGGTAAGTCTCTCGATAATAATCTTCATAATCAGCGAAACCAGAATTGTCGACAGGGAATTTAGATTTTGGTGACAACTCGTAATCAACACTTTCCACCAAAAACAATCCTCTCCTATTCGGACCATAGTTCTTACTAATCAAGGCACCAGGTAGATTTGGGTAATCTTTAGATTCAATTGGTCGTCGATTGTATGATTGCTTGATAATTGAAAAGTCGATTGAGTTTTCATCGGTTAAGAAGGCGAATAACAAGTGATAAGGAGAAACCGCTGAAGTAAAAAAGATCTTTGACTTGAGTCTTTCAGAATCGAGACCGATCTTTAAACAACCGGAGAATATGAACTCTTGAAAGTTTTTTAGATTTTCGAGTTCTCGTTCCTTCAAGACAAAGTTTCTAATCAACTCGAATGATACTTTCAGTTGATCTTTAGTCGAGTAGATTGACATTTTATCACCAATCTCATCAAGGAAGTAAATTAAACGAAATCAATCCCAAATCTCCAAAATGGATCGATTGACCACCTGTTACTTTTGTTAAGGTCACTTTATAAAGCCAACAAGGTGAATCCATAGATTGATAACCTGTTAGAACTTTCGAATAGACCAAACCATATCGACGACGCTTCTTGTGAGTACCAGGTTTTGGTGGCAATTCTGGTGCTTCTCGTTTATTGTTGCCATTTATCTCGTTTTCCTCTCTCCAAACTTTTCGAATTGAGTTACATTCTTTTTCCCAATCTTTGAGTTCAGTTCGATCCGTCTTCAGGTTGTACTTTTCTATAAGTTTATCCAAGATAATTTTACTGTCCAAAGGTCGAAAACCACCGTCCAACTCTTCATGAGCCCAAAGGATTTTAACTGCTTCATAATAAGCGTCCATTTCTGCTAATTGTTTATCCAATTGCTTTCTACCGGAAATGATCAACTTGTGAAGTGGTGATATTTTCGGTAGCTTCAAGTGGCAACGATAGAGTTTGGACTCAGTTAATGTGGAAGGATAAATTTTCTCAGTGTTGATCTTTGGCACTTTTCTGGTAAAAGCATCGGCAGGTAAATGATCACAATAGAAAATGACTCGATTTTTACTCTCACTGTAAGGTAAGATTCCACCTTCAGTTGATCTCAAAAATTCTTCACCATTCGAGTTTAAAAGGTCACTTGAAAAGTCGGGCTTTTGATAATTGGGAAGTCGCTTCTCAGTAAGATGATACATATTGATAGTGTTCTTCACTTCAATTTTCTGATCTTCTGGTGCAAAGAAAACAAAATAAGCTTGAGTACTTCGAGCACGTCCTTTACTTTGTACATAAGCTCGAAACGTGCTAGCTGGATCATAGCGAATGATCAAGTTACAATGTGTGATATCGAGACCCTCTTCAAGCACTGATGTTGACACGATAATGTTGAGGTTTCGTTTCTTGAAATCTTCGATTGTATTTGGTTGTCGAGACCTCAAGGAAGAATTGAACGGAAATGGTGCAGTTGTAGATGAACCAACGGTGAAAGAAGACTTGATGAAACTGTATTCGGGTATCGATGCGGCGATTGCGTTCAACCACTTTGATAAAACCATAGCATCAAGTCGTCTTTCCACGAAAATAATGGCCGATAAAGGTTCGTCCGAAGGTTTCTGGTCAAACTCGTAAAGAACCTGAAGAAGTCGAAGCATTTTGTTGGTGACACCTGCTAAAAGATCTTTCCCTTTATCATAAGTACCAAGTTTCTCCTGAACGACTTCCTTGAACTCTCTTAAAGTTACAATTACCATTTCGATAACTTCGACGAATGAACTTCTCAGATGACTAATCTGTTCACAAACGACTTCGAAACTCTTGAGAATAAAACTTAAACTCTGACTTAATGACCAAGGTCCAAACGTACTACAAATACGAGCCAGTTCCTCGAAAGTATGTTTGATCTGTTTCGGAGTAACCGGAATCGCGTCATTTTCTAGAAAAACGGCCATGGGAACGTACTCATCGTCATCTTCACTACCCTTTTTCACAGGAATTTGTGAGGCCGCAAAACGTAAACTATTAGGAATCTCTTGAGAATCGTCGATAATGTCCCAACCAGCACGCTCTCTGTAGCACCAAATAATTTCCTTTGGTTTAGTACCACGAGCACAATCAGGAAAATAAACAATCGCATCGTAAGTATCCTCAATGGTACTTATTACCTGATCCATTTTATCATCAGAAATCCAACGATTGTTGATTAAACTCGCTGTTAATCCGATAATCCGAATATCAGGATGACCTTTTGCTTTTAAAATGCTCATGATGTTAACATAATCATCCGATGTAAGTTTACCTTTAGCATTTGGTGCACCTCGATGAGCTTCATCAAAAATGATGGTGGCGATTGATGAAGTCGATATATAACCAGATGTCAAAATGTCGAGGAAAATTTTTCTTGTCATAACCAGAACTTGATACTTTTCAAATCGATCGGTCCAAAAGGTTTTCGTCCAAGAATCAATTGAGGCACCAAAACCATCTTTCGATTCACCCGAAAAACGGCCAACAGAGAAAAGGGAATCAGCTTTAAGAGCGTCCGCTTGTTGACCCACCAGAACTTTTGTAGGAACCAAGAAAAAAGCTCTCTTACCACCTTGCGAAAAAGGTCGATTCAACTGTTCAGCGAATTCATTGATCACCATTATGGCGATGAAAGTTTTACCCGAACCTGTTGGAAGACAAAGAATAACATTTCTCTCCATAGCGATTTCCAATGCTTCGATCTGGTACTGATGAGGCACTTTAGAGATCGTTTTAGATCCACAAGTCTTCATGATTACGATTATGATAATTATAAAAACAATACAATAGGTAAGCACAAAGATGAATTTTAAAATTGATGAATTAAAGATGTTTGAATTAGATGTTGATCAACACGTACTAGTAATTGAAATGATTAGTTTTCGTGAGCTTCCTCTCCATTTTAATCATTTCTTTGGAAATGACTAATTTCCACCTAGCGAAATATAATTAAAATAATAATGATAATTAGTCATCAGCTTTTCTATTGGTTAGTTGAGAGAAATGAGCTCACTTAACTATCGCTAACTATTGCTAACGAAACGAGTTATTGGTTGGGTGAAGGTGATACAAATCGACTGATCGTCTGATGCAATTTTACAAGAAAATTTCATTCAGTAAATTGGTGGAAGAGAAAGAAGATTCTAGTAGAATCCAATTGTTTGGGATAATAGTTCACATAATCATGATTATTATAAATCATAAAGAAGATAACAAGAGAGTGAGAGAGTGAGAGAGGCAAACAATTAGAGAGATTTTGGGAGCAATTGATTAATTTATCCCGGTAAAGACTTTAAATGGGTTATCATCCCATTGTGTGTGTCAAGTGGTGTTGGAAATTTATTCGCAATCATGATTCTCATGAGTGGAAAATAAATTTATCGGTAAACTGATCAACAGGAAATCAAACAGAATCTTGATGAAATAATTGGTTCGCATTTCTGTAACAGAAATTCTGTTAAAAGGAGTTTTTCTTGGACGCTTCTTCAAACAATACACCAAAGAAGAATATTTTATATGATCAATTGATCAATGGATTAAATTACTAAATCTTACCAATGGATGGAAAATGATTTACTTGAAATATAATCCATAGGAATTATAACAATTAAATGAGAGTTGGTTAAGGAAAATTAAGAAAATCTAATTAGAGATATGATAATGTATTAGAAAAACTTACAGTTAAGATGGAGCCAAAAATGATGATTAGATGATGACCAAGATTTAGAAATTAAATCAAAAATGACAATTAGACTGTGTAATCCATAAGTGGATCATTATTTGATTCTAAGTTAAATCACAATTAAGAAGAAGAGGAAAAAAATAGCTAACACAATCTAAATAATTTAAGTAATGAAGTCAAACATTTTAATTGCAAGCAAATCAACTCTGAAAACAAATGACTCATTAAAGGAAAATACTGAATAAGATTAAAGTGACTATGAAATAGATATGAAATGCCAATCACTCAAAGGAATCAATTAATTGAGTTAACTAATTATGATAATCAAAAGTAAAAAAAGCAAAAGAAAATTTTCAAAACATAAACAACAGAAAATCAGATGTTTATAGTTGTGAAAAGATCCACCAGATGGAGAGACATTTATGACATTAGACCAAAGCGATTGAATCAATTTGATTCAATTGAACCGATTGTCCGAAAATCGCGAGTTTAAAAAGTGCGAAAATATTTATTGAGTAGAACAAGAATTTTGACCTGAGATACAATTTGTTTTATCAATAAAAGTGGAGCTAAACAAGACCATCCATAATCGTTTCCTTTGGTCTTAATGCTTATTCGTGAGTAATTTTATGACTGTCCAATATATTTCGCTTTGTGGAAATCCAATCTGTTGGAATATAATTAGAAATATTGATTAGAATAGATTTAACGGATAAAATGTTCCAATAATCTTACCCTACCACCTTCTGATCCAATACAATTAATATCACAGACTTTTTTACCATGTTCGTACAATGTCCACCTACAACAAACTGTATTTTCAGCCACTTTTTTAACGAATTTGAATCGACCATTTAATCTGATGCACAAATTATCAAATAATTTCACATTATTTAATAGTTGTGCCATATTAAAGGAATCGGCGTACTTATCATACTGAAAAATCGTAAATAGAACAACAGGTTTCGGTGAATTTTCAATGATCAATGCTGCATCATCTTCAGCTGATATAATATAAACTAGTTGATCACTTTTTTCCAATAGTTTTAACTTTGATTCGCATAAACCAACAAGCTCTTTAATCGAATAGTAAATCGATTCAGTCAATAACTCTTCAACTTCATCAGCATTATCCGGTAATCTAACTGAATTATTTCTAAGAAAATCCAATATTTTAGCGAAGTGTTTTCCGTTTCTATCGATCATAACCCAACCTGTATAAAAAGTCAATCAGACAAGTTGTCACTCAAATTGAGAATAGAGAAAAACTTTCTTACCTTCTTGATCCTTCTGAACAGGTAGTTGTCCCGAAAACATGGCTCTCAACATACAATCGACTCGTGTTAGTGTAAAGATTGTAGTTTGAAATAAACTTCCGCCAACATTAAGCTTAACATATTCACCTTTGCCATTATTGATAAATTGTTCTTTCATTAGAGATTTATTAATATTTGCATTTGGTTCCATTATAATCACAAGATAGAAACTTTTTAACAGCAGCGAGTAAATAAATGTGGTCAGCGGTGGCAACATTAGGAAAGAGAAACCGAAAATTTTCAAAGTGACCAGTGGCTAGTTATTGGTCATAAATTTTAGAGGAGGAGTTAAGCTGAAGGAGAGACAATTGAGATTGACAAGGTATATGCTTTATCTTTGAACAGCGAAAACATTTAATACTAGGATTAAGTAACAAAGACTGAATGTAAATGTCCAATTGAAATGAACAATTAAACGAAAGAAACTTTCGTTATTGTCTTGGCCCTACGGCCTCTTCCCTTCGACTATTAAATATTAATAGTATCGGTAGATAATCTTTCTCAATTGATTGATAAATCATCGTCTGTTTATATCTAGAAAATTCCACTCAAGAATATGACTTCCACCTTACCGATTCGAGTGATCCTTATTTGAATAAACGATTATTAAAAACAAGTATTAATTGATAAAAAAGACCGAGAATTGAGAAAGAGAGAGAAAGAAATAATTAGTGAATCTTTAGGAGCAACCGATTGGTTATTATACCGGTAAAAAGTTTAAAATGGGTTAATATCCCATATTAATCTATTATAATAAAAGAAAGTAAAGTGACTTGATGTTGGATTGCATCATTTGGATTAACACCTAATACAGTGATGCCTTTCAAAATGACGCCCTCTCAAAATGACCCATCGTTATGGTAACATTAAATTTGGAAGATTTTTAAGTTTTAATTAGGATTAAATCTTATCAATTTGGTCTAAAAAAATGAAAATTAATAATTTCACTTCAAGTTCAGATTGTTACGAGGATTATAATTCATAATTATTTGTGTTTAGTATTTTTTTAATCAAAATAATTGATTAATTTCAACCTTTTCGAATGACCCGCTCTACAAATCGTTGTCAACATGATGGGTCATTTTGAAAGGCATCACTGTACCACCATTTGCAATTCATTGCAATGACTTGATGAATCGCTTCTCTTGGTAATCAATAATCATTTACGAGCAATTTTATAACTTCTTCGTATATCTGATCATCAGGGAATCTCACCTGTTGAATTGATGAAAAGAACTCCATGAGATTTTAAGTAAAAATTACACATTTCGATAGCTTACCGGAATTGCAGGCCTTATGAAAGTACAGTCAATATCGCTAACCCTTTTACCGCAACTATAAAATGTCCATTTGCAATGAATTTGGGTTCTCGATACACTTTTAATAAACTTGATTCGACCATTCGACCTGATACAATTTATCAAAAAGGTGCGAATTTTTGACGAGATTTTTTATTGTTTCATTTGAACATTGTGTCGACTCGTAATGGCGAGGTTCAAATATTGACAATCTAACAATAGGTACTGTTGATCTCTCGATGATTGACGAGATATCTTCGTCTATTAATGTTACCAATACATTTTTAACACGATTTTCGAATCTTCCCAACTTTGATTTACATAAATCAATCAATTCTTGAATCAAATAATAACTTGCTTCGGCCAGTAGATCTTTGATTTCCTTGATGCTTTCTGGTAAACAAACTTTTCCATCTCGAAGAAATTTTAAAATATTTCCAAACTGTTCACCATCTCTGTCTACTAGTATCCAACCTGTTGCTCAGAAATAAAAGGAAATTCAGCTACTTTGTTGGTTTTCTTTTCACGATTACTCAAAAACTACTAGAGTATAAATAGGGTCCATATTTCGTCTATGTAAGTTTGACCGATACTCAATTGTCATATTTCAAGGTCAAGGTCATAAAGGTTATTGATGAAAGAACGCACTTGAAGGTCATTTGAAGAACTTTTTGAAAACTAGAAATTTTTTCAAGCCTACCTGTGATATTTTATCATTTCTGTACTTACAAGTTGCGATTCAATTTGCTTCAAAATCAAAATTTCTAGTTTTCAAAAGTTCTTTAACTGATTAACGGTAAATTTTAACTTCTAGATTGAAAATCAGCTAAAATGTCACATATTAGAAAAAATTCTCACCTTCTTGATCCTTCTGAACAGGTAGTTGTCCCGAAAACATGGCTCTCAACATGCAGTCGACTCGTGTTAATGTAAAGATTGTAGTTTGGAATAAACTTCCACCAACATTGAGCTTAACATATTCACTTTTATCACTATTGATAAATTGTTCATGTAATTGTGTTTTACTTTCATTTGGATCCATTATTGACAAGAGATTAACAATTCAAATAAAATAATAATAAATCACATTAAATAAGATTATTATGGATACTTCATCGAAAGAAATCACTGAAGGATTTTTTATTAGAAATTAAGACAATTGTCAAGCGAGTAAAGGATTCTACTTTCCATTGATTAATTTGGTTGCTTGATCACATAAAGTAAGTAAGATTTTAAATGTTGATCAATCGAAAGGTAACCTTGATCCGATTCTTGTACTTTATCTAACGCATTAGCTCGAGGATAAAATGTTCTGTCGCAAATATGTTGAGCTAATTCTTTCGATTGACCAAGATGGAGAAGATTAAAGTTCGAGATTCGGTCAAATAATCAAGAACAATCGAGACGCTGGTAGCTGTTCAAACGAGATCGACACCAAGAAGGGTGAGTCAGAGCTTCGATCAATAGATCTTTTCGTTTGAAAACATAGCCAAGCTTATTCTCTAACAAGAAGAGATTTGAAGACTTCCAAATTTGATTAATCTCTTCAGGATTTTCCATCGGAAGGATTTCGTTGTAAGTTGGTAACCACTTGTTACCTCGCGATGAAATCGAAGACGACGGACAATCGGATGTCTCTAGGGTGGTTAACGGCATTCCAAGCCAACAAAGGAATTGAATAGCTGCATCTTCACCTAAACAGGTTAGATGAGCCCCGATCATGGTTCATCTTTAGAATTTTGAATCTTTTATTCGTGCTTCGTTCAAATCTTACAATTTAAGAAAAAGAAATGATGATACTATGTATTTAAGGAAAGAATCGCCAATGATTTCTAATCGTTCCAAGTTGATGAACGGATTGTGCTTCTTCGTGGTCATCGCTTCGATAATAAGTTCAATTGGTAGGCCATATTTGTAAGTAGATGAATGGTCTTGGTAAAAAGAATTTGTTGAAATGATGAGACTGTTCTCTAGGTTGAAATCGTTAAGTTTAATAGAATCGACATTTTTCAATATTGTATAATTTATTATATGTCTATTCATTATTATACAGCCTCGAAAATTAAGATCGACTACACTTTTAAATAGAGATACGAACAGAAGTGTTATCTTACCTATTCAGTAATGAATTTACCTTGAGAATTGATACAATATCACTTCTATTCGTATCTTCATTTAATAATGTAGTCGATCTTTATTTTAATAGCTGTATTATTAGTCGATTATTGTATATTCTATTGTGTTTTAGCTGTTAAGAAGGTTAATAACAACTAAAAATAAGTAATCATTGAAAAGAGCAAAAATTTGATTTGTTTAAAGCAACATATTCATTATTTAAAGCGCGTAAAGTTAAAAGATTTTTTGATTGAATCATGTACAAGTAATTCTAGCACATTTTCATAAATTTTTCCCTCTAGAAAATCAACCTGTTGAATATAAATGAAAATTTCCGTTAAATTCTATGATATTGGTCAAATCAATTAAAAGCTTACCTGGTAACCGCTTGGGTTTCGAACACAAGAAACTTCACAATATTTTTATTCATATGATTGAAAAATGACCATGTACAAACTGGTTGATTTTTTGAAATATTCTTGATAAAATCAATTCGATTATAAGAATTAAGGCATAAAGTATCGAAAAGTTGATGATTTTTACAAAGATTTTCAATCGACTGAGTGTTGAATTGACCCGATGTTTTATGGTGAATGATTGTAAGTCTAACAGAAGACTTGGACACAAACAGAAAGGAAGGTGGTGAACTGAATGTTTTGCTTTCTTCGATGGATGTTGTCAATGCAGATTTATCGTCTCTTTTAAAGGTTTCTAACATGAATTCAAATTGCTTATCATTTCGTCAATTGAATAGTAAATAGCTTCAGTTAGAAGCTCTTGTATTTCTTCAACATTATCTGGTAAAGTAAAGATATCGTTTCGAAAAAATTCCAAAACTGTTTCAAAATGTTTTCCATTTCTATCAATAAATATCCAACCTGTTGAGCGACGATTGAGATTTAAATATTTTCAAAACAAAATGTGTTGATATGAAATTGAAATATTACCTTCTGAGTCCTTCTGGACTTTGAATCCTCCTGAAAACATCCCTTTGAACATACAATCAAATTTCGTGAGAGTATCGACTGTTGTCTGGTATAAATATCCACCGACATTCAGCTTAACCAATTCACTTTTTTTATTTTCAACTGAAGTAACAATTTCAGTTGGAAGTTCTGATTCACTTTTTTCATCGGATTCACTCATCTTGGAACAATTTTAGACGATTTTCACTGTAAACACAAGAAAGTAAATAGCTTATGATGTTAATTGGACAATGAGAAAAAGTTAAATGATCAGTTACCAGAAACAAATCCACCCTCACCAAAGGAAGTATCAAAAATTATCAAGGATCGTAAGTAAAATTAGAAATCATAAAATGGTGAGAAATTTACAAAGTCCTAATTATTAATACTTTCAGATTATAATGAAATTTGATTATCTCGATTAATTAGTTGAGTCAAGTAGACTTTTTCACCGCTATCACCAATATCACCAAGTACAAGTTAATTAAATTAAATCAATCCTAAAGAGATCGATTGATTTGTTTCCTCTTACTGCTTTTGCAGTAAGAGGAAACTCCTTTCTCTTTTTAAATAAATCATTTGTTGCCTTAATAAAGCCATCAATGCTTATTCGTATATTGATTATCTTTGAAACACTAGGACACTAATTACTGGGCTTAAGGACTAAGGAAATCCCAAAAAATAATTAAAAGATCGTAACTAAGATTGGGAACCATAACATGAAGACATTTACAGATCTCAATCATGATTATTAGCAAAAACAAAATTGGATTCTTTTGATTAATTGAACTTCAGACTTTGTTTTAGCTTAATCAGGTCTTGAATGTAATGGTAAATAAGTTCATTCAATTTCATTTGAATTCTATCATTTCCTTGTAATATGACCGATTTATCTCTCCGAGAATATCTTTATCTCTTTCAATGTTATACGCAATTCTTTTTTGATCATTTTTCAATCCATTAGTTAAATTTTTATTCTAAACTATTAAGTTGACAAAGGATAAAACTCAGAAAATAAACACAATAATAACTGTCAGAACTCTATACTTTTATAATCTAAACTAGTTTATTTTATGCAATGAAACGTAAAAATTCTGATAGTTTACATACATTTGTGAAATTTTTTCCATTACTGTAAATTTGAATAAATTTTCGCGCTAAAATAGCATGAAAACAAACACAGATTGAGAAAAGAGATTTGGTTCGTTTAAGCTACTTTTTCTTTTTTAATTGTAAGGAAATAAGATACAAACGAAAGCACAACTATTGAAGTCCATTGAATTTATTATTTTCTATTCGCAACTAGTTTTAAAACTTTTTCGTATATTTGACCCTCTGGGAAGCTCACCTGTTGAAATATAACAGAAAAAAATTATTAGAAGAGATCCAAACATCTCACTTACTATGAGCCTTACCTTAATTTGGGGAGTAACAGTAACGCAGTCAATAAAGTCAACCAGTTTACCGTGAGGTTGGTAGAAAGTCCAATCGCAATGTGTCTCATTTCTATCCACATTTTTGATACAAACAATTCGACCATTTGATGTGCTACACAATTTATCAAAAAGGTCAACATTTCTATGCAGATTTGCTACCTGCGTGAATACATCGTGAATCACATTGAATTTATCCAACAGAGTGGTTTGAGAAATGTACAATTTGACGACAGGTTTAAACGAGTTCTGAATGATAAACGAAGTACTTTCTTTAGTTGATGTTATCAATGCACATTTTTTATTTTCTGCGCGTATTTTCAACTCTGATTCACATTGAACAGTTAGCTTTTCCATTGAATAGTAAATAGATTCAGTCATCAACTCTTCGATTTCCTTATCATTAAGTGATAATGTTTTCGGAGGTTTCTCAAGAAAGTCCAATATTTTTTGAAAATGTTTTCCATTTCTATCAATAAGTATCCAGCCTGTTTAGAGATTGAGATTAAGACAAATATCCAAAAATATAATAATATCCGTAAATTTCCTTATCATTCCATGATAATGCTTTCGGAGGCTCCTTAAGAAATTCCAAGATTTTTTGAAAATGTTTTCCATTTCTATCAATAAATATCCAACCTGTTGAGCGACGATTGAGATTTAAATATTTTCAAAACAAAATGTGTTGATATGAAATTGAAATATTACCTTCTGAGTCCTTCTGGACTTTGAATCCTCCTGAAAACATCCCTTTGAACATACAATCAAATTTCGTGAGAGTATCGACTGCTGTCTGGTATAAATATCCACCGACATTCAGCTTAACCAATTCACTTTTTTTATTTTCAACTGAAGTAACAACTTCAGTTGGAAATTCTGATTCACTTTTTTCGTCGGATTCACTCATCTTGGAACAATTTTAGACGATTTTCACTGTAAACACAAGAAAGTAAATAGCTTATGATGTTAATTGGATAATAAGAAAAAGTTAAATGATCAGTTACTAGAAACAAATACACCCTAATCAAAGGAAGTATCAAAAATTATCAAAGATCGTAAGATTAGAAATCATAAAATGGTGAAAAATTTGCAAAGCTCTAATGCCTTTCAATTAATAGATTAGAATGAAATTTGATTATCTCGATTAATTAGTTGAGTCAAGTGGACTTTTTCACCAATGTCACCAAGTACAAGTAAATTAAATTAAATCAATCCCAAGGAGATCGATTGATTTGTTTTCATTTGTTGCCTTAATAAAGCCATCAAGGCTTATCTGTATCGAATTACATTCTTTTTCCCAATCTTTGAGTTCAGTTCGATCTGTCTTCGGGTTGTACTTTTGTATCAGTTTATCCAAGATAACTTTACTATCCAAAGGTCGAAAACCACCGTCCAGCTCTTCATGAGCCCAAAGGATTTTAACTGCTTCATAATAAGCGTCCATTTCTGCTAATTGTTTATCCAAACGCTTTCTACCAGAAATGATCAACTTGTGAAGTGGTGATATTTTCGGTAGCTTCAAGTGGAAACGATAGAGTTTAGACTCAGTTAATGTGAAAGAATCAAATTCGTTCTTGTTTTCAGCAGTTAAGAAGATGAATAACAAGTGAAGACAAATAAGGATTGAGAACAACAAAGATTTTCATCTGTTTAGAGCAATATATTTATTACTTAATCAAAGCAAAATCAAAACAAAAGCACAACCAAGAAAAAATAAAAATCCATTGATTTAATTATCTACAAGTAATTCTAATGTATTGTCGTAGATTTTGCCCTCTAGAAAATCAACCTGTTGAATATAAATGAAAATTTTGATTAGATTTTGTGCTATGGTTTATATCAATCAAAACCTTACATGGGGACTACCATTTACTATGCGAACACAGAAAACTTCACGATGTATTCCAGAATTCTTGAAAAATGACCACGTACAAACAGGTTGAGTTTTTGAAATACTCTTGATAAAATCGATTCGACCATTAGAATTAAAACATAAGTTATCGAAAAGTTGATAATTTTTACAAAGATTTTCAATCGATAGATTTGTGTATATATCCGGTAAAGTTTTAGGCTGAATGATGGTCAATCTTACAGTAGGCTTGAAGTATCTTGCATTACCGGATGCTTCGATTTCTTCAACCTTTTCGACGGATGTTGTCAATGCAATTTTATCTCGTTTTATCGATCTTTTTAATTGATGTTCACAATGAGAAATCAACTCAACAATTGAATAGTAAATAGCTTCAGTTAAAAGTTCCCGAATTTCTTCAACATTATCTGGTAAAGTAACTTTCATGTTTCGAAAATATTCCAAAATTGTTTCAAAATGTTTTCCATTCCTATTAATTAGTATCCAACCTGTTGAGAGATTGATTATAATCCAAAACAAAATGAGTTACATGTAATAAGAACTTGAAAGTTTACCTTCTGGATCCTTTTGGACTTCGAATCCTCCTGAAAACATCCCTCTGAACATACAATCGACTTTCGTAAGAGTAGCGATTGTTGTTTGAAATAAAAACCCACCAACATTCAGCTTCACAAATTGACTTTTTCTATTTTGAACTAAAGTAACAGCTTCAGCTGAAAGTTCTGATTCACAACTTTCACCGGACTCACTCATCTTGGAACAACTTTAGAAGATTTTTACTGTAAGCACAAGAAAGTAAATAACTTATGATGTTAATTGGATAACAAGAAAAACATAAATGATCAGTTACCAGAAACAAATCCACCCTCGTCAAAAGAGATACTTAACTCTTTTACTTAAAGATAATTAAAAGATCGCAATTAAGATTAGAAGTCTTGAAATGATGAGAAATTCACAAGATCCTAATGATAATTAGAATGAAATATAAGATGAAATTCTATTCTGCTAATTAATTATCCTTTAGAACTTCGTTTAGATTGATCAGTTCTTGAATATTATAACAAATGGGTCCATTGAATATCTTTTGAGTTCTGTCATTTGCTTATAATGTGTCCGATTTATCTCTCACAAAATCTCTCTCGCGACAATATTTCCAATTCTTCACTATTAATGTTTATCGGTTATCTTTCTATCTATAAGATTAATAATTTATTGAAAACAATTAAGTTGACATAGGATAAAACTCGAAATAAACTCAATAATAACTGTCCAAACTCTGTTCTTTTTACTTCTAAACTACATTATTAATAGTTTTATTTTAAGTGCAAATATTGATAGTTTACATGCATTTGTAGAAATTTGTACAAAACCGTAAATTTGAATAAATTTTCGCGCTAAAATGGCATGCAAAGATTGAGAAAAGAAAAGATTTTATTTTCTTTAAATTTATTTTGTTTGCTAAAACGAAAGCATAACTTTTGAAGTCCATTGATTTGATTATTAGCTATTCGCAACTAGTTTTAAAACTTTTTCGTATATTTGGCCCTCTGGATATCTCACCTGTTGAAATATAACGAAAAAAATTTATGAGAAAAGATTCAAAAGTCTCATTTGCTGTGAGCCTTACCACAATTTGAGAAAAATTAGTAATGCAGTCAATAAAGTCAACCTGTTTACCGTGAGGTTCGTAGAATGTCCAATCGCAACGTGGCTCATCTCTATCCACATTTTTGATATAAACAATTCGACCATTTATTTTGCTACATAATTTATCAAAAAGGTCAACATTTCTATACAGATTTGCTATCTGCGTAGATGCAGTGTGATTATCTAACAGGGTGGTTTGAGAAATGTACAATTTAACGACAGGTTTGGACGAGTTCTTAATGATAAACGAAGTACTTTCTTTGGTTGATGTTATAAATGCAAATTTTTTATTTTCTCTGCGTATGTCTAATTCTGATTCACATAGAACAATCAGCTTATCAATTGAATAGTAAGTAGCTTCAGTCATCAACTCTTCGATTTCCTTATCATTAAGTGATAATGTTTTCGGAGGTTTCTCAAGAAAGTCCAATATTTTTTGAAAATGTTTTCCATTTCTATCAATAAGTATCCAGCCTGTTTAGAGATCGAGATTAAGACATATATCAAAAAAATGAGTTACATGTAATATGAATCTGGTACTTTTACCTTCTGGATCCTTTTGAACTAGGAATCCTCCTGAAAACATCCCTTTGAACATGCAATCGGTTTTCGTAAGAGTAGCGATTGTTGTTTGAAACAAAAACCCACCAACATTCAGCTTCACAAATTGACTTTTTCTATTTTGAACTAAAGTAACAGCTTCAGCTGAAAGTTCTGATTCACAACTTTCACCGGACTCACTCATCTTGGAACAACTTTAGAAGATTTTTACTGTAAGCACAAGAAAGTAAATAACTTATGATGTTAATTGGATAACAAGAAAAACATAAATGATCAGTTACCAGAAACAAATCCACCCTCGTCAAAAGAGATACTTAACTCTTTTACTTAAAGATAAGTAAAAGATCGTAATTAAGATTAGAAGTCTTGAAATGATGAGAAATTCACAAGATCCTAATGATAATTAAGATGAAATGAAATTTGATCATTTCGATTAATCGATTGTGTGAATTTAACTTTTGACACCAAATTAATCAAAATTAAATAAAATCAATATCAAAGTGAGTCGATTCACCAACTGATAATAATCGTTTATTTCTGCTAATTGTTTATCAAAACGCTCTCTACCAGAAATGATCAACTTGTGAAGTGGTGATATTTTCGGTAGCTTCAAGTATCAACGGTACTTTGGACTAAAATTATGTGGAAGAATAAATCACATAAATTAAATTTTAAAGTATAAGATTTGGTTCAACTTTAGAAAAGTAATTCGTGCTTCGTTTAAATCGTACAATTTAAAAAAGAAATGATGATACGATGTATTTAAGGAAAGAATCGCCAATGATTTCTAATCGTTCTAAGTTGATGAACGGATTGTGCTTCTTCGTGGTCAATTGGTAGGCCATATTTGTAAGTAGATGAATGGTCTTGATAAATAGAATTTGTTGAAATGATGAGACTGTTCTCCAGGTTGAAATCGTTAAGTTTAATAGAATCGGCGACCATTTTTTCAATCTCGTCGTTTTCTAGCCTTTCTAGTCTTAGTGATTTATCTCCAAGTTGCTGACCAATCTTTTTAATGTCGCAGTTTATTTTAATACCTCTATCAGTCCATTTGACTGGGGCGATAGCGGGTGCAGGTTTAGCACTGAATATGGTCGCTCTGTTTGTCTGGAAGATTTCGATCGCGTCATTTGGGTCGTTTTTGGCAGAGTTTTGTCTTTCAAGTACTTCAAGGTTGAATTCTTTAGATTTATTGTGATTTTCAATCGAATCTTCAGAATCATCTTCAAAGTCTGACAATTCTTCATATTCATCTTCATCACTGTCTTCAGTTGGGAAGGTTTCATCATCCAGACCTTCAAACTTATCCAATGATAATGTAGATGCAGTAAGGTTGGTCTTTTCTTGTAGTTTGTAGTAGCGTTTACAGGTGACATATGAAAGATCAACAGGTTTGGTTGAATGGGAGACATTATTCACCTCGTCTTTTAGTGGGACAAAATGTTTTAATATGAATTTGAAATTCTACCCTCTGAATCAGTTCGGACCTCGAATCCTCGTGATAACAGCCCTTTGAATATACAATCAACTTTCGTAAGAGTAGCGATTGATGTTTGGAATAAAGATCCACCGACATTCAGCTTCAAAGATTGACTCAAATGATGTGGAAGAATAAATTTTCTCAGTGTTGATCTTTGGTAAAAGCATCGGCAGGTAAATGATCACAGTAGAAAATCGTGTCGTCTTTAGCAATTAGCTTTGTCTTTTAATTACTTCACAAGTAAATTTTTTAGGTTGATTGTGAATCCTCGGAATCATCTTCATGCTCACCGTCTTCTGTTGTAAATGTTTCAGGATTCATTACCTTGAAATATATAAAACGATAATGCAATAAGAACGTTTTAAGATATTACATCGTTTACCTGAGAGAGAATTTCTTATAATTTCATCTCTGCATTAAATTATCTATCAATTTTTGTTTTCGCATTTTTGTGTTCTTGTTTCTGGAGTTGCTAATCAACTTGAATTTACCATTCTATTGATCTTTGACCTTGTATTATATGACTGCTCGGTTGTTAAAAATTTGATTGTGCTCTCAGCAGTTAAGAAGGTGAATGACGAGTAAGAATTGACACCAAGGATTTTGATCTGTTCGGGACAGTATATTTATTTAATGCAAGTAAGGTCAAAACAAAATCAAAATCAAGCAAATAATTAGAGTCCATTGTTTTAATCATTTACAAGTAATTGCAAAACTTTTTCGTATATTTGACCCTCTGAGAAGCTCACCTGTTAAAAATAATGAGAAACATTTAATAGAAGTTATCCAAAAAACTCATTTACTATGAGCCTTACCGTAATTTGGGGTAGAGTGTTAAAAATGCAATCAATAAAGCCAACCTGTTTACCGTGATGCTCATAGAATGTCCAATAACATCGTGTATCATCTTTAGCCAAATTCTTGATATAAACGATTCGACCATCTGTATTGCTGCACAATTTATCAAAAAGGTTAACATGTCTATAAAGATTTGTTATCGACGTCAATGTATTGCATTTATCCAACAGGTTGGTTTGAGAAATGTACAATTTAACGACAGGTTTGAACGAGTTTCGAATGATAAACATAGCGCTTTCATTATTTGATGTAATTAATGCACATTTTTTTTTCTCTCTGCATATTCGCAACTCTGATTCACATAAAACAGTTAACTTTTCAATCAAATAGTAAATAGCTTCAGTTAAAATTTCCCGAATTTCTTCGACATTATCTGGTAAAGTAACTTTCATGTTTCGAAGAAATTGCAAAATTTTTCCAAAATGTTTTCCATCCCTATCAATAAGTATCCAACCTATTGAATGAGTGAGATTAAAATATTATCCAAAACGAAATGCGTTAATCTGAAATATCTTACCTTCTGGATCCTTTTTAGCCTCGAATCCTTCTGAAAACATCCCTTTGAACATACAATCGACTTTCGTAAGAGTAGCGATTGTTGTTTGAAATAAAAATCCACCAACATTCAGCTTCACAAATTCACTTTGTTCGTTTTCAACTGGAGTAAAAGCTTCATTTGAAAGTTCTGATTCACTTTTATCGTTGGATTCACTCATCTTGGAACAATTTTAGATGATTTTTACTGCAAGCACAAGAAAGTAAATAACTTATGATGTTAATTGGATAATGATAAGCGAAACTTAAAAACTAGTAATAAATAACCAGAAACGAATCCACCCCATCAAAAGAAATGCAAAAACATAATTAAAAGATCGTTTTTATAATTAGAAATCTTAAAATAATGAGAAATTTACAAGATTCTCATGATGATTAGAAGAAAACGATAAATTAATTTGATTCTTCCAATTAATTGAACTTCAGACCTTAGTTACCACTAATTAGTTCTCGAATATAATAACGAAAGGGATCAGTTAATATCTTCCGACTTTCGTCATTTCCTTGTAATGTGACCGATTTATCTCTGAGAATCTCTCAGTCTTCGTCCCTCTCAATATTACATATACAGCCAAAGACTTTGAGTTTGCATAAATTTTTAATCATTTAGAGATAAATTCAAAACAAAGATAAAATTATATGTATTGATATTGAAAGAAGTTAGATATCAAAATTAATCTTCACTTGATTACTTGCGCAAATAATTAAAAATTTATGCAAATTCAAAGTCTTTGGCTCTATATGTACTGTCATAGAATATGAACTCTTGGAAGTTTTTTAAGATCAAGTTTTTCGAGTTCTGGTTTCTTCAAGACAAAGTTTCTAATCAACTCGAATGATACTTTCAGTTGATCTTTAGTCGAGTAGATTGACATTTCATCTCCAATCTCATCAAGGGGAAGTAAATTAAACGAAATCAATCCCAAATCTCCAAAGTGGATCGATTGACTACTTTAAGTTTATTGTAAATTCAAAGATGCAAACGGCTGAGCAGAAAGTGAGAATCTCGATTGGTTCTGGGAAAAGGAGTTTTTCTTGATTGTTTTTCAGCAACTGATCAATTGATTGAATTACAAGTTCTTCCCTAAGAGATTTAATTGTGAGGAATGAGAACAATTAGACGAGTGTTGGTTATAAAAATCTGTTATCTAGTTATTTATTAAATTATTAAGAGAAAGCAATATGCAAATGATAAAAAGAGGAAGAGGGAGAGGGAGAGGGAGATTCACAGAATCATTATAATAGATCAACAGGTATGGTTGAATGGAGACATTATTCACCTCGACTTTGAGTGGGATAAATTTAGTGAATCGTTGACACTTCCAAGTCATCTTCACATGGGCAGGTATGTCAACCAAACCATAACCAATTTCTGAGCAAAAGCGCTTACGGATTTCACTTGCAATCAAACATCTATTGAGAGCCGATGAAATGGCTGGTATTGTGTAAGCGACTTCGACACAGTAGCCTGAAAAAAATTCAAATTGACATATTTCGGGAATGAGGTGGACCAGCTTCAGATTTTTCAATGATTTTACACTTGGCTTATTGGGTTGCGATGGAAAATAAGTTCGGGTTGGTGCTGAATAACAGGCCAAAAGTGGTTGATTTTCATCCAGAGAAGGCACTTGGTAATGGGTTGGTTATTAGATTTCCTCTCTCCCGACTTTTTTATTGCTTGATTGTTGATTTGAAATAAGCATCAAATCCAGAATTGAGTCGTAGATTAGACCTTCTCGAAATACAATCTGATAAAATAAAGCAAGAAATATTATGAAATGAAAGGTAATCATGTTCAACTTACATTAGTAACAATCTTTCCATCGATCTTAGCCGCACCATCAGAAGCTACTCTTGACAAGCTTTCACCCTGATAATAAAATGACCAGCAACAATTTAATTCGGTATGTTTTTCATTCAGCACAAACAGAAATTGTGAATGCGATTTTAAGCAAAACTTGTTAAACAATTCCCAATGCTTGAGGAAATTATCATGTGACACGGCTGAGTAAGAGGAGTGCTGTGGTCTTCCTCGATTCATCGAAAGTAAGACAACAGGTTTGACTGAATTTTTAATCAGCTTGATCTCTTCTTCGGGTGATGTTATCAATACAATTTGACAGATTGGTTTAACCTCATGTCTCTTCAATTCTGCCTCACATGAATCAATCAATTCTTGAATCAAAAAATTTGCTTCGGCTAGTAAGTCGTTTATTTCCTTAACACTTTCTGGTAAACAAACTTTTCCATCTCGAAGAAATTTTAAAATGTTCCCAAACTGTTCGCCATCTCTGTCGATTCGTATCCAACCTGCAACAGAAAAATAAATTAATATTATCCGCACACTAACATAGACCCGTCCATTGATTAACGGTTATACTAAATTGTTGAGTCTTTCATCGATCAACGAGTGACTTACCTTCTGAATCCTTATGGACACCTAATTGTCCCGAAAACATGGCTCTCAACATACAATCGACTCGCGTGAGAGTAGCGATTGTTGTTTGAAACAGAGATCCTCCGACATTCAGTTTCACATATTGACCTGGATCACCTTTGATGTAAATCTCATCTTTAAGATTTAAATTCTCATCCAGATGAGTTGGTTCACTATTTTCACCTGATGTCATAGCAATTCAAGGAGAAAACGAAGCACAAAATACTAGTAGTAAATGAAGACTTAAATAAGACAAAGAACAAAAGTTAATTGGATGTTAACGGTACAACAGAAAATGTGATAATGACTACAGAGTGTAAAGAAAGTAACGTTCAATTTTTTCCCTTGCGCAATTGACTTGATTTGGTTTGTCTATTTTTACTTCAATTAAATAGTCAAATCAACCGCCATCAATTCACGCAACTTTAACCCCACCCATGAACGTTACTTTCTTTACACTCTGTATTAGTCATCGACTAATTATTAATAAGGCGTGATGATCATTTGACTTCTAGAAAAAGAGTTTGCTTTTATTTATACGAACACTATTGCAGTAATAAGGAAAAGCTATTTTCACGAAGTCTTGAAGACAATTTAAGTCCGAGTTTCTGCTTAACAATAGACACTCGCAATCAAAAAGTAATGAGTGTGAATTGTGGTGATGTTTCTGTTTACTGAAAATAAATGAAACTTTTCTGAAGTTAACCAATGATTTGATTTCCATTTGATTCAATTACTTAATCATCTGATGCAAGCTAAGCCTTTTAACTGTAAAAATTAATTGTAAGGTGATTAGTTAAAAGTTTTAACTTAAAATATAATCAATATTTTGATATTTAACCAACTAATAACAAATAAACAACAAGAAGCTATTATAACCGACCTTTCAATTGACTTGACACCAATAGAAAAATTTTCAAAAAGACCTTAGTAAGTAGTAGGTCAGTAGTTGTCAAGGTTAAATGGCCAAGAGAAAAGGATTCAAGTTTAGGCAATGAAAACGACGAGTTAAACGTTCATTGACCAAATCGAGAATATTGAAATCGAAAATCGTAAGAAGAAAAACAATTGGATTAATTGCTACTATATCATCACTTGAAAAGTCGGGCTTTTGATAAAGTTTGATGAAGTTTTAACTTCGATTCGCATAAACCAACAAGTTCTTGAATTGAATAGTACATCGATTCAGTCAATAACTCTTCAACTTCATCAGCATTATCCAGTAATCTAACTGAATTATTTCTAAGAAAATCCAATATTGTAGCGAAGTGTTTTCCGTTTCTATCGATCATAACCCAACCTGTAGAAAAAGTCAATCAAACAAGTTGTCACTCAAATTGAGAATAACGAAAAACTTTCTTACCTTCTTGATCCTTCTGAACAGGTAGTTGTCCCGAAAACATGGATTTCAACATACAATCGACTCGCGTTAGTGTAGAAATTGTAGTTTGGAATAAACTTCCACCAACATTAAGTTTAACATATTCACTTTTATCTCTATTGGTAAATTGTTCTTTTATTAGAGATTTATTTTCATTTGGTTCCATTGTCACAACATCAACCGCTTTTATAACAATAATAAATCTGACTCTAAGATCTCTATTAGGTAAGATTACTATGATTATGGATCATTTTTTCTGCCTTTGGCTGTGCATTTTTTGTCTATTCTAACGCTGTCTAGTGGGAATTAGCTGCGATTTAACCCACAATTTCATGCGTTTATCGAGTTATGCATTAACCGAGAGTTTACTGTGGTTGCATCTTCCCATTAACAGGTTAGATGAGCAACGATCATCGCCATCATCGAGTTGATCTCAAAAATTCTTCACCATTCGAGTCTAAAAGGTCACTTGAAAAGTCAGGCTTTTGATAATTGGGAAGTCGCTTCTCAGTAAGATGATACATATTGATAGTGTTCTTCACTTCAATTTTCTGATCTTCTGGTGCAAAGAAAACAAAATAAACTTGAGTACTTCGAGCACGTCCTTTACTTTGTACATAAGCTCGAAATGTGCTAGCTGGATCGTAGCGAATGATCAAGTTACAATGTGTGATATCGAGACCCTCTTCAAGCACTGATGTCGATACGATAATATTGAGGTTTCGTTTCTTGAAATCTTCGATTTTATTGAGGGATTAAAACCTTTTAACCATGCTACCTGTGACCTTGTCAACTAATGATCGAAAATTCAACTGGTAACTAAAAGATATAAATATTTAAATAGAACCGTGATAAAATTCTTGAATCCATAGATTGATAACCTGTTAGAACTTTCGAATAGACCAAACCATATCGACGGCGCTTTTTGTGAGTATTAGGTTTTGGTGGTGCTTCTGGTGCTTCTCGTTTATTGTTGCCATTTATCTCGTTTTCTTCTCTCCAAACTTTTCGAATAGATTGCATTCTTTTTCCCAATCTTTGAGTTTAGTTCGATCCGTCTTCAGGTTGTACTTTTGTATCAGCATTGTATTTTATCACCAATCGCATCTTTGACTTTAGTCTTTCACTATCGTGATCGATCCTTAAACAACCGAATAATATATGAGCTGAAATTAATCTCAAATCTCGCACACATTTGACCATCCAGCACCGTTGTTAAGATCACTTTATTGCTTCTTAGTACCAAGTTTTGGTGGTAATTTTCGTTTGGTCTTACCGTTGTTCACATTTTCCTCTTTTCGAATTGTTCGAATTGAATCTTTTCTTTCATTTCAATCAGAATTTCTCATGGTTACTCGCGTTCACGAAGTCTTGAATAAATGTTCAAGTTTCTGCTTAACAATAGACACTTGTTATTGTCTCATTAAATAAACGAAATTGCGATTACAATAAATTGTCCATCGTTAATTGTTGGAAAAATGATTGTTATTGTGCCATTGAATAGATGATGATAAATGAAAATCAGGAGATTCATTGGTTGTTGGTTGACTGTGAGTTTGGGTGATGTTTCTGTTTACTGAATATCAATAAAACTTCTCTGGTGTTAAGTTAATCGATGATTTGATTCAATTACTCGACCATCTCAAGCAAGTTAAGCCTTTCAACTGTTTGTTGATTTGTTGTCAACAATTAATCGTTAATAGTATATAATCGCTAGCAAATAATTTGTTGAATAATAGCTAAGTAAAACATGAACCAATTCTTATAGTTTGCATATTATCAGGTGATATTGCGATTAGGCAAAACATATTCAACATTTTGAAAGAAACAATCGAAATATTTGAAATGAAATTAGAGTTTAATCGTTGAAAGATAAATGAAAAGTAAACAATATTTATAATATATCTTAAATTCACAATACATGTAGAATATATGTAATTAATCATTATAACATACAATGGTTTCTTTTGTTGGTTATCCATATAGTCCTAACTATTCAGCTAATAATAATTAACACAGTGTTATATAATGGAAGAATACAAAGAGACAAAAGCAAAATCTAAAATAAAGTATTTGTATTTAATTCAGTTGTTCATTTCCATCAACTCAGAGAGACGTTGACCATTTAGAAGCCTGAACTTGACGAGCTCGCATCCATTAAGTTCATAAGTTCACAATAGATTTTCTCTTCTTGAAAATACACCTATCATAATATCATGAAAAAAACGATTATTATTACGATTAGAAATGCCAAGAGCGTTTACCTACATGGGTCACGTAATTAAAATCTCTACCGCGTGTAGCCGTGCTACAGTCGACAGTGGCCAGCTCATTACCGCGGTAATAAAATGACCATAAACAAACTGAATTCCCGAATTTCTCATTTAAGATGAAAAGAAATTTCATATTGAATTTTAAACACAACTTGTTGAATAATTCCCAATTTTTAAACAAATAATCATGAGATTCATTGGAAAATGGATAAACTACTTTGAAGCGATTCATCGAAAGCGTGACAACAGGTTTGATTGAATTGCGGAGCAACTTTGCCTCCTCATCAGCCGAGGCCATCAATGCAACTTGACACATTGGTTTGATCTCAACTTTTTGGAGTTTCGCCAGTTTTGCCTCACATGAAATTACCAGTCCCTCTATCAAATAGTACTTCGCTTCTGCAAGTAGATCATTTATTTCCTTGATGGTTTCTGGTAAACAAACTTTTCCATCTCGAAGAAATTTTAAAATATTTCCAAACTGTTCACCATCTCTGTCGATAAGCACCCAACCTGTTGCTCAGAAATATGAATCTAATTTTATTATGTCTGAGACTTGAATACGTTTAGTTTTCGCTGGAAATTGATGGATCGGTCGATTGCTTGACGCTCAGTCTCTAATACTAAATTTAGTATTAATACGAACAAATGATAAATAAAAATTTAATTTCTCACCTTCTGAATGCTTAGTCACATCTATTTCGTCTGAAAACATGTCTTTTAAAAGACAATCGACCTTCGTGAGAGTAGAGATTGTAGTTTGGAACAAATGTCCACCAACATTTAGCTTCACGAATTCACTTAGTTTTTGTTTCACGATACTTTCACTCGGAGCTGCTAATACACTCATAATGAACAATTTTGGAACGTTAGTTGAATATACACAAGAAACAGAAATGATTATGAATATATAAACAATCGTGAGGCTAATGATCTCAACTGAACAATATCCAATTCTTACAATGGTTTTATACTAGAAAAAATCCGCCCTCGTCATGTGAATTAACAGAAACTAATTAAAAGATCGCAATTAAGATTGAATATTCGACAAATGATGAGAAATTCACAAGACCCTTCTAAAACCGACAAAAGAGCAATTCGATTCCGAATTTTAACAAGCAATTAATTGTATGTAATTTAACTGTTTGCATATATTTATTTATTCAGTTAATGTTTACAGTAAAGAAAAGATCATTTCGGTAGAGTGAATAATCAGTTCTAAGAATGGTAATGACCAATTCTTAGCTCAGCACTGGATAATCGTTTCTTGTGGTGACATTGAATGAATGATGACAATTTGTTGTAAATTATAAAATGCAAACGGTTGACCTAAAACCTTTAGCTCCTTTTGACCAATTACATCAAGTGAAAGTAAATTAAACGAAATCAATCCCAAATCTCCGAAGTGGATCAATTGACCACTTGTTACTTTTGTTAAGGTCAATTTATAAAGCCAACAAGGTGAATCCATAGATTGATAACCGGTAAGAACTTTCGAATAGACCAAACCATATCGACAGCGCTTATTGTGAGTACCAGGTTTTGGTGGAAATTCTGGTGCTTCTCGTTTATTGTTGCCATTTATCTCGTTTTCCTCTCTCCAAACTTTTCGAATTGAGTTACATTCTTTTTCCCAATCTTTGAGTTCAGTTCGATCCGTCTTCAGGTTGTACTTTTCTATAAGTTTATCCAAGATAACTTTACTATCCAAAGGTCGAAAACCACCGTCCAGCTCTTCATGAGCCCAAAGGATTTTAACTGCTTCATAATAAGCGTCCATTTCTGCTAATTGTTTATCCAATTGCTTTCTACCGGAAATGATCAACTTGTGAAGTGGTGATATTTTCTACTAACTTTAGTTATTTATTTTAAGAATAAATTTTCTCTGTGTTGATCTTTGGCACTTTTCTGGTAAAAGCATCGGCAGGTAAATGATCACAATAGAAAATGACTCAATTTTTACTCTCACTATAAGGTAAGATTCCACTTTCAGTTGAGCTCAAAAATTCGTCACCATTCGAGTTTAAAAGGTCACTTGAAAAGTCAGGCTTTTGATAATTGGGAATTCCTTTTTTCAGTAAGATGATACATACATGTATTGATAGTGTTCTTCAATTCAATTTTCTGATCTTCTGGCGCAAAGCAAACAAAATAAGCGGTATTCTAGATTATCTCCTGTTAACCATTTCTTGACTTCGAGATCAACTCATAGATGACGAGCAATCAGAGAGCTCTAGGGAGGGTCTAATCCAACAAAGGAATTGAATAGCTGCATCTTCACCTAAACAGGTTAGATGAGCCCCGATCATACCCTCGACCATGTCAGCGATACTTTTATCGGAAATTTCTTGCTCGGTAAACTCTCGATTTGCAGATGAATAGAATGGTGGTAAGGTTTCTAGAGTTGCTAATCAACTCGAATTCACCTTTCTATTTATCTTTGACCTTGTATTAAATAGCCACCAAAATTGAGTTGATAACAAAATCTAATCACTCGCGCACACAATCAATTAAACTATTTATCTATGAATTGATAAAATAAAATTTAACATAAGAAACATTGAAGTTTCGATAAGACATTGAAGTTAATCACAATTTGATTTCTTTCTGTGCGCGAATGATTTAATTTTTGTTCCAAACGCAATTTGGGTGACTGTATGACCGCTCGGTTGTTAAAAATTCGATTGTGCTCTCAGCAGTTGAGAAGGTAAATGAAGAGTAAGAATTGAGACCAAAGATTTTGATTTGTTCGGGACAATATATTTATTCAATCCAAGTAAGGTCAAAACAAATCCCAATAAAGCGCATAATTAGAGTCCATTGTTTTAATCATTTGCAAGTAATTGCAAAACATTTTCGTATATTTGGCCCTCTGGAAAATCAACCTGTTGCAATATAGAAGTGAAATGAAAGTGAAAATTTCCATTAGATTCTGTAATATTGTTTAAAAGGAGAGAAGCTTACTTGGGGGTAGCTGTTCACGATTCTGATACAAGAGACTTCACGAGGTGATCCATTATATCCAAGAAAAGACCATGTGCAAATTGGTTGATCTTTTGAAACACTCTTGACCAAACCAATTTGGCCATTAGATCTAAGGCATAAATTATCAAAAAGTTGATAATTTTTACAAAGATTTTCAATCGATTGACCTGAGTATCTACTCGATGAAGTTCCAGGATGAATAATCGTCAATCTAACTTCAGGCTTGAATGGAAATACAGAACCGGCCATCGGGGCATTTTCGATAGATGTGGTAAATACAATTTGTGCGCCTTTTTTCAACCTCTTTAACTTACTCTCGCAATCATGAACCACAGCTTTGATTGAATAATAAATAGCTTCAGTTAAAAGTTCCCGAATTTCTTTAACGTTATCTGGTAAAGTAATTTCCATGTTTCGTAGAAATTCCAAAATTTTTCCAAAATGTTTTCCATCTCTATCAATAAGTATCCAACCTATTGAATGAGTGAGATTAAAATATTATCCAAAACAAGATGCGTTAACATGAATCTGAAATATCTTACCTTCTGGATCCTTTTGAGCCTCGAATCCTTCTGAAAACATCCCTTTGAACATACAATCGACTTTCGTGAGTGTAGCCATTGTTGTTTGGAATAAAAATCCACCGACATTTAGCTTCACAAATTCACTTTGTTCATTTTCAACTGGAGTAAGAGCTTCAGTTGGAAGTTCTGATTCATTTTTATCGTTGGATTCACTCATCTTGGAACAATTTTAGAAAATTTTTACTGCAAGCACAAGAAACTAAACAGCTTAGAATGTCAATTGGATAATGATAAGCGAAACTTAAAAACTAGTAATAAGTAACCAGAAACAAATCCACGCCATCAAAAGAAATGCAAAAACATAATTAAAAGATCGTTTTTATAATAGGAAATCTTAAAATGATGAGAAATTTACAAGATTCTCATGATAATTAGAAGAAAAACAATAATTTAATTTGATTCTTCCAATTAATTGAACTTCAGACTTTGAGTACCACTAATCAGTTCTCAAATATAATAACGAAATATATATAATAACGTCATTTTCTTGTAATGTGATCGATTTATCTCTGAGAATCTCTCATTCTCCATCCCTCTACATATTGTGCTCAATTCTTTCTTATTTCGTATTTATTTTCCGTCCTTCTATGAGATGTTCAAATTTATGCAAAACTAATTGGATTATTATCAGCATGAAAAAAGATAATCGTTACAAGACAAATCATGCGATCAACATTGCTCGCTTTTCTGAGTAAATTTAAGAGATCAAATTCATGAATATGATCTTTTTTGTCTTTTTTGGTCAATTTCATCATCATCACAATCATTTTGTTCACATTCAAGTTAAACAGAGTGATCAAAACTTTTGATTAACCTCTCGAAGGTTTGATATGCAAAAGCATGCGGTTTATACAATTAAAAAACTTATATTTATCTGATACTCCATCTTCTCTCTCCCCTTTCATTGCCCCGTATGTCATAATTCATCCCTTCTCTCTCCCTTTCCTCTTTCTTTTCTGTCTAATCCTCTTATTAATCTAATTAACATTTTAATTTGGTCAATTTAACGCACTTTTTTGCATTAATTAATAGCTTTTGACCCTGACCATTCATGACATTGGTTCTATTTTTTGTTGTTGAATATCTTTGTCTTCTTTCTGCTGATATTTTTTCCATGTCTATACGATTCCTATTTTTTATTACATCTTCGTATAACAAATCGTGAATCGTTATAACTATTAGGAAATGAATGAATAAATGAATTGTTAGTGATTATTCTGCGATGATAAAATTAATAAAGGATGTTAAGGATAAAGTGTTTGGAAAAGGAGGATCTGTTTATTCATTTTATCACCTTATCCTCAACGCCCTTTATATTGAATCAGTTCTTGATTTGTTTTTAGAATCTTGTTTCTCAGCCCTTGGTTCAGTTAATAATTTCTAGCTGACATTTTTTCTTCCAACATAAAACTTAAAATATGAAACACTCAATGCTGTTTTTCCCCTAAACAATTCTACCCTTGAAAAGCATAGAACGAGACCATGAAGCCATGACGAAACGAATATGTAACAACGGATTAGACAACTTATTCATGAAAATCTGATAAAAGTTGACTCATATTATGAAGCTAAGGAGCATTAGCGAATTAAATGAGAACATAAACATTGACCGTTTAAAATAATAACAAGCTCTCACATGATCAAGGGAATTTTTGTTGCTAACCGACTTGCAGTAATGCAAAAAGACAAATCTTTTTCTTCTTTCGATTTATTCGAAATCACAAAGAAATTGTCAACTGAATATCCCAAAATATTGAGTGAAACGATTACATGGGCAGACACGTAAATTATGAAAAAGCTTTTTACGATCTACATGTAATTATTAATAAAAAAAAACTCATCCTGATATCGAAAACATGAAAGGAAAATATTTTCTTGTTGTCTTCTAAACTTATTCTATGGAATGAAACGTAAAAATTTTTACAATGCATTTTCGCGCTAAAAAGGTATGAAAACAAGTTTGATAGAGAAGAGGAAAGATTCTGGTTCAATTTTATGTTTATTTAAAACGAACAAGATTAAAACGAAAGCACATTGAGTCCTTTTGTTTGATTATTTGCCATTCACAACTAGCCTTAAAACTTTTTCGTATATTTGACCCTCTGAGAAGCTCACCTGTTAAAAATAATGAGAAACATTTATTAGAAGTTATCCAAAAAACTCATTTACTATGAGCCTTACCGTAATTGCGGATGGAGGAGTACTAGTAATGCAATCAATATAGTCAATCTGTTTACCGTGGTGCTCATAGAATGTCCAATTACATTGTGTATCATCTTTAGACAAATTCTTGATATAAACGATTCGACCATTTGTATTGCTGCACAATTTATCAAAAAGGTCAACATTTCTATACAAATTTGTTATCGCCGTGAATGAATTGCATTTATCCAACAGGTTGGTTTGAGAAATGTACAATTTAACGACAGGTTTAAACGAGTTTCGAATGATAAACGAAGAGCTTTCATTACTTGATGTGATTAGTGCACTTTTTTTTCTCTCTCTGCATATTCGCAACTCTGATTCACATAAAACAGTTAGCCTTTCAATCGAATAGTAAATAGCTTCAGTTAAAAGTTCCCGAATTTCTTTAACATTATCTGGTAAAGTAATTTCCGTGTTTCGTAGGAATTCCAAAATTTTTCCAAAATGTTTTCCATCCCTATCAATAAGTATCCAACCTATTGAATGAGTGAGATTAAAATATTATCCAAAACAAGATGCGTTAACATGAATCTGAAATATCTTACCTTCTGGATCCTTTTGAGCCTCGAATCCTTCTGAAAACATCCCTTTGAACATACAATCGACTTTCGTGAGTGTAGCCATTGTTGTTTGGAATAAAAATCCACCGACATTTAGCTTCACAAATTCACTTTGTTCATTTTCAACTGGAGTAAGAGCTTCAGTTGGAAGTTCTGATTCATTTTTATCGTTGGATTCACTCATCTTGGAACAATTTTAGAAAATTTTTACTGCAAGCACAAGAAAGTAAATAGCTTATGATGTCAATTGGATAATGATAAGCGAAACTTAAAAACTAGTAATAAGTAACCAGAAACAAATCCACGCCATCAAAAGAAATGCAAAAACATAATTAAAAGATCGTTTTTATAATAGGAAATCTTAAAATGATGAGAAATTTACAAGATTCTCATGATAATTAGAAGAAAAACAATAATTTAATTTGATTCTTCCAATTAATTGAACTTCAGACTTTAGTTACCACAAATATTGGAAGATGTTAGATATCGAAAGTAAACTTCACTTGATTACCATTACTTGCGCAAATGATTAACAATTTATGCAAACTCAGAGTCTTTGGCTGTACATGTACTCTTATAGAATATGAACTCTTGGAAGTTTTCAGATTTTCGAGTTCTTGTTCCTTTAAGACAAAGTTTCTAATCAACTTGAACGATACTTTCAGTTGATCTTTGGTCGAGTAGATTGACTTTTTATCACCAATCTCATCGAGTGGAAGTAAATTAAACAACCGAATAATATGAGCTGAAATTAATCTCAAATCTCGCACACATTTGACGTTTGGTCTTACCGTTGTTCACATTTTCCTCTTTTCGAATTGTTCGAATTGAATCTTTTCTTTCATTTCAATCAGAATTTCTCATGAACGGTTACTCGTGCTCTACTCTAAAACTCTAAAAGTAATAACTAATTATTACCTTTTCCGGTAATAACTATAAATTTTATTACAATTTTATTTTGAGAATAAATTTTCTCAGTGTTGATTTTAAGCACTTTTCTGGCATCGGCAGGTAAATGATCACAGTAAAAAATGACTCGACTTTTACTCTCACTGTAAGGTTAGATTCCACCGTCAGTTGATCTCAAAAATTCTTAACCATTCGAGTTAAAAAGGTCACTTGAAATTCGAGGTTTTGATAATTGGGAAGTCCTTTTTTCAGTAAGATCATACATATTGATAGTGTTCTTCAATTCAATTTTCTGATCTTCTGGCGCAAAGCAAACAAAATAAGCGGTATTCTAGATTATCTCCTGTTAACCACTTGTTAACTTCGAGATCAACTCATAGATGACGAGCAATCAGAGAGCTCTAGGGAGGGTCTAATCCAACAAAGGAATTGAATAGCTGCATCTTCACCTAAACAGGTTAGATGAGCCCCGATCATACCCTCGACCATGTCAGCGATACTTTTATCGGAAATTTCTTGCTCGGTAAACTCTCGATTTGTAGATGAATAGCTGAATAGGTGTTCGATTACCAATTAGCTCGAGGATAAAATGTTCTGTCACAAATATGTTGAGCTAATCCTTTCGATCGACCAAGATGAAGAAGATTAAAGTTCGAGATTAGGTTCATCTTTAGAAAAGTAATTCGTGCTTCGTTCAAATCGTATAATTTAAGAAAAAGAAATGATAACACGATGTATTTAAGGAAAGAATCGCCAATGATTTCTAATCGTTCCAAGTTGATGAACGGATTGTGCTTCTTCGTGGTCATCGCTTCGATAATAAGTTCAATTGGTAGGCCATATTTGTAAGTAGATGAATGGTCTTGATAAATAGAATTTGTTGAAATGATGAGACTGTTCTCTAGGTTGAAATCGTTAAGTTTAATAGAATCGGCGACCATTTTTTCAATCTCGTCGTTTTCTAGCCTTTCTAGTCTTAGTGATTTATCTCCAAGCTGTTGACCAATCTTTTTAATGTCGCAGTTGATTTTAATACTCCTGTCAGTCCATTTGACTGAAGCGATAGCGGGTGCAGGTTTAGCACTGAATATGGTCGCTCTGTTGGTCTGGAAGATTTCGATCGCGTCATTTGGGTCGTTTTTGGCAGAGTTTTGTCTTTCAAGTACTTCAGGGTTGAATTCTTTAGATTTATTGTGATTTTCAATCGAATCTTCGGAATCATCTTCAAAATCTGACAATTCTTCATATTCATCTTCATCACTGTCTTCAGTTTCATCATCTAGACCTTCAAACTTATCCAATGATAATGTAGATGCAGTAAGGTTGGTCTTTTCATGTAGTTTGTAGTAACGTTTACAGGTGAAAGATCAACAGGTTTGGTTGAATGGGTGACATTATTCACCTCGTCTTTTAGTGGGAAAAAATGTTTTAATATGAATTTGAAATTTTACCCTCTGAATCAGTTCGGACCTCGAATCCTCGGGAAAACAGCTCTTTGAATATACAATCAACTTTCGTAAGAGTAGCGATTGATGTTTGGAATAAAGATCCACCGACATTCAGTTTCAAAGATTGACTCAAATGATGTGGAAGAATAAATTTTCTCAGTGTTGATCTTTGGTAAAAGCATCGGCAAGTAAATGATCACAGTAGAAAATCGTGTCGTCTTTAGCACTTAGCTTTGTCTTTTAATTACTTCACAAGTAAATTTTTTAGGTTGATTGTGAATCCTCGGAATCATCTTCATGCTCACCGTCTTCTGTTGTAAATGTTTCATGATTCATTACCTTGAAATATATTAAACGATAATGCAATAAGAACGTTTTAAGATATTACATCGTTTACCTGAGAGAGAATTTCTTATAATTCAACTCTGCATTAAATTATCTATCAATTTTTGTTTTCGCATTTTTGAGTTCTTGTTTCTGGAGTTGCTAATCAACTTGAATTCACCTTTCTATTGATCTTTGACCTTGTATTATATGACTGCTCGGTTGTTAAAGATTCGATTGTGCTCTCAGCAGTTAAGAAGGTGAATGACGAGTAAGAATTGACACCAAGGATTTTGATCTGTTCGGGACAGTATATTTATTTAATGCAAGTAAGGTCAAAACAAAATCAAAATCAAGCAAATAATTAGAGTCCATTGTTTTAATCATTTACAAGTAATTGCAAAACTTTTTCGTATATTTGACCCTCTGAGAAGCTCACCTGTTAAAAATAATGAGAAACATTTATTAGAAGTCATCCAAAAAACTGATTTACTATGAGCCTTACCGTAATTTGGGGTAGAGTGTTAAAAATGCAATCAATAAAGCCAACCTGTTTACCGTGATGCTCATAGAATGTCCAATAACATCGTGTATCATCTTTAGCCAAATTCTTGATATAAACGATTCGACCATCTGTATTGCTGCACAATTTATCAAAAAGGTCAACATTTCTATACAGATTTGTTATCGCCGTCAATGTATTGCATTTATTCAACAGGTTGGTTTGAGAAATGTACAATTTAACGACAGGTTTGAACGAGTTTCGAATGATAAACATAGAGGTTTCATTACTTGATGTAATTAATACACATTTTTTCTCTTTGCATATTCGCAACTCTGATTCACATAAAACAGTTAACTTTTCAATCGAATAGTAAATAGCTTCAGTTAAAAGTTCCCGAATTTCTTCGACATTATCTGGTAAAGTAACTTTCATGTTTCGAAGAAATTGCAAAATTTTTCCAAAATGTTTTCCATCCCTATCAATAAGTATCCAGCCTATTGAATGAGTGAGATTAAAATAACATCCAAAACGAAATGCGTTAATATGAATCTGAAATATCTTACCTTCTGGATCCTTTTTAGCCTCGAATCCTTCTGAAAACATCCCTTTGAACATACAATCGACTTTCGTGAGTGTAGCGATTGTTGTTTGAAATAAGTATCCACCAACATTCAGCTTCACAAATTCACTTTGTTCGTTTTCAACTGGAGTAAAAGTTTCATTTGAAAGTTCTGATTCACTTTTATCGTTGGATTCACTCATCTTCGAACAATTTTAGATGATTTTTACTGCAAGCACAAGAAAGTAAACAGCTTATGATGTTAATTGGATAATGATAAGCGAAACTTAAAAACTAGTAATAAATAACCAGAAACGAATCCACCCCATCAAAAGAAATGCAAAAACATAATTAAAAGATCGTTTTTATAATTAGAAATCTTAAAATAATGAGAAATTTACAAGATTCTCATGATGATTAGAAGAAAAAGATAAATTAATTTGATTCTTCCAATTAATTGAACTTCAGACCTTGGTTACCACTAATTAGTTCTCGAATATAATAATATATAATATATAATATATAATATATAATAACGAAAGGGATCAGTTAATGTCTTCCGACTTTCGTCATTTCCTTGTAATGTGACCAATTTATCTCTGAGAATCTCTCAGTCTTCGTCCCTCTCAATATTACATATATTTTCATATACAGCCAAAGACTTGCAGTTTGCATAAATTTTTAATCATTTAAAGATAAATTCAAAACAAAGATAAAATTATATGTATTGATATTGAAAGTAGTTAGATATCAAAATTGATCTTCGCTTGCGCAAATAATTAAAAATTTATGCAAATTCAAAGTCTTTGGCTCTATATGTACTGTCATAGAATATGAACTCTCGAAAGTTTTTCGAGTTCTCGTTCCTTCAAAACAAAGTTTCCAATCAACTCGAATGATACTTTCAGCTGATCTTTAGTCGAGTAGATTAACATTTTATCACCTATCGCATCAAGGGGAAGTAAATTGGTCGAATTCAATTTCAAATCTCCAAAGTGGATCGATTGACTACTTTGAGTTTATTGTAAATTCAAAAATGCAAACGGCTGAGCAGAAAGTCAGAATCTCGATTTGTTCTGGGAAAAGGAGTTTTTCCTGATTGTTTTTTAGCAACTGATCAATTGATTAAATTACAAACTCTTCCCTAAGAGATTTAATTGTGAGGAATGAGAACAATTAGACGAGTGTTGGTTATAAAAATCTGTTATCTAGTTATTTATTAAATTATTAAGAGAAAGCAATATGCAAATGATAAAAAGAGGAAGAGGGAGAGGGAGGATGAGATTCACGAAATCTTCATAATAGATCAACAGGTTCGGTTGAATGGGTGACAGCATTCACCTCGACTTTGAGTGGGATAAAATTAGTGAATCGTTGACACTTCCAAGTCATCTTCACATAGGCAGGTATGTCAACTTAACCATAACCAATCTCTGAGCAAAGGCGCTTACGGATTTCACTTGCAATCAAACATCTATTGAGAGCTGTTGAAGTGTAAGCGACTTCGACACAGTAGCCTGAAAAAAATTCAAATTGACATATTTCGGGAATGAGGTGGACCAGCTTCAGATTTTTCAATGATTTTACACTTGGCTTATTGGGTTGCGACGGAAAATAGGTTCGAGTTGGTGCTGGGTAACAGGCCAATAGTGGTTGATTTATATTAAGAAAAGGCACTTGGTAATGGGTTTGTTATTTGATTTCCTCTCTCTCGGCTTTTGTATTGCTTGATTGCTGATTTGAAATCAGCATCAAATCCAGAATTGAATCGTAGATTCGACCTTCTTGAAATACAATCTGATAAAATAAAGCAAAAATATTATGAAATGAAAAGTAATCGTGGTCAACTTACATCAGTAACGAGCTTTCCATCGATCCTAGCTGAACCATCAGATTCAACTCTTGACAAGCTTTCACCCTGATAATAAAATGACCAGCAACAATTTAATTTGGTATGTTTTTCATTCAGCACAAACAGAAATTGTGAATGCGATTTTAAACACAACTTGTTAAACAATTCCCAATGCTTGAGGAAATTATCATGCGACACGGCTGAGTAAGATGAGTACTGTCGTCTTACTCGATTCATCGAAAGTAAGACAACAGGTTTGACTGAATTTTTAATCAGCTTGTCCTCTTCTTCGGGTGATGTTATCAACACAATTTGACAGATTGGTTTAACCTCATGTCTCTTCAATTCTGCCTCACATGAATCAATCAATTCTGATGTTGACACGATAATGTTGAGGTTTCGTTTCTTGAAATCTTCGATTGTATTAGATTGATTCACTCAAAGTTACGGAACTTCATTTTTGATTTTTGATTTAATTAGTGGTACGATTTTTTTAATATCTATCTTAAACTAGCGAGAAAATAGTAAGAATTTTATTTTAATTAAAAAAAAATTAATAAATCGAACAATTAATTAATTATTGTAAAAAAGTCGAAAAAAGTCAATTTTCAAAAATAACAAATTTCCAAAAAAAGTAATACTCCCCCCTTTGATTTGCTCGGCAAATTTTTTGGACTTTTTCGCTTCGATTATCCACTAAATCTTTATTCTATCAATTGTAAAATTTCTAATTACCTTAATCTTTTAAAAAGACTTAGGTGATTATAATTGAGCTTTCAGAAAAAAAATCAACTGATTAATTGATTTTCTAGGCCCTTCCAAACTCAGAAAAAGTGATTTTTCTCGATTTTTTATGTTTAGTTCGAATTTTCAAAACTGGTGAATTTAGATCGAGAATTTCACCCAACATTATCAAACTAGATTCTTATGAACACAAATTGTACAATATAATTAGAATCAGCTGAGTTTTCAAAAAATCATTTAAATTCAAACGTCCGTACCTTTGAGTGAATCACCCTAATATTTGGTTGTCGAGACCTCAAGGAAGAATTGAACGGAAATGGTGCAGTTGTAGATGAACCAACGGTGAAAGAAGACTTGATGAAACTGTATTCGGGTATCGATGCGGCGATTGCGTTCAACCACTTGGATAAAACCATTGCATCAAGTCGTCTTTCCACGAAAATAATGGCCGATAAAGGTTCGTCCGAAGGTTTCTGGTCAAACTCGTAAAGAACTTGTAGAAGTCGAAGCATTTTGTTGGTGACACCTGCTAAAAGATCTTTCCCTTTATCATAAGTACCAAGTTTCTCCTGAACGACTTCCTTGAACTCTCTTAAAGTTACAATTACCATTTCGATAACTTCGACGAATGAACTTCTCAGATGACTAATCTGTTCACAAACGACTTCGAAACTCGAGAATAAAACTTAAACTCTGACTTAATGACCAAGGTCCAAACGTACTACAAATACGAGCCAGTTCCTCGAAAGTATGTTTGATCTGTTTCGGAGTAACCGGAATCGCGTCATTTTCTAGAAAAACGGCCATGGGAACGTACTCATCGTCATCTTCACTACCCTTTTTCACAGGAATTTGTGAGGCCGCAAAACGTAACTCTGACTTAATGACCAAACGTACTACAAATACGAGCCAGTTCCTCGAAAGTATGTTTAATCTGGTTCGGAGTGACCGAAATCTCCTCATTTTCAAGAAAAATGGCCATGGGAGAGTACTTATCATCATCACAGGAATTTGTGAGTCCGTAAAATGTCACGGCCGCTCCCTTGCGAAAAAGGTCGATTCAACTGTTCAGTGAATTCATTGATCACCATTATGGCGATGAAAGTTTTACCCGAACCTGTTGGAAGACAAAGAATAACGTTTCTCTCCATAGCGATTTCTAATGCTTCGTTTGGGTACTGATGAGGCACTTTAGAGATCGTTTTAGATCCACTAGTCTTCATGATTACGAATAATTATATTCAATGTACAATATGAAAAAGTGGATCGATTGACCACCTGTTACATTTGTTAAGGTCACTCTGTTATTTCTGGGGTAATATTGTTATTATTTTTACATTTTCTCTCTCCAACCTTTTCGAATTGATAGGATTCTTTTCTCAATTTATTCTTCAGGTTGATCTTTATTGCTTCAGGACTTTTTTGTCTGTTGGTCGTTGATTTAAAATCACCATTATATTTAAAATTTCATCAGTAATTCGCTTCGCGAAATTTATCTGTTAAAATAAAGCAAAGACGTTAAATATAATTATGAATAAAAAAGTAATTAACGGTCAACTTACATCTTTTATTGACTTATTACCCTCGTAATGCGGATAGGTGCAGTTAAATCGTGACACATTCTCACCCTGATTATAAAAAACCAAAACATGTAGCTTGGGTATTCAGTACGAACAGAAATTGTTAATGTTGGTTTAAACGCAACTTGTTGAACAGTTCCCAATGCTTAATGAAACTACTTTTTGATGAGCTTGCATTGATTTATTCATCGAAACGATTTTCAAGGTCATTGAGATCGGTTCTAGACTTCTTGACTAGAGGACTTTCTAGTCAAGTTTGACATTCATGCGACTTTTAGTTCTTGAGATATTCAGTAAAATGGCCTTAGTGGATAAAAGAACGCCCTGTACAATAGGTTTAGTTGAATTTTAATTATGTCCTCTTCTGGTGATTTTATCAACAAAATTGACAGATTGGTTTAACTCTGTGGTCTTCTAGGAGTCTTTTCAGTTCTACCTCACATGAATCAATAGAGAAATTTTCAAAAAGACCTTAGGTCAGTAATTGTCAAGGTAAAAAGGTCAAGAGAAAAGGATTCAAGTTTAGGCTTTAAGTTTAGTTTTAAAATCGAAAATAAAAACTTGTCAGAGTAGAGAAAATATAACACTTTCTCCATTCGAATTGAATGAAACAATCGAAATGTTTGAAATGAAATTGGAGTTTAATTGTTGAAAGAGAAAAGAAAAGAAAACAATATTTAAAAGGTAAGGAGAGGGAGAGAGATTTTCGAAAACAACAGCAACATCCAAATTAGAAAAAGAAAAACAATTGGATTAATTGCTATTATATTACAATGATTCAGTTAATTGAATTAAACTTTTTTTCTTTGCTTTTTAACTTTTTCAATTTGTTATGAATGATAAAAATATATTTATATTTATATATTCAATATAATCTTAAATTCACAATAGAATCCACAATAGAATATAATTAATTCATAATAATATATATATGTGTGTGTACGTATGTGTGTTGATAAATCATAATAATTCATTAATTAATAATATCATAATTAATCAATAGTGATAATAATAATTCAATATATGGTATTCAGTTAATAATAATAATAATAATAATAATAATAAACGCATCATGATAATAATAATCCATTTGTGTGTGTGTGTTTGATGTTGATTAAAATCATTAAATAAGGTTTTGTGTCATGTTGTATGAGAGAGTTAATTAGTTGACGACCATTGATTGTTGACGAAAGATGATTATGAAGATGATTCCTTGATTGATTTGATAGATGATGGATATCGATTTGGTAACTGTTTGTTTTTTCTTTGAAGGGAGGCAAAGTATTGCGAGAGGGAGGAAATTGCGATTACAATTAATTGTCCATCGTTAATTGTTGGAAAAATGATTGTTATTGTGCCATTGAATAGATGATGATAAATGACAATCAGGAGATTCATTGGTTGTTGGTTGACTGTGAGTTTGGGTGATGTTTCTGTTTACTGAATATAAATGAAACTTTTCTGGTGTTAAGTTAATCAATGATTTGATTTCCATTTGATTCGGTTACTTGATCACATGAAGTAAGTTATGCCTTTAACTGTGGGTGTGCAGGGGGATCTCTTGATGAGTGTATGTGCTTCATATTGTTGTTGTTGTTGTTGATCATGATGATAATGATGATGTAGTTGATTTGATGTTATTAGTTGAGTGTGTATATTTGTGCTTGATGAGTCTTCAAACTGATGAAAAGATGAGGTTACAATATGTTTATCCTATTATTTTTTTTTCCTTGTTGACTGTTCCCTGTAAAAGTAACTATTTTTTTGATGAAAAAAAGTACACTTGATGATAATCAACAGATTTTGTTGAAAATTTTGTGCACTCTGGTTGTCAAACCAAAGCTTTTTTTGTTGTGTGTGAGTGTGTACATGATTGAGAAGAAAATAGAAAATTAAAAAGGTCAAAGAGAGAGAGAGAGAGAGAGAGAGAGAGAGAGAGAGAGAGAGAGAGAGAGAGAGAGAGAGAGAGAGAAATGAAAGAGTAAACAGGAAGAGAAATGCAAGTAACTTTCATTGAGGAGAAAAAATCCAACTAAATCCTTAATAGCAACAGTGGAAAAGGAAATCTTTAGAATAGAGAAAAAAATAATGATGGAGAATATAAAAGACAATTCATTTTCAGAATCATGTGCCTCAGTTGTTTATCATCATGGTTAATGATACACACTCACGCTGTTAATATCATATGTAAATGCAATCGAAAAATGAATGACTCCTTTTTTTTACGATGCAAAATGAAATGTTCATTTGTGTTGGTCTTTTTTGGGGTTTGTGCCTTTTCTCAATGAAAACAAGAATTGGACATCATTGTATTTTATCAATCACCAGTGAAGAAATAATAATGATCCATAGTTGAGTGGGGCGTTGTTATAATCATTGTTGATGTTAATGACGATAATGATGTTGATAAGTTTTCTCCATTTTCAATTTGCTATCCTGGTCTCTCTCTCTCTCTTGCAGTTGATTGTGGAAATTGTTATTTAAACAAATTTTTTCGCTTCTCAAAATGTTGTTAATTATGTTGACATGAAAAGAAAAGAGAAAAAAATTTCAACAGGAATTGAGGTGGAAAATTCATCGTCTTCATTAAAGTCCCGTGGATGATAAGTAAACCATAAAATTGATTAGAAGAAAAAATTAATTGTTGTTGCGTATGTTTCTATTGCTTATTAATTGTAATTATTAAGTATAAATAATCTTTTGGACTAGCTGGTCTATTGTGTGTGTGTGTGTTCAGAAGTAAATTAAACGGGATCAATTAGTTTTGAAAGAGCGATGAAAATGATAGACAATCTAAACGAATCCCATTCAAACAAAAAGGTAAACAGGTAATATTGAACAGCTTCAGTTTATATTTAGATGGTCAGGTTGATGTTAATCCTTATGGTAAGTGAGAGAGATACCAAATAGAACCACTTTTTGTTGTTGAATGAAAAATCCAGGTAATAACTTATATATGAAATACATTTTGTTGTTGTAAGTTTGATAGCTAAACAAAACCAGTAAACCAATTTAATGCAATGCAAAGAAACAAAGCAAAAATTGATTATTTCATCAGCTTTTCATTAAGTTGTTATTCATCGTCATCAATTGTTGAACCATTTTTTCCAACACGTTTCAAGTATATTAACCATCTTTTGATAATCTTTTTTAAATTGGTGTGTGTGTGAAAAAATTGTTGATTAAGAAGTGGTAAGTTGATTTGGAAGAGAAAAGTAGAGAAAGAAGAGAAGAAATGAAGGAAAGAGAGAGAGAGAGAAAGACATGAAGGATCAACGTCATCAGCTGATAAATTATTCTTCCTTTGCTTCTTCTTCTTCCTCCTCCTCCTGTCAGTCTCTCTCTTTTTTTCTGGTTACTCTCTTTTTGGATCTTCTTCTTCTCCTTCTTTGCCATCTACTCCCATTTTTTTTTCGACTGGTCCAGCAAGAGGCAGCTCTTATCATTTCAACAGGTAAAAGGTTTTGTTGTTTGTTTTGTTTGTTCAGTTGTTTGTCTATCCGTTTGCTTGTGTTTACCGTAAACAATGATTAATCATCATTGTTTTGCAAAATGAGATAGGGGAATAGCAAATGATGTTGGATGATTATGATGATGAAAAATGAGACTAAAAAATTGAATGAATGGATAGAAAGGATTGGGGGAAAAAGGTTGGGTTAATAAACAACAACAGACAATATTGCATCAGAGTCAACAAAAGACTGGGAGAGTTGTTGATAAAAGGACAATCAAGTGATGATGCAAAGATGTATGAGAATGAGGGAGGGTCAAGAAGAGAAAAAGATAAATGGTGATAATTATATAAGGGAGAGAGATTAAAATTATAAATTAAAAAAAAATTCTGTCAAAACAATTAGTATAAAATGAAACAAAAGATAAACAAACAAATGATTGCGTTGGGCCCAATAAACAAACTGAGAAAGTTAAAAGGTAAAAGGTAAAAGGTTGTTGGGGAAATTAAACGAAAAATAATAATATATATAAATATGAGAGTGGGATAAAAATGAATGCACATTAAAAGGTTAATTAAAAGATGAGGGGAGGGAGGAAAAGCATCATCATCATAATCATCGTTTACAAATCAATAGATTGACGGACATTGTTGTCAATGAAATACAATTAAATGCTTGGGTTGTCTTTAAGTTTGATGAAGTCATTATGAAACAATCTGACGATGATACCATGATGATCAATGGAAAATTTTAACCAATTGATGAAATTAAATGTACATGAGAAGGAGCAATTAAAGTGAAGAAAAAAAAAATTATTTCTTATGTAATTGTAATTGCTTGTTTCCTTTTCCATCACCATCATGTTTTCCTTCAGAATTTTTTCTTATTCTTCATCTCCTGTTATCCAAAAATCAACAAGTCATCATCATGATTCCTTCTCAGTGTTTGGCGGTTCTCTTGTTTTTTTTTTGCTTGAAATTTTCATCATCATCCTGAAGAAGATGATGATGATGATCTTCATCCTTCTTCTTGCTTCATTCTACCTTGATGATGAAGATCATTTTTTTCCTACCAGCTCCTTCCTTGTCAGATCCATCTTAACCATCAACAGCGTCTTTTTCATCATTATCATCAAGATTGTCTCTTTCTCCGTGCATGAAAAGTTTGCTCTTCATCATTTTTTTTTTGCCTTTTCTCATGAACATTGAAAAAATTGCAAAAAGTACAATCATTCATATTGAAAGTTTCTGTATCAATGTTTGCTGTTGTTATTGATGCTGTGTGTGTTGAGGGTATTGTTATTGATAATGATGATGATCATGATGTTGATATTGAGAATAGGTATAGATGAATGGGTTAGAAGAATGAATTCAGCTTGTTCTTCTCTTTCTTTTTTACTTTGTCATCATGATGATGTTTATGATTCCATTTGAGTGCGAAAAAAAATTGAAGATGATGATAAGATAAACACACACTTATAGTAAAGGAAACGATGATAAAAAAAGGTCTTCATTTTTTGGTTCCTTTTCTCCAGTCAATACGTTTCTTTTTCATTGGTTATCCGTATATATATTTTTATAATTATCCATTATTATTATCAGCAGTACTATTATTATTATTATTGATACCATCTATTTTTTTTTCTGCTCATTCCTGGTCAACCAACTTGATAACAAGTTTAGTGGTCACCAGCATCGTCATTATAATAATAATAATAAGGTAAGAGGGGTAGAGAAAGAGGCAACGATAACAAGGTAAACATCAGCAACAGGTTTGCTTTTTTTTTGGTGATTATAGTTGAGAAAGTCACAGTTTTTGTTTAAAGTCAATCTTCGTGGTGAAAAGGGAGAGGGTAATGTTGGTGGTCAATTGGTCAGCCATCGTCAATACATTAATAGATTATGAATGATACAAGCAAGGACAACGGCAAGAACTGAAACCAAGGAGATAATTACAATTGCACATTTTTGTTCACTTCGGATAATCCGGGTTTCACCATCGATTTTGTTATTCAATGATTCTTGTTGACGGGAAGCTGCTTGTTCTTGATTTTGAATAATGTGTTGCTGCTTTTGAGATGATGACTCTCTGTATATATAAGTGAGTAAAAGAAAGAGAAAAGTAATTGTAATTTAATGTTAAAACAGCGGAACCGCAAATGAAAAGAGTAGGAGAAAAAAAAAGAAAATCATTCACCACAATTAACAAGAATAAAAGAAGCAAAAAAAATCACATTAGTTCTCAATAAAAGAAAAGAAGGTGGAGAAAAATAAAAACGAAAAAGGAAAAGAAAAGAAAAGAAAAAAAAACAATAACAACTTACGAGGTGAATTGAATTTGTTGATTAGAGTTTTGGGTTCTTGATCGCTTATGGTGTTTATTGACCGGTTGATGTTCGGGGGTTACAACGGTCAATACATTGCTGACCAGTTGATGATTATTTTCAGATGATCTCACTCTAAATGAATATTGTTCTGAGGGAGTTAAATGGGAGACACGACAAGAGGCTTGGGTACCTTGGTAAACTATTCTGGTTGTTGGTGTTACGGTTCCGTTTTTGGCATTTGATCGGTTTAATTTCATCATTTCAACCATATAATGTCGAGTCTCACTGAGAATAGATCCACCACCATAAGAGGAAGATTGAAAATGATGATGGCTATGATGATAATTATTATGATGACCTTGTTCGTTGATCCATTTTAACTTTACACTGGTTGCAGTTAATGAGGTATAATTTAAACAAAATACTTGAATTTGGGGTAATAAATGTTTAGGTGATCGTTGAGGTGAACTTTTAACTTTAACTCGATTAATATCACTTGAATCTCCATAAGCTGCATTGGTTTCCATAGTATTCGAGGTGATACAATTGTTTTTATTATTATTATCTCCTGTCAATTGTGACTCCTCCTCATCGTCATCTTCATCTTCATCTTCTACTTCCTCTTCTTCACTATTTTCATCAACATTTTTATCACCATAATCTTTATCCTGATTATCACGAGTATGAGTTGAGGTTTTCTCATTTTCTTCAGCACCAACCACATTAGCGGTAATATTTTCATTGAACACTGTTGTTTTTGTAGATGTTGTTGTTGTTATTGATGATACTAGAGATGTTATCATTTGTTGAGAATCAATTTTATCATCACTTTTGCACTTTTCCTCTGCGGTTATATCATTAACAGTAATTGAATCATCTTTAATTTCCTTATCACCGTCGATTTCATCTTTGACTTTCAATGATTCTTTGTTATCCACAGGCTTAGGGTCTTTAATCACTAAATTATCTTCTAAATTATTTTCTTCTTTACCATTTAATTGTTGATTAGTTTGACCATCAGATTGATCAGTTTTATCTTTTCGTTTCTTTGCCTCTTGCCCTTTCTTTGGACTGGTTAACCTTTGTATCGTTGAATTTTCATCAACTGATTCATCTTTCTCATTACTATCACCATTGTCTTCAATATGATTGGAATCAATAACCTTTAGGTCGTTTGGTTTGGTCGTTGATTTATCATTCGAAGTTGTTTCACTTTCAATTAAAATTAAAGGACTTTCGACACTTAAACTATCAGCATCATTGACTATTACTGAGATTGGCAAAGCTCCTGAAGAAGTTGATAATTGTTGTTGATCACGATTATTGAGATTCCTTCCAGTAATTGATTTGGTAACTGGATTTCTTGAATCGTAATTATTTCCAGATGATTCTTTACGACTTTTAATTCCAACAGGATCAACAGAATTTACTGTAAAAATGATTGAAAGAAAAAGAAAAACATACAATTAGCATAATCAAGTATGGAAAGAATTATAATTAAAATCTCAATTTGTAATAATACTAGTTTTTCCATGTTCGATGATGAAATAATGACAAATATCATCATAGACATTGAATTACATCGCCACCCACACACAAACTCTCAATTACAATTACCTGTTGTAGTTAATAATGAATCACAACGTTTCTTTGTAAATGTCGATGCCTCCATTGGTATACTGATAATTGGTAAAGTGGCTGTTGATGGTCCTGTTGCTAAGGTTACATTTAATGGTATATTAATTGTAGGTAATGGTGATTGTAAACTTGGTTTACAGTGACTTGAATGATTCAATGGAATCTTAATTGGTGATGATTCTTTTGAATTATTTGATGAACTGGCACCACTACTATGATTTTTTCCTATTTCTCCATCTAAATTGTAATTACCACCACCATTAGAATTAATATTTGACTTTTTCCGCTGAGGTGTATTCTCTTTTGACTTGTTTATACTTTCTTTATCTTCTTTATTATTGTTAATTGTTTTCTCTTCTCTTCTCACTTTTCTGGACAAATGATCATTCTTGGGTGAATGATTTGATGATGGTGGTGATGATTTGCTATCACTTTTAAGGAAACTTGAACCTTTAATTGTAGTATTAGTAGTTACTGATTTAAGGGAACCAACAACATTTTTAATTGGTGAGGAAGGTGATCCAATTAATAGTCCATTGGTTGGTGTTGTCGTTGTTGTTGTTGTTGTTGTTGTCGTGCTTGTGGTTGTTGTTATTGTTGAATTACGATTGATTAAAACTCCGGATGATGAGTTATCTTTATTATGATGTGAGGTGATTTTCATCTTCTCACTGTCACCAATTAATTTATCACCACCATGGTTAACAATATTGTGATGATGATGATGATGGTGATGGTGATGATTTGAAGTGGTCGATGGTAAATTGGAAACAATTGAATTATGTTTATTATTATAATTATTATTGTAGGATCCACTTGTCACTGAATTGTTATTAGCATTGGTAAATAGGAATTCAATCTTGGCTGATTGTGATTGGTGTGAATGATGTTGATGTGAGTGTTGGTGTGTATGTTGATGTCCATGCGGGTGTTGATATTGATGTTGGTGTGAATGATGGTGATGTTGTTGTTGTTGTTTCGTTGATTGATCTGTGAAGTGATAAGCTCTGGTATGGATGCAGTTAATTTGGTTGCCATATTACCTCCATTGGTCCTTAAATGGGTAACAGGAAATGTTATGGCCCCAGTTTTAGATACAGATCCCGTTTCAGAAACGGTTACTGTTAATGTTTGACTTTTTCCATTGATACCACGAATTGGTGTAGAGCTTAGATTATCTTTATTAATATTATTATTATTATGGGTTGATGAACCTGTTGTAGTTGATATTGCCGCTACTGTCGTTGTTGTTGTTGTGGTTGCTGTTAAATTAGATGTCACTGTAGCGATTGATAATACCCCGGAAGAAGTTAGTTTAGCTGTAGTTATTGTTGTTGTTGACGTTACTCCATTAACAATAAATGAATTACTATGATGATGATTTGTATTACTAGAAGGTGAGGTTCCAGTGGCTGTCGTGGTAATTGTTGTCGTGGTGATACTAGTATTATTGTTAATTGATCCTATTGACGTAGTTGTGGTCGTTGTTGTGGTTGTGCTTGTGTTTGAGGTGTTACTTGTTACTTGTTGTAATAAAGGTGATCTTTTAGAGTATGAATAATTATTACGATTGGGTAATCGTCGGCGGATTGTTGTTCCGGTTGGTGAGGGTGGAAAGGTCACATCTATGTTACAATTTACTTTTGAATTATTGGTCCGGGAAAAGGGAAGACGACGAGTCGAATCAACATGAGTTAAACCCATTTCCCATAGATTACTAGGATGAATAGGCGGAGGTGGAGGTGGAGGTGGCGGGGGCGTAGGAAGTGGATTTGGTGATGGCATAGAAGAGCTAAGAGAGAGAAAGAGAGAAAGAGGGAGATAAATTATATTAGATCCAATATTGTATGAGATATATTGTATAGGAGAAAGGAAAAGATCAAAGGGAAAATTAAATAAAAGGTGAAAGGTTGATCATCATCATCTTGATGAAAACTTTGCTATTGCTCATTCATGAGCTTTTCCTCATCTTGTTAATCTAATTGATGAAGATGATATTTTCTATTGTTTTCGCTTTTTCTTAGAATAAAATTTTGTTTTCCTTTTTTTTTCAGAATAAAATTAAATGGCAAGAAAAATCTAATTGTCTAAACAAAAAAAAACATGTTAGTCAATAGAAATAAATATTAGTTGTAGTATCGTCATCAACTTTCATCGTGATGACAATCAAGAGATGAGATGACATTTGGTTGGATGATGATAGAAACGTGAACCTATCAAAACACAATATAAACACATAGATACACACACACACACACAAGTTAAATGATAAGAGATGATAGATAAACATAAAAATACTAATAATAATCTTACCAATAACAGTAACAACAACACGAATATGGATAAGCTTGTTGCTGTGGTACCAATGTTGCTGGTGGAGTTGAATTGGTTCCATTATTGTTAATTGCCGATAATATAATATGTCTTAAGGTTCCATTTTCATCTACTATTTGTTGAACCATATGACCAGGGGGAACCTTTTTGTTTTTGAGGAAAAGAAAAGATGGAAAAATATGTTAACCGATTATAACATTACGATTGTGTTTATTGATTGAAAGAAGATCATTTACCTGGACAGGCATAGGTACTGGAGGGAATGTGTGCTGAGAAATCATTGTAACGGTAGCGGGTCCTCGAAGGACAGTTTCATTGCCATCGAAGAGTTGAATTGACACAGATTCACCTGGATTAACATGTAAATCAACAAAATGAGGTGGCCCAGCAGTTGTTGAATTATTTAACATAATGAATTTAGATGATTTATAATGATGATGATGATGTTTTGACGATTATTATCAATGTAATTAAAAGAATAGAACAATAATTGGTAAAGAGAAAAGAAGAATAATTTTCCTTTGGGTTTTCTCTCCTTCTTTCTTAATGATGATGATGGTGATATATTTGCGTTTTAATGATGATAATTATTGGAGATTAGACGAGAGAGAGAGAGAAGGAGAAAGAAAAAAACAAAGATAAAATGGGAGAAGATATTGTTTTTTTTGTTTCTTCGTCTTCTCTATGTGGAGGATAATCACCGCAATATGGATACTTTCAACTCCTTCACTTTTTTTTCACCACCTTATGGTTCCTTCACTTTTACCACCTTATGGTTACACCACACAGCTAATTAACCAGAAATCATAGAGAAGGAGAGTGAGAGAGAAAGAGAGGGAGAGTTTAAGAGGGAAGATAGGGGAGAATAAGAAAAACACGTAGAGGGTGAGAGAGAGAGAAAAACAATTAGAGAAATAGAGAAATTAGAGAGAAGAGAGAGAGAAAGAAAGAGATAGAGATAGACAGAGACAGAGAGTGAGAAAAGATAAAAAAGAAAGAGAAAGAGAGAAAATTAACAAACAGAGAGAAGGATAAAAAGAGTTAATCACCAGAAATGAAAGATGAAAATTCAGAAAAAAGATGGTGAACATTAATAGTAATCATATTATACGTACTCAAAAAAACACACGTAAACAGAATATACATGATAGAAGATAAATTGTGAATAAAAATTTCTTTCTCACTGCCAACCCAAGAAGAGACAAGTTATCCAATTCTAAGAGAAATTTGTTCTTCTTTCTTTTTCTCTCTCAAACTTTAGTTCTTCTTCCACCCAACCAGATGTCGCCTTTTTCGAATTACCAGCGACATCTATTGATCGAAAAGAGAAGAAAATCTGTTAATTCTCTTTTGTGAGAGAGAAAAAAAAGAAATAAATTATTAACCGTTAAGGTTAATTTAGTTTTTCTTTTTTCTTAATTGTAAACCTAAGCAATTTATTTACATTTAATTTCTTTTCTTTTTTTTTTGTTTATTTTAATTATGTTTTCATTTCTATTTTTAACTAACTTTCCATCTCTTTTCTGTGTTTATGTTTGGTTGTAATTTCTAAACAAAACTCATGTCTGGTTTATCTTTATCAAAGTGGTTCCTTTTTCTCCTCTTCCTTAATTGTTTGGCAAAATCTAAATTAATCTACACCCGAAACTCTCAAGTAATTGATTAGTTATTTCTCCACATTTTCAGTCAATCATTAACATGGATTATTATCTCTTTTTTTTTACTTCTATTAATCTCTTTTAATTGGTTAGTCTTTTAATCATGATTTTACAAATTGGTTGATTGACAATCGGTTAATCACAAGTTAACACTTTTTTAATTATAATTCTCATCATGTAAAGACATAGGGATATGTTTAGGTTTAATTGTTGTATTGATTTAAGATTAGGATTTGGAGAAATTTTTCTTTTGTTATAATAAATTAAGTAAATCAAAATGTGATCATTTGTTAATCACGATAAACTGGAGCATTTGATTTGGTATCTTCACTTGATATTGATGGTGATGATTTAGTTATTGCTAATTGTTTGGGTTTAGAAATTATTTCATCTGATGATTTGGTTAATGATGATGATGATGATGGTGGTGGTTGTTGATTAGTTAGATGATTACTAATTGATTGTTCATCTTTTTTCAATTCTGTGTATGGATTGTTTTTATCTCGATTCATTTGATTGAATAATCCTCTTAATCCAGTTTTAAAATTGGAATAAATTTCTGATGATGTTCCTCTTAATTGTTTATCTTTCTTTTCAGTTGATTCATTTTCATCGTTACTTTTATGTCGAGGATAACGAGCGTTAATTGTTGGCACATTGTTGGTTCTAACGAAGTCATTAGTTAATGGGTAAGTTGGTTTAGTTTGAGTTTCCATTGAATTGTAAGGTAATTTATTAATGTAAACTGATTCATCTTTTCCATTAAATTTATCACCTCCACGAGGATATGATGATTGTCGAGGTGATGGTGGTGATTGGTGTCTTGAGTCGCCATCAACTGAGTACCAATCATGATCTGGATGATCAGAATTTCTGTTATTGATTGGATAATGTCGTTCGGACGATGGGCCACCTCCATGTTCAGCTGATTCTGATTCCCTTGAATCGTAAATAACTTGTGGTAAATTTGATTCGGAATCATGAGTGTCTGGGATTTCAGGTCGTGGTGGATAAGCGGCAGGTCGTTTTCTTGGTGGTCCATGGAAATCTGATTGATGCATTGGTGGTGGTGGTGGTGGAGAGTGAGGGTGAGATGATGATGGAGGTGGTAATGGTAACAAGTCTGAATAAGATTCACTCTTGAGTCTTGAAGGTTCAAAAGGAGGAGCTGATGAAGAGGAAAAGTGATGAGGTCGTTCCCGAGAATCGGGTGTCTCATGAGATGAATGATCATCAACATGGTAGATACTTGAATGAATGGGTGGAGGTGATGAAGGTGGAGGTGGTAATTGTGTTTCGTGTGAACTATCATAGTTATTTGATCTTGGTGGTGGAAGAGGCAATTCTGTGGCCAAATATCCAGCCGATCGAGGAGGAAGTGGCGATGTTGTCTCACGATAATCATATGGACGCGATGATAATGGCGGAGAGGGAAGTTGACTTGGTGCCTCCTTAACCTGGTAACCAGTATAAGGATTGTTTTTAAGGTGCATTGGTCCAGAGTATTTGGACATTGGTTCGTGGTGGTAACGACTCGCTATCGGATAAATGGGCTTATCAATGATTTCTTTTCTCTTTGGATCGTCTTCATGTTTCGTCCATTTCGATGGAGCTGTGAACCGATGATCTTTAATTGGTGCATCCTCTTTAGGCGTTGGCAGTGGGAAATTGTGTGATGGTTGATTGTTGTTGGAATGGTAAACATTTGGGTGGAAATGATCATCTAATTCATAAGGTGCTTTCATGGATTTAGTTAATTGTTGATTGAGTGCTTTCTCCTTTTCTCGTTTCATTGGATCGTATTGTGAATAGGGAAGCGATTTATGTCGATTTAGATCAATTGAATTTAAATTGTTCTCAGAGGATAAAGATTCTTTTGATTTATCTTCCATCGATTTCAATGGTGTAAAAGATTGTTGAGAGAAAACTGGACGTTGATTAGATCTAAATGAAATCTCACCAGAATTAGAAAGTGAATTAGCTTCACCGGAAGAGTGTAAAGGTTTTAATGGTGGTGAATAGTGAGACTCAGCTGATGATGGTGATGGTTTATTTTCGTGAGAGGTCAAGAAAGAAGGTTTAGAAATGGTCAGTGAGTGAGGGTAGAGTGATGATGGTCGTTGTTGGACAATCTCTTTCGAGGAAGATGGAGAGATTCTTGGATTATAAAGATAATCGTGGTGTTTGGGTTCCAAGTGAAGTTTGGGCTTCGAACGATACTCAGTGTCCGAAGATTTTGATGGTGAAAGTCGACTTGATTCTCTTTCCAATGAATTGTACATTCCCTCTTCATCTCCAGCAGGTACAGGACGAGGAACCACCGGAGGAGATGGTGTACTTGGAGCTTCCAGGTCATTTGTCGAATAGGGTTTGGTAACCATAGATATCGAAGGTGTATTGATATCCTTCATTCCCGGTTCATTGGAGGACATTTTCACTCGAAAACCTTTATCATCGGCAATATATTCAACCTTCCGGTAGATTCCGTTAGCATCAACATAACCATAAGAACCAACCTTAGCCCCACTTCCGTCTGAATGCTCGTGTCGATGTTGCATATTACCTTGACCATCTTCGATCTCATAACCAAACTGATACGGTTTCTTTACCTTCGAGTCTTCACTACTTGTCTAATTATTAGAATAGAGAACGAAAAAAAAAATTTCCAACAATTAGTGAAAAAGAACAATTAAAATTAACCGGATACTAGAACTTTTTGCATATCCGTTTTCTTTTCATAGTTCGGACAGTGTCCAGTCTGTTTATCTAACCGCTAAGTGTCTAATTAGTCTCATTATAATTAACGAGTATTATATTTGATTTAACTAATTTGTTTCTTTTTTCTCTCCCTTAATTACTATTCAAGTTTTTCCCTTTTAGTCTGATTGTTAACCAACAAAACAATTAAAGTTTAATTTCTGGTTGACCCTCATCAAGGTTAATTGATGCTAATTCTTGTCCGCTCCATATAAATACTGACCTCAAATTGAGTTAATTGTTTGATGATTAAATTAAACAATTGTCTTTCTATTAATATCAATGTTGTTATTAATAAAACCATTTTGTTTGTCTTAATATATTTTGGTGACAATTAATTAATCACCCAAAAAAAAACAACAGCAACAACAAAGGGATATCTAAATCTGAGGACAATTAAAAGTTTGTTGGGTTAATCAACTTTTCCTCAATGATTTAAATCAGTTTGACTCTCTCTCTCCGTGACAATTAAATCAAACTGAGACTGAAAAAAAAGTTTCAATGTTTTCCGATTGGGATTCACCTTTACAATTTAATTAACTAACCTAACTAAAAGTTATTACCTGACGTTAATTGTTGTGAATTGATTAATTTTCCCAAAGGAAAGAGGATGAAAAAAAGTAAATCACTAATTATTGATTAGATTTGTTGTAAGAACACTTTGATTACAATCAAAGGTCCATAGTGTTGGAAAATTAAAGTGTGAACTGTTAATCAAGACTAATCAACGATTCTTCCGGATTAGATGAACCATGAAATTAATTAATCTAATGAAAAAGGTAAAAGTTGATTAAGATGATTGTATGTGTGTGTGTGTTAATCAACAATCAATAGTTTACAATCAATTGGGAATAAAAAATGTGAAAAATTTACACAACATTTTGACCTGAAATGTTTCACACTCACTGATTGTTATTCAATTTAAATTGTAATCAACTAATCAACTAATCAATGAAAATTGAGATCTTTTTTTCCCTTCAGATTGTTGATTAATTGAAACGATCAACAATCAACATGATGATACAATTAATTGTTTATTTTAATTATCATTGGTAAACCAGTAACCACTTTTTGATTATAATATAAATCAACAATTAACAATAAACCAAAATCAAATTGTAAATATTGTTATAAATTAATCATTTTCAAATGAAAATTTTGAGGTGCACTTAATTTACTGATTTAATTTCACTATTTAACCAAACAATTAAACATATTGATTGAAAATTAACTGATTCCTTGAACGAGATCAACAACAATTTAGCTCATTTTTTTTAATTATGTTCATGATCAATTCATCATTTGCTATACTTATTCAATTGTTTATATGAATTGAATCCAGAGTTAATCAGTTGATGATTAAATGAATTGTTTAATTTGTTCAACAATTAGTTTGAACAATTTAGTTTATTAAACATGTTGGTCAAGCCAAATATCAATATGGATTAATGGACAATCGGTTTGGCAAATAATTAATTAATTTCCCTTGAAGGTTAACTTAATCAACGGAACAATTAAGAGAGAAAAAAGTAAATCAGTTAATTGTTTAATCATTTGTTCCGTCTTCGGGTCAGTTGATGAGTGAATCAGTTGAATTTTAATCAATTACAATTAATTTAATTTCTCAACTGATTAACATACAAATTTCTCACATATAATATTAATCATAATCATCATTACCCATGAAAATTAAGCTTTAATTGTTATGATTTAAAGCCAACAATTCACACGCTGATTTATCAAATGAGAAATCAACAATCAACAATTAACTAATTGTTCCTTATCTACAAACAATTTAGTCTCTCTTTCTCTGACCATTGACATTGATTATTCATTAATGAACTTTAATCTTATTGTTGTTTTCACAATTAATGATTACAATTAATTACCTTTTGTCCTCCTAACCTTTTAATTGTAATTACAAAATCAACATTGGTCTCTAAATTGTAACAATTTAATCATTGTCCATCTACAAATTAAATTAATACAAACCAATTACAATTGTTAATTGTCAAAATATATCAACATGATTGGCAAATCTTTTAAATTGTGATCACGATTTACTCAATTAATTAACTTTGTTATAATGAACTTGAATTCAAACAATTTGGCAAACTTAATTGTCTCATCATATAAATACTACACATCAATTTAATGACCTTTTCTAATTGTGAAAATTAAACAATTAAAACTAATCTGATTAAAACCATCAACTAATCAAATCTACAAGAAACAAATTAGATTTACTGTATTTGCTTAATTGCTGATTAAAATCAATCCACAGGAAGAAGCTACTTTGTTACTATTAATTGATAATAATAAAATTTAACTACTAAATCTTCAGCAAGATTAACAAAATAATCAGAATCACGTTGAACAATTAACTAATTGCCATTAAAAGTTGACAATTTTTTGAGAAAAAAAATATTAATCTTAAGCAGAGCGAATCAAATTGATTTATATTACATATATTTAATTATTGAATTAATCTTAATCAAGGTGAGATATTGTAATTGTTATGATTAGTGAGAAATGACAATCATGTATATTAGTTAATTGTTATGAATTAAATTTCGTATTTTTTTTTGAAGGATAAATACACAATCAACCAACCGGAATCTTTGGGTCACTTTGATTGTTTTGGTTTACACTTTTGGACACAATCAAATTGAATTTGATTTTCTGTTTGTTTAACTCAAACAATTAACTATCACATGTGACTAAATATTAAATGTAACTGAATTAAATTTGATTGTTGGAAAAAGGAGAGAGAAAAATAATTTCCAATCTAAATTAGATTTTCATTGAGACTTTATGGTTTGATGGATTCAAATATTTATTGGATTGAATTAAATTCACAAGAAAGTTCAATCTACAATTAATTGTAACAATTAACCAACAATTTAAACAATGTTGATTAATGTCAACTATCATTTTCTCATTATTATTATTACAATTAAATTTTCTTGATTAAACTTAGTATATTATTAAATTTTGATATGAAACTTTTTTTTCTGAAACTCTTTCCGTTTAAACTAAATCACAATCAACTAATCAAGACCATTATTATCATGATTAAGATTATCAAGCTAACACAATTGAGTTTAATCAACCAATTATTATGTTTACAATTTACAAACTACTACAGATTAATTTGTTATCCATCGTAATTAAAGTAAATTGTTGGTTAATTTGATTCGCGTTTTGGTTTAAAAAATTAACTTTCGCGATCAAAGTGTTGATTGGTCAACTTTAATTCAGTTGTAAGTTTGTTGATTAACACGTTGATTTAAAGCCTAAATTGTTACTATTAACTGTGACCTGTTGATTATTTATCTTGATTGTTGTTGTTGTAAATACAATTGTTTACCTTGATTGTTAATCCTATCTAATCAACTGATTAATGATGAAAAATTGGTTAATGATTATTTGTTTACTTTTAATTGTTACTTGATAAGTTTTTTTTTCATTCGTTGTTCATTAACTTATTGTGTTAATTGACAACACAATCGTTTGATAACAATTAATTAGCAATTAATCAAGATGAGAGAATCAATTTTTTACCATGTTCATTGTATATTCAATTTGATTTGTTAGTTAATTGTTAAAAATAAAAATTAATCAGGAAGAGAAACGAAAATGTTTCAATTTAATTATCATCTTGTTAATTGTTAGTTTATTTTAAAAATCGTTACTATATGATAATCAATTTTAGCAAAAAATTAATCAAATTGTGATCAATCAAAAGTTTTAATCATGTTGATTTAGTTTTCGATTGGTTGATTTAATTAATTTACTTTGTTATGATCAAACCATTAATCAGTTATCATTGATATTATAACTATTGATTGTTAAACTTTTTTCATAACTAAATTAACATGAAAGGAAGTCAACAATTAATTTGCCAATGATACATATTAATTGTTAATTTTATACACAAAAAATGATTAACCTTGACCATTATTAACAATCAAATGGGTCAATTGAGACGGTCAGTGTTTTGTAATTAAAGTGTTGATTAGTAGTTGATTAACTTTCATCTAAAAAAAAGTGGACACCAAATTACCCGAAAACTTAATTGTCAACCTTAATTTTTGATAAAAGTTGATAATTCAATGCTAAATTTGATTTCCTCTTTTTTGTCTAATTTTAAATTCAAAATTTCAACTCTCCTTTATAATAATTAACTGATTGTCACCCAAACAATTAACTTTAAATGGTAGAAAGTAAATAGTTTCCAATATTTTTCAATGAGTTAAATTATCAGAATTAAATTAATAATTGACTTACCTTTTCACTGGAAGATGATTTATCATTATCTGATTTTCGTCCATTGATTTGATTAACAGTTAATCCAATGATTAAAATGATTGTTATCCAATTCATTTTATTAGATTTTCGAGCCAAGCGAAAATAAAGAAATAAGAAATTTAATTTAGTTGATTAAAAAGGAAAATGAAAATTAACTTGACTCAATCAAATTGGAACACAAGAAGTAAAAACAATTCTGATTATCGGTGGAGAACAATTTAAATAAGAGAAAACTTTTTTCTCTCTCCAGGTAATCACATAATAAACTGATGATTAGTAAATTGTTGTAGTTCACTTTTGTTTGCAAGTGAGCTCAGGTAAGTGAGAGAGAGAGAACGAGAGAGCGAGAGTGCAAGAGAGAAAGTAGGAGGAGTGGGAGGTGAAGCTGAAGAAAGTTAAGAATTAAGAGTAAAAAAAGAAAGAAAAAAAAGAAAGAGAAAACAATAGAATAGAATAAAAAATCAGCTGAGATTTATCATCACTCTTTCATTGACCCAGACCTTAAGGGGTTAATTATCATTCATCTTATCCCACGTCAGGGACTCATAGTATTCAAATCTCTGCCTTTTATGTAGTAAAAACTTATGAATGAAATTTTATTTTTAGAATGAAAATTTGGTAAACTTCAATTCTAGCATTTATTTATTTTTTTTTGGCGATTATTGTTTATTAATTGCGATTATTGTATCAATACAACATGAAACTGTTTAGTTTTGCGAATTAGTTAAATTGTGTGTCAACTTTTCTCACTTTTCAGAAAATCTCACACGCGACTGTTTACCTTTTTATCACCTGAACAATCAACATCACTTATTATCATCTTACCTGTAAGGTTTTTTTAGTTTCTTGGAGAAATTTATTTTTGTTTTAATCTTCATCACAACAATTAATCAATGTTATCAACATCATTTCACTTTTCAGGTTCTCGGGAAGTGTTGATAATTTTGCTTATTCAAAAAAGTAAATTGTTCACCTTTCAAGGGACACTGACCTTAGACCTTTATAAATATACACCAAAAGGTTAGACGATGAAATTTACCATATGATAAGGTTGGGACGAGTTACAATTAAAAGTTTTTCCTTTATTAACTTAATTTAGTTTTAATTGTTGTGGTTAATCAAGAGAAAAAATCAGTAGTCTAAAGGTCATTTACATCTGAAAGATGATCGAACCGATTTTCATTTCGACGTCATTGTGAGACTCATGGAATTAGAACTGAGCATCAAATTATTAATTAGTCAAAGGATAAACTTCAAGATTAACTGTTATTTACATAAATTCGCAAATATTTGTATATAAAATTTAAGAAAAAAATTCATTATTGTTCAATAGTTATAGCGATTTTTGCGAAGAGTCTCATCTTTTCTGGCCATAGGTTAGTATTGACTTCTAGAATTCAGAATCAATTTATATCTATTGTGCTAATGAGGATCTTGTTATTTTCTCATTATTTTGCTAATCTTTGTTTTTAGTAACGATCTGCTAATTATTACTTTCATTAAATTTCATCTTGTCATCTTGGTGATCTTTTAATTATTTGATATTCGAGTTGAAGAGAGCTGATTTTTTCCTAGTATAAAATCCTTATAAATATTGGTTATTATCCAATTTATTTCATTACAAGCTTTGTAGCTTTCCCATTGTTTTATTCATTGGTTTATCCATCTCCTCGAAAGTTTCAACAATTGTTCCAATATGATCGCTTCGTGCGAATCAGCGATTCCAAATAAAAGGAGTGTCGTTTTCTTGCAAAATGATAAAAGTGAATATGTGAAATTAAATGTCGGTGGACTTTTATTCCAAACAACGGTCGTAACTCTCACCAAATTCGACACGATGTTCAAGGCTATGTTTTCTGGTAGAATGGAGGTCACCAAGGATTCTGAAGGTAAGACAACTTTTTATAGATAAACGAATAAATCAATGAACCGATGCGTTTATTTCGAATCAACAGGTTGGATTTTAATAGACAGGAATGGTGAGCACTTCAGAACTATTTTGAAATATCTTCGAGATGGATCAGTGTCATTACCAAAGAAGATGAAAGATCTTAAAGATTTACTGGCCGAAGCTCAATACTATTTAATCGAAGGATTGATCGCTCCATGTGAATCAAGATTAGAGAGGTTAAAGGCTGAGCCAAACACGCGAGTACGAATGTTTTTATCACCAGAAAAAGAAGCAAAATTCATTGCAAACTCGAAGAAACCAATTGTTAAACTCTCAACAAATCGACCCGTGAATGATGGTTATGACGAGGAATTAGAACTAAATCTTCTTAGAAATCGAGAGCTTTTCGAAAAGTTATGTCTTAAATGCAGCCCACGAATAATCTTCGTCCTAAATAAAAAGACAACGAATCAGGTTTGCTGTTGGTCATTTTATAACGATGGCGAGAAAATTTTAGATGTTAATTGTGCGCCGTTGAGCACAAAAGTAAGATAGAATCAATTATTCCTATTAAATTGACATTTTGTTAATAACTATTATTGATTTTGTTCTAAACGATATTTTATTTTCCTAACAGGTCGAATTTCTGAGGTCTAAAATATATGAAGAAGTGCTATACTTATCGCTTCGGGTTGTTAATAAAGTAGCTGATGATTCTGAAGATGGTTCGACTGATGAAGATGATTCAAGTGAAGATGAGGAATGAGAAAACTCTTGGTACAGTCCGACACACAAGGAAATCGAATCCGAAAAACAATAAAGCGAAATCAAGACAATTTTGGTGACTCTCTTCATAATTTGTGTCCTTTGATTCAATTTGTCTTATAAATAAATTCAAGAAATCGATTGTCCCTTCAAAAATACAGAGAATAAAGTTATTAGTATTAGGATAAGTATACTTATCTGTTCATTTTTCAGTGACCAAGACGGTATGAATTCAAGTTAATCCAATGATTGGAATGATAATTTTGCTTATTCAAAAAAGTAAATTGTTCACCTTTCAAGGGACACTGACCTTAGACCTTTATAAATATACACCAAAAGGTTAGACGATGAAATTTACCATATGATAAGGTTGGGACGAGTTACAATTAAAAGTTTTTCCTTTATTAACTTAATTTAGTTTTAATTGTTGTGGTTAATCAAGAGAAAAAATCAGTAGTCTAAAGGTCATTTACATCTGAAAGATGATCGAACCGATTTTCATTTCGACGTCATTGTGAGACTCATGGAATTAGAACTGAGCATCAAATTATTAATTAGTCAAAGGATAAAGTTAAAGATTAACTGTTATTTACATAAATTCACAAATATTTGTATAAATAGATAGAAAAGCATAAACTAGTATTGATTTCTAGAATTCAGAATCAATTTATATCTATTGTGCTAATGAGGATCTTGTTATTTTCTCATTATTTTGCTAATATTTGTTTTTAGTAGCGATCTGCTAATTAATTATTGATATTTAAGTTGATTGGTGACTTTTGCTGGTATAAAATCCTTATAAACATTGGTTATTATCCAATTTATGTCATTAGTTATCCGATTGTTTTATTCATCGGTTTGTTCTTTTGCGAAAAAGTTTCAATAATTGTTCCAATATGAGTGATTCGGATGGACCAGCGATTCCAAATAGAAGAAATGTTCTTTTATTGCTAAATGATAAAAGTGAATATGTGAAATTAAATGTCGGTGGATTTTTATTCCAAACAACAGTCGTAACTCTCACCAAATTCGACACGATGTTCAAGGCCATGTTTTCTGGTAGAATGGAGGTCATCAAGGATTCTGAAGGTAAGACAACTTTTTATAGATAAATGAATAAATCAATGAATCAACGAGTTTATTTCGAATCAACAGGTTGGATTTTAATAGATAGAAATGGTGAGCACTTCGGGACTATTTTGAAATATCTTCGAGATGGATCAGTGTCATTACCAAAGAAGATGAAAGATCTTAAGAATTTACTGGCCGAAGCTCGATACTATTTAATCGAAGGGTTGATCGCTTCATGTGAATCAAGACTAGAGAGGTTAAAGGTGATCCATTTATGCGAGTACGAATGTTTTCATCAGCGGAAAAAGAAGCAAAATTTATTGTAAACTCGAAGAGACCAATTGTTAAACTCTCAACAAATCGGCACATGTATGAACATCCTTATACAGATACATCAGAGCTGAATCTACTTCGAAATCGAGAGCTTTTTGCAGAGTTGTGTTTTAAATTCAGCTCACGAATTAGATTCGTCCAAAATGAAAAGACAACTGACCTGATTTGTTGTTGGTCATTTTATCACAATGGCGCGAAAAATAAAGATATCGATTGTGCTTCGACGGGTAATTTTATAACAGATAATGACATGGCCACAAAAGTAAGATAGAATCGATTATTCCTATTAAATTGACATTCTGTTCTGAACTTTATTTTATTTTCCTGTCAGGTCGATTTCCCGAAGGCTAAAATATATAAAGAAGTGGCTAATTTATCGATGCGAGTGGTTAATACACATTTATCAGATGATGATTGGAGTGATGATGATGAAGATAATTCAAGTGAAGATGATGAGCCAGGTGAGAGTATTGATTAGAGATACTCCGTTCCGATTTATAAATCGATCGATTTTTGGCACAGGAAAATCAATACTACTGATTTCTAGAATTCAGAATCGGTTTGCTTTGCAGTGCTAATGAGGATCTTGCAAGTTTCTCACGCTTTTTTTCTGACATTTACATGTAATCTTAATGGTGATCTTCTAATTAGATGTTTTTATTCAAGCTGACGAGGGCGGATTTGTTTCCTATTAATCATATTAAATATTATCAATAAATATATTAAATCATATAAGTATTGGTTATTATTCAGTTTACACCATTAGCTTTTCAATTGTTTTATTCGTCGGTTTCTTCATTTGTGAAAAAGTTTATAATTGTTCCAGTATGAGTGATTCGGATGGATCAGCGATTCCAAATAGAAGAAGTGTCGTTTTCATGCAAAATGATCAAAGTGAATATGTAAAATTAAATGTCGGTGGATTTTTATTCCAAACAACGGTCGTAACTCTCACCAAATTCGACACGATGTTCAAGGCTATGTTTTCTGGTAGAATGGAGGTCATCAAGGATTCTGAAGGTAAGACAACTGTTCATGGATAAATGAATAAATCAACGAGTTTATTTCGAATCAACAGGTTGGATTTTAATAGATAGAAATGGTGATCACTTCGGAACTATTTTGAAATATCTTCGAGATGGATCAGTGTCATTGCCAAAGAAGATCAAAGATCTTAAAAATTTACTGGCCGAAGCTCGATACTATTTGATCGGAGGATTGATCGCTCCATGCGAAGCGAGACTAGAGAGGTTAAAGGGTGATCCATTTATGCGAGTACGAATGTTTTTATCGGAAGAAAAAGAAGCTGAATTCATCGCGCATTCAAAGAGACCACTTGTTAAACTCTCAACAAATCGATCGGTTAGTGCATATCCTTATGAAAGTTCATCAGAAATTAATTTCCTTAAAAATCGGGAATTATTTGGAAAGTTGTGCCTTAAATGTAGCTCACGAATCATCTTCATCCAAAATGAAAAGACAACTGATCTGGTTTGTTGTTGGTCATTTTATAACAACGGCGAGAAAGTTTCAGACATTCATTGTGCCTCGACGGGCCATTCCAACAATTCTGTAACTTTGACCACAAAAGTAAGATAGAACTGATTATTTCTATTACATATATTCGTACTTTTTAATGGCATTTTTTCATTTTATTCTAAACTTTATTGTATTCTTCTAACAGGTTAATTTCCCGGAGGCGAAAGTATTTGAAGAAGTGCTCAACTTATCGATGCAGGCATTCAAAATATTAGATGATGATTCAAGTGAAGATGAGGAATGAGAAAACTCTTGGTACAGTTCGAACACTAGGAAATCGAATCCCAAAAACAATAAATCAAATCGAGACAATTTTTGTGACTCTCTTCATAATTTATGTCATTTGATTCAATTTTTCATATACAGGTCGCTAGCAAATTCATTTGACTTTTTTTAACATTAATTTACTCTAATCAATCTACTTATAAAATTATTAATTAAGTATTCATTTTATTCGAAATTCATTTAAAAATTTATATCTAAAATTTATTTGTGATTTGGTTCTTTCGTTTGGTCACAATTCGAATTAGAACAAAAAGGTAGAATTCGAATTGTTTTAAGCAAATTTTTTTTTTGATTCTTAATAAAGTTCTTATGGCTTATAGCAATTCGCTGATTTTTGTTCAGAACATAGAAATCGGCAAAAATTTTTGAAAATTTTTTATTTGAAAACTTTATCTCATTTAGTTTTCGAGATATAATTAGTTTAAATTTCACGATTTTTCAAACTCGAAAATCGAGCTCCGCCCTCATGTTAAATGAATTTGCTAGCGACCTGTAATTAAATTCAAGAAATCGATTGTCCCTTTAAGAATACAGAGAATAAATTTGATTCAATAATAAAGTAAACTTCTTTAATAATAGTGATTGAGATCAGACTTGATTTTCATCAGAATTGAATCACTTCAACCTATTCAAAGCAATTTGATTAACTTTGTTGTCCCATCAAAGGATTAACCAGCAATCACATCATAGATGGCACAAGTTATACATGTATAAGAAAACATAATTGAAACTCAATTTAATCCATGCGGTTATGGTTTGATTATTTAGTTTTAACTGTGAACTTGAACTGTTCAAGTTGAACATCATTTGAACTTGTTTCTCGCAATTATTTCAACATGGAGGTGACTTCTCATGATGATGTAGATGAAAAGATGAAAAATACTCATGGTAAATATGTAAAATTGAATATTGGTGGATTTTTATTCCAAACAACAATTGCAACTCTCACCAGAACCGATTGTATGTTTAAGGCCATGTTTTCCGGTAGAATGGGAATCGAGAAAGATTCAGAAGGTAAGTTGTTTATAGTTAAATCAGATTAATCTCATCATTTCTCTGTGAACAATTAAATTAACAATTATCCCCAAATCAACAGGTTGGATTTTGATAGACAGGAATGGTGAGCACTTCGGAACTATTTTGAAATATCTTCGAGATGGATCAGTGTCATTGCCAAAGAAGATGAAAGATCTTAAAAATTTACTGGCCGAAGCTCGATACTATTTAATCGAAGGATTGATCGCACCATGTGAATCAAGATTAGAGAGATCAAAGGGTTGTCCGTTTGGTCAAGTGAGAATGTTTTCATCACCGGAAAAACAAGCTGAATTCATTTTATATTCGAAGATACCAATTGTTAAGCTCTCAATTAATCGAGCGATTAGCAAACACTCTTATACAAATTCATCAGAACTACATTTCCTTAAAAATCGTGAATTGTTCGCAAAATTGTGCCTTAAATGCAGCTCTCGAATTATCTTCATTCAAGATGAACAACCCATCGACTTGGTTTGCTGTTGGTCATTCTATCACAACGGTGAAAAAGTGTCCGATATCAATTGTGCCTCAACGACTGGAAATTGCGATTATAACCAATCGTTGGCTACAAAAGTAAGTTACAGTAGAATTGATTATCTCTATTATTTTCTCATATTGTTTAGTTCAGAATTTTTATTCCATTCTAATCTAATTCTATTTTGTCTACAGGTTGAATTCCCTGATGTGAAAATATATGAAGAGTTTTGAATTTATCGATGCTCGCAAGTAACATATCAGATGATGATTCGGATGATGATTGGACCAGTGATGAGGAATAATTGATACTAATAAAGTGCCTAAGAGGAAAATAACAATATTGACGTCTAGTTAAGCCTTTAAAATGATTTGATTTATTTTTTGATGCAAAACAATGCAATTGATTGTAACTGTAAGAATACAGAGGTTTCAGAGAATAAATTTGATTCGAACAATCAATTAAACAAATGCATTATTTCAATTTTGCTTAATTGTCATGGAAAGTCAATGTTGAACGTGTAAAAAGCGACCGAATCGTGAACTTGTGCAATTGATTCGGTCTTTGGATGATCAGATTCGAATATTATTAAAATTTATTTCCAAATGAAAGAGTTCTTGGTGGTTTTCATAGTATCGACGATTTAAGAAAAGTTGCAATCAGTTGATTTGATATGTTTTTCCCAAGGTTTAATTTCATTTCATAACAAATGCATCTCTTTTTTCCAGTTGATCAACTAAAAATTGTGTTGAAGATAAAAATGTAAGAGACATTGAGCTTGGATCTGATTGTTTGTTGGCTCAATCGTCTTCTCGACCACTAAGTCTATATAAAATTACAGAAAAAAAACAAAAGAAAATGTCAAATAAAGGTCAATTAGAAATGACAAAAACCTTTACCTTCAATTTGTGCTTAATAGATTTCAGATCATGAAATTAAACTGAGATTTCATAGCTAACATCATGGTTACTTTGTCTAATGGAATCACCATCAAGACTTTTAGCTGGACTTAGAGATGTAGTCGTTTTTAAACTATCAGGTGAATAATAAATGATCAAACCGCCGGTTTGAGAAGCACTTAAAGCTGATTGATGCTTGAGACGAGGTGAAAATGATGGTGTTGACATTTCGGTGACAGATGAACTTTTACCAGGTGATTTTGGATAAAGAAGTTTATTCTCTTCATCGACGAAAACTTGTCTTGGTTGATTATCACGTTTACTATTATCAAACTGTAAAGAATTGTAGCCATTGTTTGACATGTTAACGGAAGGGGATCGCCTTTTTTTCCTTCTAACGGCCTGAGGTTGATAACGGGTATGAACTGGTCCACATAATATATTACAATAATTCGAAAGGCATCCTTTTGAAAATGGATTAAAAACACTTTGAAATTTAGCGCTTATCTGTTCATTGGTGGTTCGACCACGAGCAACCAAGACAATATGAAGTCCAGTTAATCCAATGATTGGAATGATTAGAAGTAAAATAATACCACTAATAATTAATGCTATAAATGTATCATGCTCATGAGGATTAACTTCATGATCAAGAAGGTAAAGTATACACCAACTGAGAATGGTGATCATGTGAATACTAAGAAAGATGAGAAAGAAAAAGAAATGGCGATAATTACGCCGGCCGATACAATTGTTAACCCATGGACAGTGATGGTCAAAAGTTTCAACACAATTATTGCAAACACTACAATGAGAACATCTTGGTGGCCGATAAAATTGACAAGTATAACACCATTTCATTCGTATAGATAGACCATTAATATGAACCGATTTAAATAATGGAGCAGGATCAGCAAAATTATCTTCTTCAACTGAATTTGACTTGGGTATTATACCAGGATCCATAAAGGTGGCATAAGAGAAATTGGTTATCACAAAAAGAGAGATAACAGCTTGAACAATAGTGATTGAGATCGAATACTTATTTTGTAAATATTGACAGGGAGAAATAAAAAATAAGGTAGTACAGGTAATTAAGAGAAGCCAAGCTAAAATAGCAGGGACTAGACGCTTCTTTGATTTCCATCCAGCCATCACCGGGAGACCAGAATTAGATTCACTTTAATCTAATCTTATTGATTGGAAACATATAAAAAAAATAGAATAAGAAGAAATAAGAAATTTAAACCACCAATAAGAATAAATTATCTAAAAACAAAAAGAAAAATAAAAACCAAATCATTAGAGAAAATAAAAATAAAGAGGAAAAAAATTGAGAGAAAATAAAATTGACATAAATTTTTGTTTAGAATTGTGATTAATCATTTACCTTTTCAATCATTTGCTTCTTGATCTAAATTTACTAAAAATTATATAACTCATTTTATGGAATAAAATTAATTCACTTTAAACAGTAATTAAATTAGGAACAATTAAGATAAACACAACAATCAATTTCCAAATCTCATGTCAACGGTCGGGTAATAATCGAATATAAAAAACCGCGTCGAAAACTAATCCGTCTAATGTTGCGGAAAAGAATAAAAATTCGGTTATTTGGGAGTTTGTTTTAATTTTGTTTTGTAATTTTAATTAATGTAGAAAAAAAATGATGAAAGTTAATCAATTGATTATCTGTGTTATTAATAAAGTGTTTTAACTGATTGTTTGATTGTATGACAAAGTTGATCGATACTTGGAAGTGATGAGAGAAATGATTTCGCCTCATCCCAGTCAATCTCTTCCAAATCTGCTGATTTTTGTAATGGTTTTTGTGTACAAATAAAATCGGGTTGAATTGATGCAAGTCGAGATAATTGAATTTGTCCTAATTTAAGAAGTAAATTGATGGCATCTTCTTTCAATGGTGGAAATGGTTTACACATTCGTACCAATGCCGGTGCAACAGGGATGAAAAATTGTTCACGTTTTTCACTTTCCAATATTGATAAAAGTGTTCCGGTTACATTGAAGCAAAGTTTTGCTATACAAAGAGATTTAACTATTGGATATTGTTCAACGAGGTAAGAGCAAAGTTGAATGGCGAAAATTTGTTTCTCCAAATCGGGTTGAGATAATAGTTCAGGTATAAATTCAAGGCAAATGTGCATTGAGGGTATAGAGGAAACAGTGAAGGGTAAAAGTTCACTTGGATAACCTTGAAAATGTACAAGTTTAACGAGATTTGGATCGGCGATAAACACTTGGTGTAAATGGACTCCTACAAGTTTCTTGATCTTTTTCAATTTAATTTGATTACCATTTTTTTCCTCTTCATTTAAGGTAGACAACATTCTAGTAATAATTGGATTGCTGAACTTTCTTGAGCGGTGATTAAAGCGATTCTAAGTTCTTCTCGATCTTTTTCCTCTTCCGTTAATTTACTTGGTTTTTCCAGTAAACGTCGAGCAAAATGTGGCCTTGAGGCTATTAGGAAACATTGGAGAACGTGAAGTGTTATCTCCATTAATTCGGGACATCGAAGTACCTTAATATCACATCTAAGTACGTGTAATGGATCAAGAACAATATCATCCCATGTTAATCTTTTCTCTCCTCTTTGGTTGGAAAGTGAATTAACTGTCATGACACATAAATTATCTGGGAAAATACAATTAAGTTGCCACCAAACTTTTTTAGCCTTCTCAAGGGTATCACTTGTTACCAAATTATTTAAAAGAAGAGGTAAATTGTCAACAAAGGTTGATGATAAAGGCCAAAGATAATTGTTGGGTAAACTTAACATACGATCAAGTGTACGGGTTAATGTTTCATTGGATGTTCCAATTGATTCGAAGGCCTTTTGAAGGCGAGATCGTAATTCACTGATGGAAAGATTTGGTTTTACTTTGATTTTACTCGTTGAGTCTCGTTCTTCCGCTGCAAACCAATCTTGGACCAAACAAAGATGCGGATAATGAGTTGATATAAGACGAAGTAAACGAGGAAATAAAACACCATAAAATTGTGGCTCATTTTTGGCCTTTTGCATTAGATGGAAAATCGGTAACTGGGCAAACATTTGTGGTGAATAAATTTTTACACTTCGATGGGCAAAAGTCATCTCCTTCATCATACTTAATCGGGTATCCTCGTAGAGTAAAACATAATAGAGTAAAATAAGTTGAGTGGTCAATACACAGGTTGGCTTAATTTCCTCGGCAATGTCCATCCTTTTCTCATCATTTTCAATTGAATATATTTTATGCCTGAAAATGGAGATAATTTCTTCCTCACTGATTGGTTCATTGGTTGCAACATTGGAATATGATTTAGCAGGAATTAAAAGTGATTTAACATATGCTTCAATTAGGTGAGGAATAACTGGATTAATTGGAGTTGTACAATTGCATGTTTGTCGATAAAGCCAATCTTTAATTGGAACCTTAATTTATACGGGAAGAAGAAGAGGAGAGAAAAATTTATTAATCTCATTTTGTCATTTGTATTAATAATTAAAGAAGCTTATAATTTACCTCATATTTAACGAAAGCTCGAGTTTTTAAAAGTTGAAAAATACAATGAACAGGTAAGAATCCAGGTAAACATGAATTAAGATTAGTTGTAACTGGTACTTTAACTGCATGAGCGGTGATCATTTGATTGGTGAAAACTTCATGAGTGAACATTGTTTTCAAACGATTTAGAGATGCAGTTCGAAGGTTTAATTTAATGTCCAAAGTTGAACTAACCAATTCTGAGATGGATGATATTTGACTTCCATGGAAATGGATGGCAATCAGAAGAAGCATCTCACCAAATGAAGATCGATGACCAGAGACTTGACCGAAAAGACTTTCCTCTTTAACTAACCAGTTTAACCATTCAAGGGTTTTCTTTTCGGCCTCCGTGTTGATCATTATGGTTGGACAAGCCAATAGAAGACATAAAGCTGTTGAAGCAAATCTAATCCCTGATGGATTAGCAGCAGGATGTTGAGTGATTATGTTTAATAAAAGAGCTGATTCTTCATCGGTAAATTTCATTCCAGCGATACCTTTAAGTGCACAATAGAGTCGCAATATTGCTGAAGCCTCGACAAGATGTAATGAGAAATTGTTACCATTCAGTTGATTTTTTGTAAGAACAAATTTTAAACATGATAACAATTCACTTCGTAAAGGTGTTAGACTAGAGGTTGATCCTTGGTCCATCTTTTTTTGACAATTACGAATGTAGGAAACAAACCAGGTTCGTATTTTCTCATCGGTACGGAAAAAAATGCCACTTAAAAAGGAGATCAGATCATTGATTTGAACTATTCTCTCCGTGTCAGAGGTTGACTGAGAACAGCCAATATGGTCAAGGGTTAAAAGAATACACAAAGCAGGCATACGAAGTGATTCCAGTGCTTCCGTGCGAACCAGGAGAGCGTGTGATGGATTTAGTTTACATAACATGCGAAGAACATCAATTCGTCGTTTACCAATAATAGTTTCCTCTTCCTGTTTATCACCGTTAACAAGTAAAGCTGTACAAATGTCGGCAAACATTTCGGGAAAATTGACCACCAGCCTCCAGATAATATGATGACCATGTTTGAAGTAAAGTAAAGTTTCAATTACATCAATAAGAGAGACAATATTTGGTAATTCAAAAATTGACATAACCAAAGCATCAGCAATTTCATCAATGTAAACCTCATTGTCAAATAGTTCAGAATATTTTGTATTATTTAAAGGTAATTTCGCTTGAGCCAAGAAACTTTTGATGATCATTTGTGATGTTAAAATTTCATTGAGAACAATTTTCAATCGTTTGTTTCCTTCACTTTTCTCAAATTCTATAAAAAAAAGAATAAAATAAACAATTTAGAATAGAACAAAAAGTTAAAAAGAGAATAGAAAAAAAAATATTTTCTACTTACCTATGACTACATTTTCTACATTGGAAAGTGAACCCTCTTCACTTGTTAATAGTTTTGCTCTCAATTGTTGCTCTCTTTTAACATCAATTTCCAACGAGTGAAAATCACCTGATAGAAGGGTAATTATCAAATTAGCTGGTTCTTGGGTGGATAAAATTTTCATAATTAGCTTTTTCTGATTAGACCAAAAAGGTGAATTATCAAGAGACCGGCAGACAACCATCCGAAGGAGACTTGGGATCACTGGGCGAACCTCATCATCGCCCAAGCTACTGAGTAATCCAATGTTCATCGTACTGATTGCTTCGAAAAGCCTTGGTGATACCTCATAATCCATGATGGCGACAATTTTATAGAGCAAAATAAAATAATAATCGACCAACAATTAATTTGGAAAACAAAACAATATCAACACAAAAATATCTCAACTCTCATACAGAAAATGTTGATCACTTTTGAAAGGAAAAGAGAAACTCAAACATAAACAACAAGCGAAAACACTGTCGCCATCTAGTGGAATTTAGAAAAAAATCTTTTTAATTTAGAATTTGAATTAAATTAATTTCTTTTAATCTTAATTGATTTTAATTCAACGAAGAAAAAATTTATTCATTTAAATTTTTTTTGCAAATGGAAAAACAAAACATTGTTTGGAAAAATTTGCACAACAAACAGTTAACTGATTCTCGAACGAAATTATAAAAGTGTCATCAACTTGTTCCTCATTGATTGATTGTTGATTAGTTAATTTGATTTAATTTTCTTCTCCTTCTTCATTGAGACAAATATACTTGTGAATGGACCAAGAATGAAAAAGTGAAACAGTAAACCACCAATAAAAAATGACGATAATTCAAATATAAACAAGGAGAACTGGAAAGGGAAGAAAATTGAGAGAAAAAAACAATTAAGATCAACAATTAGTTAGCAAAATGAATGAATAAACTTTACCATGCTAGCATAAGTTACGATTTGATGTCTTAGTGAATTAAGTATAACAGTCATGACAGTTATATGAATACAATAAGTTGATTTTAAAATGGTAGCAATGATCGAGAAAAACTTTAATTGTTTATCCTCCTTTTCCAAATCCATTGATTTCTTTTGATTAATTTCCTGATGATTAGTTGATTCATTTTGTTTCAAGAAGCCATTTTCCTCGCTACTTTCATGAGAAATTTTCACTCTACTCAGGGCAAAGAACCAAAATATCAAACAAATTACTCGAAAAACAACAACGTAAATTGCGAGAATCAATTGATTCTGATAAGGTTCAATTAGATTATAGTAAATTGGTTGAATGAAAAATAAGCTGAAACCAAAAGCCAAAAGGTTCTCATTGATTTTCTTGCAAATTGGTATCTAAAAGTAGATAAGTTAATCATTATTAATTAGAAGTTAGTTAGAAGTCAATTATTGATATTCGGTTACCTTATTAATCGTTGGTACATAATCGTTCATAATTAAGTATGTGAATAAAGTTGTACTTGAATACATCCAAAGGTGAGACATAGTTCTCAGGTAAGCATGGAAAATATAAAGTTCAGCTGATCTGAAATGGAAAATATTTAGTTAATTAGTGATTAAGTCTAGTAAGTGATATTTGTAATTAATGTTTACTTGTAAGCTTCAGAATTTGCTTCACGCATATGCATATGAGGCTGATATTTATTGTGGTAGAAAAGGAAACCAACATAATATAATGATCCAATCATGGTGATTAGATTAACGGTTAATCCAATTTTAGGATAGCGTTTATATAGAAAGACAAGAACAACGATGACCAGTAAAAGTTGACTTTCAGCCGAAACTGACCAGAAATGACCTAAGCACTGAAGAAGAAAGTTATCATTTAATGGGTATTACTCATGCTCGTTAATCACTTACTAAATTATCTTTGTCATAAACCTGATTGTTTTGGAGTAAAATTGTTTTCCAAAAGTTATTAAGACATAAATTTGATTCTCGTTCAAGTAAATTGTAAGGTCCAGATGAGAAAACCAAAGGTAGATTTATATGGATCATTAGAATAAATAAAAGCAGTAGAGATAATCTAGTTAATCATATGAATACAGAAAAAGTTATCAGCAATTAAGATCAAATGAATATGAGAATAAGAGAATAAACTCACGAGAACAATTTAGTTAAAGTGGAAACAATTAGCTGAGAAAATCTCGTCGTTGGTCCAACTTTTTTCCATAATTCCATGGAACGAGCAAAACCTCTAAACAATTAATTTATTAGTTTGATTTTCTTCACATGCGATGAGATGACACTTTCATAAATCTCGTAATGCTAAAAGATTTTACAGTATTACGATTGATACAACTTTTGACTTGCAACTATTGATTTACCTTTCTTAACTTACCCATATACGAATAAACCTTCAACGTACCAATCAGATGAAAGAATCGGTGCGAGAAAATTACTCACTATTCCCTTTGGAACTGGCATAGCAATGGCTGAAACTGAAAAGAATCACGAGCTCATTCATAAAAATGAATCACAATTAGTGAATTTTTGCTTGACTTACTGATGAGCGCGGTTGTCTTATTGATGGTTACCCAGCCAAAGATATGGTAAGAGAGATTAATACAGTGAACAATCGTCGACAGTTTCAGTAGAGTCATGATCCTATTTGAAGACCAATTCGGTTGGACAATTTGTCGATAACTTGATTTAAATGAGAGATGATGAAACCAATTTGATTGATCATAATTATCATTCTCATTCTCATTGTTGTTATTTAGCTTTGATGATTTGTATTCCAAGATATTGGCGAACAATACAGCTGAGATTATTACAATTAGTAAAACTCTGGAATGAAGATTTTTAATTGAGTTTAATATGATCACTAAAATTTGATTAATTATGTAAATACTTACAAACATAATTTCTGTAAAATTGAAGCTTTGATTAGTTTATCAACGAAAGTTTCATTGACTAAACAATGATCAACACTAAAAAGATCCCAATCATATGGTTTGAGAGCTGAAAGTTAGCCAACGATTAGTTGTTAATTGTTAATTTATTGAATGAATACTCACCATTAGAAGCGATGATTTGTAAATCATTTGATGAGCAATCAGAAGGCAAACAAAATCCAATCTTGAAACAAGCTCCATATTCACATGAGATCAATTTACTTGAGGTAAAAATATTCTCACTCAAGTTAATTGTCTTATTGCTTGGTAAAAATGAAGTCAAACAATAAGAAGCAAGTTGATTGTTTCCATCATAATTAATCCAATTTAATTGTTTACATTGATCAATATTACCAAAAGCCAAATAACCATAGCCAGAAAAATCATCAGGTATTGAACCAGAAGCTTCAAACACTAATTCAATTATCAAATGATTAAATCAATCAAAAGTATGATTATTGTCATGATAACAGAAACATGTTGATTAGTTAATTGTAACTGTTACTTACATTTAATTGGCCAATCTTGACCTTCACTCATTGATTGATTTACATAATTCAAACTTAATTTACACTCTTTGGTTACATTTTGATTAACTTTAAAATCATTAGAATCAATATATTCCCATAGGATATTAGTAAATCCAGTTTTAATCAAATGAGGTTGTTTAACTATCCAATCATTTGTAGATGAAACTTTTGAAACAATTAAAGTAATCGAGATAAATAATTGTAATAGTTGATATTTAATTATCATGTTTACAATCAGTTGATTGAGTCACAATAAATGATTAATGAAAACTCCACAAATCAAGTTAATCGTTGTTGTTGATTTAACGATTGTAAAATGAAAAGTTAATTGTCTAAATTATAATCAATTGTGATTATTGAAAACAAGAAAATCTCTCTGGTTCGTTTGATTGAGGAAATTACTAATAATAACCTTGATTCTAATTGTCAATGTTGCTTACAACCAGTTGATGACCAACACTGACCATAATCAACATAAGTTAATTGTCGTCGTTTGTTACTAAATTTCAATGAAAAACTAGTTTATACACATGTTTAATCAGGAAATTCATGAAGCAATTAAACTGCCTCAGGCAATTAGCGTCATAATTTTCGTATAAATTGTACATTCATTAATTGCCTACAATGTGAATAGATGGAAAGTTTCTGCATAAGTCATGATACCGAGATAATTGTGATTAGAGTTAATTATGTTGATTTATGTTTTCCAATTGTCTTTCTTCAATCAAGTTTATTTTTGTATCATTAAGATTTAATTTTCTTGTGAATGGAAAAAGTTACATTAAATTAAGAAAGTATCAACAAGATGTTTGATGCTTAATTCTTGATAAATAATAATTGTGATTCTCGATTCTCTAAATAAAAAAACGAAACATTGTTTGAAAAAATTTGAACACAAACAGTTAACTGATTCTTGGACGAAATTGTAAAAGTGTCATCAACTTGTTCCTCATTGATTGATTGTTGATTAGTTAATTTGATTTAGTTTTCTTTTCCTTCTTCATTGAGACAAATATACTTGTGAATGGACCAAGAATGAAAAAGTGAAACAGTAAACCACCAATAAAAAATGACGATAATTCAAATATAAACAAGGAGAACTGGAAAGGGAAGAAAATTGAGAGAAAAACACAATTAAGATCAACAATTAGCTAGGAAAATGAATGATTAAACTTTACCATGCTAGTATAAGTTACGATTTGATGTCTTAGTGAATTAAGTATAACAGTCATGACAGTTATATGAATACAATAAGTTGATTTTAAAATGGTAGCAATGATTGAGAAAAACTTTAATTGTTTATCCTCCTTTTCCAAATCCATTGATTTCTTTTGATTAATTTCCTGATGATTAGTTGATTCATTTTGTTTCAAGAAGCCATTTTCCTCGCTACTTTCATGAGAAATTTTCACTCTACTCAGGGCAAAGAACCAAAATATCAAACAAATTACTCGAAAAACAACCACGTAAATTGCGAGAATCAATTGATTCTGATAAGGTTCAATTAGATTGTAGTAAATTGGTTGAATGAGAAATAAGCTGAAACCAAAAGCCACAAGGTTCTCATTGATTTTCTTACAAATTGGAATCTGAAAACAAAACAAGTTAATCATAATTAGTAATTAGAAGCAAATCAAGTATTGATATTTGGTCACCTTATTAATCGTTGGTACATAATCGTTCATAATTAAGTACGTGAATAAAGTTGTACTTGAATACATCCAAAGGTGAGACATGGTTCTCAGGTAAACATGGAAAGTATGAATTTCAGTTGATCTGAAATGGAAAATATTAATTAGTCATTAAGTCTAGTAAGTAGTGTTTGTTATTAATGTTTGAACCTGTAAATTTTAGTATTGCCTTCACGCATATGCATGTGCCTGATATTGATTGTGGTAGAAAAGGAAACCAACATAATATAATGATCCGATTATGGTGATTAGATTAACTGTTAACGCAATTTTAGGATAGCGTTTATATAGAAAGACAAGAACAACGATGACCAGTAAAAGTTGACTTTCAGCCGAAACTGACCAGAAATGACCTAAACACTGAGGGAGAAATTTATTAATGTGTTTCCCGAATGAAGAAACCAAAGGTAAAAGATTCGCTTCTAGTTTTCATTTGAAGAAACCAAAATCACTTTTAATTGTGATTAATTAATTAATTCTAAGTCGAAATTAAATTTAAATCACATGTATGATGAATTTGAATTTCAAACTTCATTTCAAAAAATGAAGGTCCCAAGTCTCGTATCATTGATCTCGATTGGTATGCGAGTAAAACCATTGGGGTTTCTTCAAATGAAAACTAAATTCGAATTTTAATTTTTGGTTTATTCAATCGGGAAACACTGAATTTACTGGTTGTTACTCATGATTGATAATTAACTTACTAAATTATCTATGTCATAAACCTGATTGTTATGTAGAAAAATTGTTTTCCAAAAGTGTTTAAGACATATGTTCGATTCTCGTTCAAGTAAATTGTAAGGTCCAGATGAGAAAACCAAAGGTAGATTAACATGGATCATTAGAATAAATAAAAGCAGTAGAGATAATCTAGTTAATCATATGAATACAGAAAAAGTTATCAACAATTAAGATCAAATGAATATGAGAACGAGAATAAACTCACGAAAGCAATTTAGTTAAAGTGGAAACAATTAGCTGAGAAAATCTCGTCGTTGGTCCAACTTTTTTCCATAATTCCATGGAACGAGCGAAACCTCTAAACAATTAATTGATTAGTCTGATTTTCTTCAAAAGCGATTAGATGACACTCTGCCTTTTATAAATCTCGTAATGCTAAAAACTTTTACAGTATTACGATTGATTTAACTTACCCATATACGAATAAACCTTCAACGTACCAATCAGATGAAAGAATCGGTGCAAGAAAATTACTCACTATTCCCTTTGGAATTGGCATAGCAATGGCTGAAACTGAAGAGAATCATAAGTTCATTCATAAAAATAAATCACAATGAGTGAATTTTTGCTTGACTTACGGGTTAGCGTGATTGTCTTGTTTACTATTTGCCAGGTAATGATATGATAAGAGAGATTAACACAGTGAACAATGGACGAAAATTTCAGAAGGATCAAGATCCTATTTGAAGACCAATTCGGTTGGACAATTTGTCGATAACTTGATTTAAATGAGAGATGGTGAAACCAATTTGATTGATCGTAATTATAATTTTCATTTTTGTTGTTGTTATTTAGTTTTGATGATTTGTATTCCAAGACATTGGCGACCAATACAGTTAAGATCATTACAATTAATAAGAATCTGAAATGATGATTTTAATTGAGTTCAATTAGGTTAATAGACGTCAGTTGATGATGAAAATACTTACAAACATAATTTCTGTAAAATTGGCGCTTTGATTAGTTTATCAATGAAAGTTTCATTGACTAAACAATGATCAACACTAAACAGATCCCAATCATATGGTTTAAGAGCTAAAAATTATCATTTCATTAGTAAATTGTTAGTTGTTGTTTGTTAATCTAGTGAACGAATACTCACCATTGGAAGCGATGATTTGTAAATCATTTGATGAGCAATCAGAAGGCAAACAAAATCCTATCCTAAAACTGACTCCATATTCATATGAGATTATTTTACTTGAAGTGAAAATATTGTCACTCAAGTTAATTGTCTTATTATTTGGTAGAAATGAAGTCAAACAATAAGAAGCAAGTTGATTGTTTCCATCATAATTAATCCAATTTAATTGTTTACATTGATCAATATTACCAAAAGCCAAATAACCATAACCAGAAAAATCATCAGGTATTGAACCAGAAGCTTCAAACACTAATTCAATTATCAAATGATTAAATCAACCAAAGTTATGATTAGTGTCATGATAACAGAAACATGTTGATTAGTTAATTGTAACTGTTACTTACATTTAATTGGCCAATCTTGACCTTCACTCATTGATTGATTTACATAATTCAAACTTAATTTACACTCTTTAGTTACATTTTGATTAACTTTAAAATCATTAGAATCAATATATTCCCATAGGATATTAGTAAATCCAGTTTTAATCAAATGAGGTTGTTTAACTATCCAATCATTTGTAGATGAAACTTTTGAAACAATTAAAGTAATTGAGATAAATAATTGTAATAGATGATATTTGATTATCATGTTTATAATCAGTTGATTGAGTCACAAATCAAGTTAATCGTTGTTGTTGATTTAACGATTGTAAAATGAAAAGTTAATTGTCTAAATTATAATCAATTGTGATTATTGAAAATGAGAAAATCTCTCTGGTTCATTTGATTGAGGAAATTACTAATAATAACCTTGATTCTAATTGTCAATGTTACTTACAACCAGTTGATGACCAACACTGACCATAATCAACATAAGTTAATTGTCATCATAATTTTTCGTATAAATTGTATTCATTTATTGTCTACAATGTGAATAGTTGAAAAGTTTCTTCATCAGTTAAGATACCGAGATAATTGTAATTAGAGTTAATTATACTAGTATGTTGATAATAGAATTAATGTTTTTTAATTGTCTTTTTTTTCAATCAAGTTTATTCTGGTTTCATTCAAATTCAATTTTCTTTCCTATGGAAAAAGTTATACATTAAATAGAAAAAGTATCAACAAGATGTTTGGTTTAATTAAATTTAGAACTTGAGTTTTAAAGTAATTTCTAATTAAATTGATTCTTTAAATAAAAAAACAAAACATTGTTTGGAAAAATTTGAACACAAACAGTTAACTGATTCTTGGATGAAATTGTAAAACTATCAATAACTTGGTCTCTTATTAGTTGATTGTTGATTAGTTAATTTGTTTTAATTTTCTTCTCCTTCTTCATTGAGACAAATATACTTGTGAATGGACCAAGAATGAAAAAGTGAAACAGTAAACCACCAATAATACATGTAGTTAATTGTAATAAAACAAAGGTGAACTGAAAAGGAAAGAAAATTAAGAAAAAAAAATCATAATTAAGAACAACAATTAATTAAGACAATAAGTGATTGTAATTGACACTTTACCATGTCACCAAAAGTTACGATTTGGTGTCTTAGTGAATTAAGTATTATTGTGATCACCGTTACGTGGACACAATAAGTTGATTTTAAAATCGTAGCAACGATCGAGTAAAACTTTAATTGTTTCTCCTCCTTTTCCAAATCGATTGATTTCTTTTGATTAATTTCCTGATGATTAGTTGATTCATTTTGTTTCAAGAATCCATTTTTCTCGATATTTTCAGCAGATACTTGATTCGATTTATCAGAATTTCTACTTGCGACAAAGAACCAAAATATCAAACAAATTACTCGAAAAACAACCACGTAAATTGCGAGAATCAGTTGATTCTGATAGGGTTGAATTAGATTGTGGTAAATTGGTTGAATGAGAAATAAGCTGAAACCAAAAGCCACAAGGTTCTCATTGATTTTCTTACAAATTGGAATCTGAAAACAAAACAAGTTAATCATAATTAGTAATTAGAAGCAAATCAAGTATTGATATTTGGTTACCTTATTAATCGTTGGTACATAATCGTTCATAATCAAGTATGTGAATAAAGCTGTACTTGAATACATCCAAAGGTGAGACATGGTACTCAGGTAAACGCTGGTGGCAAAATTTTCAATTGAGCTAGAAGAGTAAATATAATGTTGATTAACTACCAGGCAGGTTAAATGTGTCATTAATTACCTGAAACTTTCATCATCACCTGCACTGAATATATGAGCTGGGTATTGATAATTATAATAGAAGTATCCAATGTAAAGTAATGAAGTAATCGAGGTAATAAGATTACATGTTAATCCAATTTTAGGGTAACGTTTATACAGAAAGACCAGTATAACGATGACCAGTAAAAGTTGAGTTTCGGCCGAAACTGACCAGAAATGGATCAAACACTGGGAGTGAAATCTATCATTAAATTATTGTCATTAATTGATATAAAAACTTACCAAGTTGTCAATATCCTTAGGATGATTGTTCTGAAGGAAAATTGTTTGCCAAAAGTTATTAAGACATTGATTTGATTCTCGTTCAAGTAAATTGTAAGGTCCAGATGAGAAAACCAAAGGTAGATTAACATGGATTATCAGAATAAATAAAAGCAGTAGAGACAATCTAGTTAATCATATGAATACAGAAAAAGTTATCAGCAATTAAGATCAAATGAATATGAGAATAAACTCACGAGAACAATTTAGTTAAAGTGGAAACAATTAGCTGAGAAAATCTCGTCGTTGGTCCAACTTTTTTCCATAATTCCATGGAACGAGCGAAACCTCTAAATAATTAACAATTCAAAGGATAATTTCATTAAGAATATGGAAATTTGTCAATCATGAAATGAGATCAATAAAACTCTGATTCCAGAAATGAATTTAAACTCACGTGTATGTGAATAAACCTTCAAGATACCAATCGCCGAAAATGAATGGGACGAACCAGTCTTTTATCGGTGCTCTTGGAAATGATTTCAAAAGAATTGCCACTGGGAGAACGAGGAAAAATCAATCAAAACAATTGTTTGAATGCTTTAATTAACTTACTTGTCAGAGTGTTCGTTTTATTAATTATGGGCCAAACAGCGATGTGGATTATAAGATTAAGCAATGAATTGTTGTCGAGTATTTGTAAAAACTAGTCCTTTTATCTGAAGACAAATTGACTTGGACAATTTGTCGATAACTTGATTTAAATGAGAGATGGTGAAACCAATTTGATTGATAATAATTATCAGTCTCATTGTTGTTGTTGTTATTTAGTTTTGATGATTTGTATTCCAAGATATTGGCGACCAATACAGTTGAGATTATTACAATTAGTAAAACTCTGGAATGAAGATTTTTAATTGAGTTTAATCAGATCACAAGAATTCAGTTAATCATCAATCATGCAAATACTTACAAACATAATTTCTGTAAAATTGAAGCTTTGATTAGTTTATCAACGAAAGTTTCATTGACTAAACAATGATCAACACTAAATAGATCCCAATCATATGGTTTAAGAGCTGAAAATTATCAATTATTAATAATTAGTAAATTGTTAGTTAACTGTTGATTTATGAATAGTAGATTATTACTTGATCGTTAATATAGTGTATTAATACTCACCATTGGAAGCAATGATTTGTAAATCATTTGATGAGCAATCAGAAGGCAAACAAAATCCAATCTTGAAACAAGCTCCATATTCACATGAGATCAATTTACTTGAAGTAAAAATATTCTCACTCAAGTTAATTGTTTTATTATTTGGTAGAAATGAAGTCAAACAATAAGAAGCAAGTTGATTGTTTCCATCATAATTAATCCAATTTAATTGTTTACATTGATCAATATTACCAAAAGCCAAATAACCATAACCAGAAAAATCATCAGGTATTGAACCAGAAGCTTCAAACACTAATTCAATTATCAAATGATTAAATCAATCAAAGTTATGATTAGTGTCATGATAACAGAAACATGTTGATTAGTTAATTGTAACTGTTACTTACATTTAATTGGCCAATCTTGACCTTCACTCATTGATTGATTTACATAATTCAAACTTAATTTACACTTTTAGTTACATTTTGATTAACTTTAAAATCATTAGAATCAATATATTCCCATAGGATATTAGTAAATCCAGTTTTAATCAAATGAGGCTGTTTAATTATCCAATCATTTGTAGATGAAACTTTTGAAACAATTAAAGTAATTGATAAATAAATAATTGTAATAGTCGATATTTGATTATCATGTTTACAATCAGTTGATAGTATCAGATCAAAGCAATAATCCAAAATCAAACATATCAATGAATTCGTTGTATCTGATTTAACAACTTTTCATTTTAGCTGAAAGTTAAAATCACAACTTATCGATAGTCCCATGGAAAAATCAATAAATTGTTTCGATAATTCATTTCGTTTGAGGAAAGTGATCAAAATAAGTATTAACAATTACCTTGATTCTATTGCTCAATGTTAATGACAATCAGTCGATGGTCAACACTGCCCATAATCAAAACAAGTCTAATCAATGTTAATAATTAAGTGCAAGTTTTACAATCAAATCAACAGGTTTCAAATGCTGATTTAACTGCTTCAGGCGATTATCGTCACAATTTAACAATCAAATTTTCCAACGATATAAATGGACATTATAATTATTTATTGACCTCAATGTGTTTCTACATTTGAATTGTGATAATTAAGATTAGAGTTAATCGTGTTGATATTAATAGAATAGAATTTATTTCCCAATTGATTTTTTCTTCAATACAGTAATTGAGTTAATTGTAGATTGTTAATCATTGTGATTTAATTTTCTTCCTCATGAAAACAGTTATACTAGTAAATGGGCCGAGGATAAAAAAATGAAACAATAAACCACCAAATATACAGAGAATCAATTGAAATACCATAAGAATCAACTAAATACAATTAAAAATTAGATGGATTAAGAGATTAATAGAAAATATTGATTAAGGGAAGTTAATTAGTTAATTTACCAATTGATAAGGTGATGTTATCGGCCGACGCAATGAATTGTAAGAAATGGTCAATATCGTTATATGGATACAATAAGTTGACCTTAAAATCGTAGCGATTATTGTATAGAATTTTAATTTTCTCATTTGTTCAACTGAATTAATTGATTTCTTTTCATAACAATTAGAATTGTAACTAATCATTGGACCATTAATACTCTTTAATTTTCCATTAGAGTTTAATCCATTGGAATGAGACTTTGGCTCTTCCGGTCGATCGAAAACTTTTTTAGCTTCGTCGGTCATTCGAAAGCCACAAAATAAGAAAAATACTATCATGAAGAGTCGATGTACCACCGAGTAAATTGCGAGAATCAGCTGATTCTGATAAGGTTTAATTAGCCTCAGGTAAATTGGTTGGAAGAGAAAAAGTAAAACACAAAATGGAACCATTTTCGTATTGATGCTCCTAAGAATAGGAAACTTATTCGAGAAAAAAAAAATGGAATTAGCTAATTGTTCTGAGAATTTCCCCTCAAGCTAATTGATTACCTTGATAATCGTTGGAACATAATTGTTCATAATTAAGTAGGTGCACAATACGGTTGTACAATAGATCCAAAGATGAGTCGATGAGCGTGTATACAGATTAACATTATAATCTTCAATTGCTCTGGAAGCAAATGGATTAAGAGTAAAAGATTTTGATAAAAGTTGTAATTGTTAGATTCTAATACTTACTTTATATTAGTAATCCCTTCACTTATTAGATGAGCTGAATGTTGATTATGATAATAAAGGAAACCAACATAGTATAGCGATCCGATTATAGTGATTAGATTAACTGTTAATCCAATTTTAGGGTAACGTTTATACAGAAATACAAGTAAAACGATGACCAGTAAACATTGACTTTCGACTGAAACTGACCAAAAGTGACCTAAACACTGAGAGCGGTTGTTAAAGGGTTGAGACTAACATCTAATCAACAATTAACTTACTTGTTGATTAACGTTTTTGGCTTGATTGTTGGTTAGAAAAACAGTTTGCCAAAAGAAACCAAGACAAGAGTTTGAAGCCTTTTCTGCCATATTTAAAGGTCCAGAGGAGATCAAAGGTAGATTAACATGGATAATTAAAATGGTCGTGATTAAAACAGATAAACTGAAAAATTATCGGCAAAACAATTAACTAATTTTCTGATCAATTTGGAAACAATAGTTTAACTCACGAAAGCAATTTAGTAAAAGTGGAAACAATTAACTGTTTTAATGTTGTTTTTGGTCCGATTCGCTTCCAAGTTTCTAAAGAGCGACCAAATCCTCTTAATTAGAAAAGATGGTTAGTTAATTTGAATAAGTTGAGAAATTAATTGCTGATTATTACCCGTATGCGAATATCCCTTCAAAGTACCAATCAGAAAGTGTTATGGAAAATATCAAATTATCATCGAGTTGTAATTGACTTTTATAAGGAAAATCTGAAAGCAAAAAAGATTCAGTTCAGATGAAGGGACAATTCGAATGGTTAATTTAATTACTGAAAATTGTCACCGCATTCAGAAGTATTGGAACACTAATCATATGTGTGATTATTACGATGATATGAAGCATAGTTGAGTATTGTAATAAATTGATCATTTTATTAGAAGACCAATTCGGTTGGACAATTTGTCGATAACTTGATTTAAATGAGAGATGATAAAACCAATTTGATTGATCATAATTATCAGTCTCATTGTTGTTGTTGTTATTTAGTTTTGATGATTTGTATTCCAAGATATTGGCGACCAATACAGTTGAGATTATTACAATTAGTAAGACTCTGGAATGAGGATTTTAATTGAGTTTAATTAGGTTAATAGACTTCAGTTGATGATGTATTAGGTTTTTCAGAACTGAAAAATAAAAAATACTTACAAACATAATTTCTGTAAAATTGGAGCTTTGATTAGTTTATCAACGAAAGTTTCATTGACTAAACAATGATCAACACTAAATAGATCCCAATCATATGGTTTAAGAGCTGAAAATTATCAATTAATTAGTAAATTGTTAGTTGTTATTAATTTGAATGAATACTTACCATTAGAAGCGATGATTTGTAAATCATTTGATGAGCAATCAGAAGGCAAACAAAATCCAATCTTGAAACAAGCTCCATATTCACATGAGATCAATTTCTTTGAAGTGAAAATATTGTCACTCAAGTTAATTGTTTTATTATTTGGTAGAAATGAAGTCAAACAATAAGAAGCAAGTTGATTGTTTCCATCATAATTAATCCAATTTAATTGTTTACATTGATCAATATTACCAAAAGCCAAATAACCATAACCAGAAAAATCATCAGGTATTGAACCAGAAGCTTCAAACACTAATTCAATTATCAAATGATTAAATCAATCAAAGTTATGATTATTGTCATGATAACAGAAACATGTTGATTAGTTAATTGTAACTGTTACTTACATTTAATTGGCCAATCTTGACCTTCACTCATTGATTGATTTACATAATTCAAACTCAATTTACACTCTTTGGTTACATTTTGATTAACTTTAAAATCATTAGAATCAACATATTCCCATAGGATATTAGTAAATCCAGTTCTAATTAGATGAGGCTGTTTAATTATCCAATTATTTGAAGATGATACTCTTGATATAGAGGCTACTAAGGTAACTAATAATTTAATTAAATTCATCTCTCATCAGGAAAATACAATTTGATTTCGCAAAAGCCTACAATCAACGTGAATACAATTCCAGCCAACAAACAAATCACACAAATTTTAATGAGAAATTAATTGTCCCAACTTTCTAGACAATATAAAATTCATAAAGATAAAAATCCAGGAACTAATAATAAATTTCAAGTTGTAATTTCTTAGAATTTATAATTTTAATTTTAACTAAAATTCATTTCGATTATCCTTAAGTTGATGATTATCATCGGACATTTAATAGCAATCAAACGAAAAATTATAAAACAATTTAGCCAATTAAAAAATCGTTATCAAATGTTAATGACATAAATATGTAGGAACAATTAGTTGATTGTCATCTCTCTTTAACTTGATTACTTACAATTGTTAATAATAGACCATCAATTAAAAAGTAAAAAATAAACAACTAACGATAAAAAAAACTTACTAGAATCAACGAAACAAGGTTATCAAGTTTATCAAGTTCAATTCAGATAAAATTAATCAACTAATCAAAACGAAAATGATTAATAACATTTTCCATTCAGTATAACAATTAACTCATCATATTCACTATCAAACACTTTGATTACAGGAAAAACCTTTCATAAAGTGCAAAAAACTGGCTCAAAACTATTCATGATACAAATTGTGAAACAGAATCAATCAAATTACTCAATTTTTAAACAATTAGCTAATTATTCAATCACACAATTAACAGTTGATTACATTATCTAACTCAAATTAACCGCGACTTTGCTAATCCATAAAATCATTCGGTTGCTAGGCAACCATAAAGTGCCCTCTATAGGAAAACAAGTTGACTAATTTTATTGAGATTTTGTTTTCTAAAAATCAAAACAAATTGTTAATTAAGATGTTTCTTTTTGTCCTTTTGATCAATGATTGATAAACTTTAATTAATATAAGTGTTAATATAGGTTGGACCAGACGCCTTGAGAAAATTATAATGATAACTCGAAGTCGCCGAGCTGCTTTAAATTCATCTTCTAAATCATCTTCATCTTCAAATTCATCTTTCAACTCACCATCATCAACATCTAAACATAACAATAATATCAACAATAATAATGTTATTCTCAATAATCCTGATACAATCAATGGAATTGGTTTAAATTTTGATCATTGTAACAATAGTATTTTAAGACGATCATCAAGAAGATTAACTACCAGTACCAATGAAAATTTTACCGGTTTAGTTAGTCATGATCAACAACCACCACCAAATGGTAATACAATTGAAGATATTGTTAAAGATGTTGTTGGAAATATTGTTGATTATGTTTCGGAACCAGGATTAAAAGAATCGTTATCTTCAGCTGATTGTCCGGCATCTTTTTCAAACAATATAACTACAGGAATACAATCAAAAGATTTATCTTCTAGTTTTCTTCATTGTAACGAAAGTTCAATCTTCAATCAGCAATCATCTCCATCATCTAATAGTTATTATCCTGGTAATGTTGATTGTAATGAATTTGATGAAAGTGATTCTTGTAATCAAATTGAAGCAATTACATGTGAGGTATTGGTTTTGGTAAGTTAACATTGGATTAAATTAGAAAAGAAAAGTCAATGTGGTAAATGGTTTTTTTTTCTAATTTTATTTTCTATTTCTCTTTCTCTAGATGTTGATATGTCCGAAGATGATTGTGGACGATGTCCAGTTTGCGGACTTTATGGTAGACTTGGTTTCGAAGGTCATTTAGGTGATAGATTGGGAAAAGTCTGTTCCAAAACTTGTGTTGATAAATTACAAATCAATGGAAAAGCTTGTGTATGTGTCGCTTGTGGTAAACGTATTGCCTCAGATTCTCAAGGATATTTGGCAAATTTTGGAGCTGAAAGGTCAACCCTTTGCTCGGAAGAGTGTTTACTTAAATTTGAGAGAGAAAATGAGCCTTTGCAAAAATGTTACAGTTGTAAAAAAGAAATTCAATCAAAAGAAGATGGAAATCTATCAATCTTCTATTGGCAAACAATGGAATTTTGTTCTCCCGAATGTATTGAAAATTTGCAACAATTTTGGGGTAAAAAGTGTGCTAATTGTGATTGTCCGGTTCCCCAACAATCACTGGGAAAATATTCTGTCCGATTTGGAAATGTAATTAAACAATTTTGTCATGGTTCGTGTCTTGAGCAATACAAGAAAGCAGTTAAAGTTTGTGCATATTGTCAAGTTAATTTATCCGGTAAGTTAATTTCTTTTGTCGATTCTAATTTTCAATTTGATTCTTCAATTACAATTTTCCTATTTCTTTCATTCTCTTCTTCAGGCTGCATGTCAACTTGTACTTCGGTCACCGGAAGCTCCAGTACTAAGCGTATTCGTGAATTTTGTGATCCCATTTGCCGATCACATTATCTTCAAATGGTTTCACTTCGGAACAGTTCAACGAGTAACATTGGTAACGGTGAAGGTGCTTTTTCCAGTCCCGCTGTTCAATGTTGCCAATGTTCCCGAATAGTTGAGAAAAGTAGTTGCCTTGATGTTATTTTTCGAGGTAGAAAATTTCTCATCTGTAGTACTTTCTGTCTTTCCGCTTTCAAATTTTCTTTCGATGTAACCAAAATAATCTGTGAAAGTTGTTCCAAATATGGTTGGTCCTCAAGATCGGCAAATATACTCCATTATTCGGGATTCACGAAAATCTTCTGCTCACGGAAATGTCTTCAAATGCATGTTCTCAAAATCCGTCGAATTCAATCATGTTTAACCTGCAACGTGAAAAAGTATAACTTTGACCTGGTGGAAAAATATGATTCCATCTCGGGTGATTCGAAACTTTTCTGTTCAACCTTTTGTTATTCCGCATTTGAACATTACGAATCTCAATCAAAGGTTAAAGACTCTAAATCTTTCTGCGATTGGTGTAGGAAACTTGCACGATTACCATTTCATATTCCCTCCCCTGAGAAAACAGTTAGAAATTTTTGTACATATTCTTGTGTTCTTGCTCATCAACGTCACGAATCATCTAGTGGACAATTTGGTTTTGACAATATGATCCATCCAAGATTAAACCAACATGCAACCAAATCAACTATCCCAACCAGTGATTCAACCTTTAAACAACCTGGGACCAGCTCTTCAATTGATTATCGTCAATCACAATTAAACTTGGATAATAGATTATCAAAGTCAAATTGTGGTTCCGATCTGATGAGATCAACGGGTTTTCCATCTTCATCCCAATCACCCCCAGTTCCAGCACCTTCACTACCATCATCACCCACTCTATCACCCTCAAGATCATCATCATCATCATCATCCTTTTCCCCATCTTTACCATTTGTATCATCTTTTTCATCTAATACAATCAACGGTCTACAACGTTCATACCCAACAAGGTCAAAAACATTATTAAAACATGATGGTAACGGTACTTCATCAGCAACCTCATCAACAAGACCTTTAACTCACCATGATCATAATTTAAACACCAAATCAACTGTTCCATCCCCATTTTTTAATAACAATAATTTAAGTAAGAAAGGTGATAATCGTTACAATTCAAATGATTTATCATCTTCAACCGGATTACAATCACCATCAACATCTACCAATCATAAAAATTTGGGACTTTCATCACCATACATTTTAGATGCTTCCTCTGTAGTTGGTAATGTTGCCGATAAGTCAACAATGTGGCAACCCTCACGAAGGTCAAAGGCAACGCTTTGCCGACCCGTTAGAAAAAGTTGTCACACTCAAACCGATGTTTTAAGTCAAAATTGTCCAACAACAACACCGAGCACTATTGATGAAAATGGACCAGATGATAAGGCAACTAAATATATTCCAGTTCCAATATTTGTACCATTTTTTGTCCCAATACCAATTCCTGTTCCCATTGGAATGGCTTCGTTATTTCCCCTTCCTTTACCAACTCCAATTCCTTTTGGATTCCCAATAGATTCACGATTAACATCAAACAAATCAAATGAATCTATTGATAATGATGAAATTTCTGATGATCATGAAAATCTTCTTAAAGATGATGTCAAGTCCCAGCAACAGTCGTCACCATCTCCATGTCCATCTCCATCTTCACCTCACTCTCTACCAACAATAACTACGACAACAGAATTACCGAAAATAAACAATTCCAAAGAAACGAATCGTAAACGATCAAGGACCTCTAACAGGTCACATTCCGTTGATTCCGTTGAAATCAAAGCCGATAAATTGTCAAGTGAATATCAACAAACAACCAAAACAAATGACTCGAAAACTGTTAAACCCGTTAGACTTAAACGAAACGCTCAAGATTATCCTGATCGTAATAATTTCAATCAGAATACCCTAAGTGGTAATAACAATAATAATAACAATAATAATAACGATAATAATTGTGACGATAGTGATAACTGTTCAAATACCTCTTCATCTGATGACCGAGAGAAGACAAAAAGACGAAGAGTGACCATATCAACACATGGATGACAAATTCGTTAATCACTTAATGGTTACTAAATTATTAACTAATTGGTTTCTAATTACATTTTGAGAACTGTTAAAATTTGTAAACTAATTTAAAGATCAATGTCTCTAGTCTCCAGGAGCTCGAACATCATAACTATCATATAAATTATGTTCCCAAGTTAAATTATCTCTGACTGAGATGAATTAAATTAAATTGTAAAAGCCTTTTTTTTCACTATTTCCCATTTTCCTCTCACAATCACCAAATCCAATTGAATTTAATTCAATCAAATCAATTGGTATCAATCATGAGCTTTTTCCCACTGTGACTATTGGTCATTTTAAATTAATCACTCGCCTGATGATGATTCACACTCATTAATTAATTATCTCTGTCATTTATTTAACTCATTTCCAAAATTGAGTTTTTCATTTATAAAATTTAAACACAACTAAACTTTGTAAACACAATTTAATTACAATCCTTGATTAATATTTAGTTGGTAAAAATTTAATTTGGACATTTAATTCAATATCTTTCACATTGATTATTTATTACAAACAATTTAATTTAGTTTTAATCAAAAACTAACGGAAATCAATAGTTATACAAATAATTTATCAACATCGAAATGAAATTTTTTGTCCAAAATAAGTTAATTGTTACAATTTACTTGATTGTAATTCAATCAAACAATAAAGTATCACTCTAAATGAAACTTTCCACTGATTAACCAATATTTTCACTGTTAATTGTAATATGAATCAAATCAATTGATTATTATCATTTACACAATCTTTTAATCACTCTAATAGTTAATCAAGATAATTAGTGACCTCCATCAAATGATTGGGAAATAATTGAAAATGAAACTTTGATTAGCACAAGTGAATACATTAAATTATATTGTGTAGTTAAGGTTACGATCAAATTTAATGATTAACCAGGAATAGCAATTGATGATAATGATGATGAAGATGAAGATGAGAAGAGTAAATTTTTAGGGCAATATTAACCCTCCGGGCAAATTGTTTATAACTGTAAATGTATCGATGTCTCAAATGATGAGAATCATTATCATCCTCATCATCTTAATCATCTTCATGATGGTCAGTCCCTCATCTCATTTGATGATGAAAAAAAAATGAAGGTTAAACTAAATACTAAAGAGATCATCATCCTTACAACTAGTTGATTGTAAATTGTATCACAACAATTTAGTAATTGTAGTTTTCATGTTTCACAATCAGTTGATTTACAATCAATTTCTAGTGAATGTTGTTTGTTAATTACATCCACTGGTCAAGTTTAATCTCGTGTCCAAGCGGATTTTCAATGGATTTAAATGTGTGATTCAATTTAAATGATTTAATTACTCGATCATCTGATAATTTATGACAATTTATATTTCAATTTTGAACCATTGGATTATATTTATCATCTTAATTTCTGACTCTTTGTTGTACATATAAAAAGTTAATTATGAAGTTCGGTGTATTCTTAATGATTTATTTACTTTCCAGTGTTTGTTTAATTATCCAAAGTGATGGAGCAATTAGAATTTCTAGAAGAAAATTAAAATTACTCAAAAAATTGGCGGTAATTTTGTTCCTTGGAAAGAATAGAAAAATTTACACTGTTCCATTTCCTCTTCCGTTACCATTACCGTAAGTAGAATTGATAAATAATCAAGAGAATGATTTAATTCATTGATTGATTAAAAATTCTAATCAACCAATGATCAGATTAATTGGTAACAATTTGTATCAGAATCTAGAACTTTAAAGTTAAAGGTTTAAATTGTTGTTCTAGTTAATGATTGACACTCGAAATCTTTAATCAATAGTTACCTTTGTGATTAAAGATCGGAGAGTTAATTGCTACCATTTGATTTGATTGATCACCTTGAAGAGTATGTTAATTGTTAGGTTTAGATAAAAATAACTATTAGATGATTTAAATTGTGATTAACGAAAATTTTTCCTTTCTTTGTGAAAGTGTAACTTGAATCAAAAAAAAAGGTATAATTTAAAAATAAATCAACAACCATTAACTAAATCAGTTGAAACTAATCAAAAACCTGAAATTCACAATCATCATCATCAAATTAGATGAACTACATTTAATTGAGGCTAAATTGTCTTCTACTAATTACAATTAAAAATAAAAAGTAAAACCAATAATAATATTTTTCCTCTTCTTTTTTTCATATCAAATGATATTCATCTCTTAATTAACTAAATGACTACTTGATTGTTGGAGAGACAATTGAATAATATGATGATCATTGACCATCATACTGACCACTTTCTCTACTAATTAACTTTATTCTAATCTAATTCTAAAGGGTAATTAACAAAGTACAACCGATTATTTATCGACAACGAGTTCCTTATCCGGTCGAGGTTCCAGTTCCGGTTCCTTATGCTGAACCAGTTCCGTATCCAGTTGAAGTACCAATTGATGACCATCCAGTTGACCGTCCATATGATGATTATTCAGATGAAAGTGATGCAGATGACATGATGGAGACCAGAGGTCATCAAAGTTACGGTGGTCGACCAGTTAATTACAATTCAAATTACAATCGTTACAATAACAATTATCCTCATCGTCGCAATACTGTTGCCGCTTCAACACCTTCATCAACCTTGACCACAATCAACAACAATCAGCCCAACAGATATTATCAACAACAACAACAACAACCGCAACAGTATAATGGTCAATATAATAACAATCAAAATCGATACAATCAATACAATCAATACAATCAACAATCAAATCAAATGAACAAAAGATATTAGCTGATGACCAAGAATTAACCATTTCTATTTATTGATCTACTTATATATTTATCATTTTCTTCATTCCAATAAAAGAAACAAATTAACTTGATTAAACAAGAAGAAAATAAATTGTATCTCTTAACCTTTGTGCGCTCTGATTATTATTATTAGTAAATTGATCAACTTTTATTTAGAAAATTTGATCGAAAAGTTCGTTAACCAAACGCTAGATGGCGACACAGAGAAAGAAAATTTTCTTTTCTATTAATTTTATTAATTTGTTTTCCTTTAATTTTGGTCTTTCAATTTTTAATTGTTTTCGGTTTGATTTCTTCAATTTTTTAATAATTCTAATTGTTGTTACAAAGACAATTGTGACAATGGAATTTGATTTATTCTCTTTGGTAAAACAACAATACTTTCGGAGAGTATTTCTTAACATGTTTACATTTCTTCACTTATTGTTGACTTTTGACTAATTGTGATTGTTGTTGTTTGGTGATTTCGGCCTACAATTTAACAATGATTGTCAAATTGATTGGCAATTTAGTGGTCACATTAAGTATAAGGTGGTTGATTGATTAATGTTGATTGTGAATCTCTATTACTTGATCACCAGGATTTAATTGTGTCTTTGAAAATATTGTTTTAATCCTTGAGATTTATATGGTTACCGGTTGGACATGATGATTGGTGTTATTTCATCACAATAAATTGGATTAAATTTTGACAATTTTGCTTTTAATTTGGTGTTTTCCATCACTTCAACAATTTAATGGATAATAATCCTGAAGACCAGCAAAAGGATAATGATGAGGATAAGGATTCTCAACATGAAAGATTAAGACAAAGATTAATATCTAAACGGCCTTCTGATAATCATCAATGTACCATTTGTCTTAATCCAATTCGTGATCTATCATTTGCCGATTGTTGTTTACATCCATTCTGCCGTTCATGTATCATTGAATGGTCAAAAAGGTCAAACAATTGTCCTGTTTGTCGAACCACTTTCAATAACGTATTGACCAATATTCAACCTGATTCCAATCATGATTCTATTCCAATTGAACCGCCACCAGAAATGAATGGACCTGTTCCCTTTATCAATATTGTTCGAGACATTATGGTCTCTCCCGATGGCCGAAGTACAGTGGTCAGAACACGGGTTATCAACGAAGAAGGTACAACCGAAATAACGGAAGTCAGAGGAACCGGAAGACAATCACCATTGGCCTCGATTGGTCCCAACCCTTCATCTACCAACGAAGGACTTAGTCGTATGTTTTTTTTGCGATTTTCTCACAATTCAAATCGATAAACTAAAAATGATTTGACGATCTTTTACATTTTTTTTATCTTAGGATTTATCGGTAATCTATCGGCGGCACCACGAGAACAACAACAGTCAGCAGTCGAAACCGATGAAGTAGATCGATTCATGGGATTATTATTTCGGAGTTTATTGTCTCCTGAACCTTTATCTGCTGTTTCTTTCGCTGAGAACCCAGCGCAGGCTCGAATAACCCGAATGAATAGCCCTGGATCAGTTTCATCAGTTCGAATGGGCAATCAACCTCGTCGTCCAGTACCCTTTCCAAACGTTCGTCCATCATTTCGTCCTCGAGGTCAGCATCACGCGAAAACTCATCCACCAATGTTTCCACGAGTACCAAAATCAGTTTCACCAGCGATGATTAACCGATCAAAACAAACGCACAAAATTATACCTCAAGAATCGTTGGCCACAGTGAAAACCCTTCCAGCCCAATTATCGACTCAACATTCAACATCACCAAAAAGTTCCCTATTCTCATTACCACCACCACAACAACACCAACCGAAATCAATGTCCATCGGTTTAACCAAATCCCGATTCTCAAAAAGTCTTACCCAAGACCAAAGTCGATCCAATGAAGAAGATCAACAACAAGGCCAATACCAACAACGATCCCGACGAATCTTCGGAAAAAATGTTCCCAAATCGAAAGATGAACAATCTGAGAACAAAAAACCACCCAAACCCTCATAAGATTAATTATCATTCAACTAAATTAACCTCTCCTAATAATCAACCAAACAAACAAATCCACCCACCAACCCCTACACAAAACCCACCATCCTCTTAAAATTCAAGCCCAATCCTTAATCATCATCATCATCATCATCACTAGTTGCAATTAATTTGTCACCAATAGGAAACTAATGCCAACCATAGTTAACAATTAACAAGTCAACAATCAAGGAGAAGCAAAAAAAAACTATCACAATATCAGAATAATGATACAATACCAGTGACTGATTTTCTTGAATGAGAAAACAAAATCAGTAGTTTAATAGTTTAAACAGAATCAAGAAAGAATGACAATTAACAGTAACAACACCATGATGATGATAATGATAACTTTCCAAGTGATATGATATTTTTTCCACCTTCCCACTCACCCACCTTGAAGAAAAAAAAACACTCCACTTACTATAAATTGAGAAAAAAAGAGCATTAAATTGTTATTTTCATGGACTAATGATTCCTATGTTATAATAATTGTCACCCTGTTTGGAAGTGCTTTTGTTATCCAGTCCATGTTTGCAATGAGTTTTCCAAAGACTTTTATCTTCATCTTCATCATCTCAATCTACTCACAACAATTGAGAGAGAGGGAGAGAGAGAGAGAGATGTTTATCTTGACGGAGAAAAAGATGTCAACAATTACAAGACAATCTAAATTGTTTACCACCAAGAGAATGAGAAAAAGAAAAATGTTTTTTAATTGTTGCCGTTGTTCTGGTAAAATGATTTGTAACTTATGAGTAACACAATGTTACAGATAATCTGTTAATCTGTTAATCCACCTGATTCATTTATCACCTTAAATTCAAAATTACATGAAGAGTTTTCACTTTTGAATCAATCAAAAAACAAAAAATTGATTGTGATCAAGGAAACGCGAGAAAAAAAAAGTTCAATCAGTTCCCAGATGATTAAAATCAGATTGATTGATTTCTAATAATAAATCACGAAAATGACAACAAATAACCACACACCTAATAATCTTAATCCAATAACAATAAATTAAGATGATTTCCAATCAATTTCATTGAAAACGAAGAAGAAAAAAATGTCAAAATGTAAACATTGAAGAAAAAGCAAAATTGGATTAGCAGAGAGGCAGAATTTTTTTTCTCCACCTAAAGAAAAACAGTTAACCGATATAATTAAACAGGAACCACAATTGATGATGATGAACATTATGAGAATAAGCAGATGAAGAAGATGATTAGCCAGTGGTCAGTTGCAATTGAAAAGGTATAACCGGAAAGAGAGAAGATGAAGAAATGATTCTTGAGAAACAAGGAAATCATGTTGATCATGATGATCATGGTAAAGGGTCAGAAGAAGAAAAGTTTCAAGTTCACAATCAGAATAACAAAATCATGGTGATGATGAAGAAGAAGAAGATGAAGATAAAAAAAAAGAAAGAGAAAAAGAAAGAGAACTAATAACTTACCTTTTTTTCTATTACCATGAAAGTCCAAGAGAAATGGTCGCTCGTTAGGCCTTGGCTTCAGCTCAGAACAAAGTCTAAGCCGAGAAAAACAGGTTAGTCTTTTTACTGGTTTTCCATTCTCTCTCTTTTCCCTCTTCTCTTTTAATTCCCTATCTTCCATCTTCTTCTTTCTCTCTCTCTCTTTATCATCATCATCATCATGAGAGAGTATTAGACTAGCCAGAAGAAGAAGCGAATTGCCCTGACAAGTCATTAGAAAAAACGTCTGTTCTTTTTGGAGAAAATTTTTTCTTCTATTCTCTTTACCTTTTTTTTTTCTTCTTCTTCTTCATCTTCTTACCTTTCTGATTATTGTTTCAAATTCATTTTGATTTGGTGATCATCATGGTGACAATTTACTCTCATCTATCAACAATCAACTGTTAATTGAGTGACACAAACAAGTTGAGAAAATTATATAAGAGAGAACTTTAGTTTTCTCCTATTCTTTTTTCGCCATCATTGTTTTCTCTTTTCTTCTATTTCTTTGTGATTAAGTTTTTGTTTCTCTTCTTCATCATCATGGTGATTATTGATTCTTTTTATTTATTTTATTCTTTTAATCAATTCAATTTATTTATATTCTATTCTAATTAGTTAAATCAACCAATGACCTCACTCTTTTAATCTCTTTTTCTCTCTCTCTCTCTCCTTTATCCCATTTCTTGTATTTCAGTTCTTATCCATCAACAGGTAACAACAAAAACAACAACAAAATCAAAGAAACTTGAAGCCGGTCAATTAATTATTCAACCATTTTCTTTTGGATTACCTGTTCTTCATCTAATTTAGTGTATTCATGTGTGATGGTTAATTTAATCTCTAATCTATCCTGTTCTTATCGGATCAATATCACCATCATGTTATGAATAATGTTAATCTTATTAATCTATCCCGATGTCATTTGATTTCCATCACATTTCACAAACACCGTTTACATATTCATCTTAATCTCTCTCTCTCTCTTTCTCTCTCTTTTAAGATTTAAATTCTCCCTGTGTCTTAATTTGATTCATTTTCTACTGTTGTTAACTTAATTCCAATTGCTAATTCCAATCCCACCCTCTATCTATCAAATGGAAAGAACTAAAAGAATCGCTGCTTTCATAACCTTTTTCATATGTATCATCGCTCTTGCCCTTTTAACTGGTTCACTCACTACCAACAAATGGATTACCTCTAAACCAGAAAGGATTAGATTAAATAATGTTCCTGATCACATTCGTAATCAAAGTGTTCAAAGTGACGAGAGAAAGTTCAAAGGTGATATTCATTTTGGACTTTTCCATGGAACCAAAATTCTAAATTATGGTTTCGGTGATAGAACCAATTCCATTTGGAGTAAGTCATTTTCTTTAACATTATTATAATACACATCCATCCACCTTTTCCTATTGTCTTTAATTTCCATACAATTTACCTATTATAATACCTTTAATTAGTCTCATCATCATTCTTATCTTCATAAACATCACCAACTTAATCATTAGAGTTTTTAATTATACAAAAAAAAGAAATAGAAAGACAAATTAAGGGCGTTATCCATTTAATTCATTCCTCTTTTGACATTGTATGAAGTTGATTAAAGTAGTAGTAGTTTGATGAATAATCATCAGCAACTAGAATCAAAGGTCTTGTTGACAATTGTAACAATCAACGACAAATAAATAAGTCCAAACAATTAGATCAACAATCAACAAGTAAACCGAAAAAAAGACAATGACACAAAAGAGGGAAAATTCATTTTCAAGATTAGCCTTAAATCCAATTTGTTGAATCATTTTCTTAATCATAGTCGCTCTCTTGTTCTAATTACAAAAAGAAAATAATTAATCTTGTTCTATATATTTTTTTCCCTATTCTTTTACATGATAACTCCCCTGGTCCACCAAGTTAAAGAAGAGCTGATGAAAAATCCGAGCTTAATGCCCTTCGGCTTATGGTTGTTTACTATTCTCTCCGTAGCCATCGCCATGTTATTTGGACTGGTCAGTTTAATCTTCTCGATAATTAATACAGTTATCACACCTATTGAAGTGATAACTGGACTTCGAGGGCTACTCCTTTGGAATGGATTTGGTGGTAAGTTTAATTGTTCAACTTTTCAATCATCTCTACCTAATGATGATACCAGTTAATGATGATGATGACAATTGAAAATGAATGGGTTGATAATGATGATTAAAAAAAAATTTAGCTTTAAATTTGTAGGAGCAGAAAAAAAAAGTTCATTTTCATGTTGATTCAATTCAATTTAATAGTCACAATTAAAATTATTATATCATAATAATAACAGTTAAACTTTAAATGTTCATTGTAAATAATGAGCTTGTTTATTGTCAGCGATTAATTTGATTTCTTCAAGATATTTGATTGTCGTAAACTATAAACAGAATCAAATTAATGTGTTTTTCATTCCAATTAACTTCTGGATTCTCAGTAAATTGTTCACAATTAATTTCATGCTTAGTCAAATAATTGTTAAAAACTATCAATTATCTTTCAAGTCCAGTTAACCGTTAATTTAGATTATCATCATCAACAACAACAAAAAAATCATCATCTTAACAATCAATTTTTTATTCAATCTCTCAATGAATTAACACCTTATATTGATATTATCATTATCCAACAATGAATAGTTAATTGTGACTTATATACAGATTAGTTTGCAAATTGTTGGAATTCAATTACAATTGAACAATCTAAATTATACAAAGTTAAATTGTCTGTTTAAGTTTATCCATTTAATTTAAACACAGTGAAATCTATTCATAAAGTAGTAGAGAAAAAAAAATTCCCATAATTATCATGATAATCTATCGTTCTGAATGGTCAACCGAATCCTCTTTTAATGGTCCAGTTGAGTACTTTTACTGAATCAAGTACCTTAGGTATTTCTTTCATTGTTATTACACAAGAGACATTTTTTTTCTCACAGATAATCCTCTCTTTTATCCACTCTCTTACCTGGTCACCTATAAGATTAACTGGTTATCTTATCATCTCCCTTTTCTCACATACATTTTGTCATCTATGAGAAAGCCAACTGACCAGTTCTATTTATATTCATATATATAAAACTCATAGATTTATATCACTATTGGCACTTTGAGTCCAAAAAAGAAACGCTTTTGTTATCATGAGAGTTTTTTTAATCTATTGAAATGAAACCGTTTTCTTACATTTTCACCAATCAATTACTATCAGCACGATATTATTATTATTACATTGGCTCATCCATCATCTTGATTTGTTGTTGTTGTTTTATTATATCTTCTCACTCTCTGTTTGGGGTCACTATTGGTCACTTTATCTTGCTACTCATCTATCAGGTCAGTTTGTAGCGATATCAGTAAGGGAAAAGTTAATTACTTTACCTGAACTTTTTGTTTCCTTTTCTAGGTTATCTATTTTCTCAGAATCAATCACTTTTTTAAGATGGAAATGATTCCTTGATTATTATCAATTTTATTACCATTAATTAATTTTCTCTCAAACTTTAATTGTTGATTTACAAAATTACCAACAAAAAAAGATGATTGGTTTTTACTTTGTTGTGAACGGAAGTAACTTGGAAATTGATTATTTATTATTAATAATTTACTTCCTGTCACAATTTCTCTGCTTAATTTGTAATTACTTTGGACAATTAAATTTTCCCCTCCCTGTTAATTGTTTATTTTTAATGTTCCACCGGCGTTTATTCAGCTGATTACTAAATTACTACCAATGGTTAAGTGTCAAACAATTAACCTAATTGTTGTTTTGTATCAATTGGTTTGCATATTTTGTCAACTCGTAACAATCGTAGCTGATCATTTACTTGATTGTTTGTAAATTTAAATTAACTGCCATCATTGTCTAACTTTTAAAGAGTAACAATTATGTTAATTGTGATCAATTTGAAATTTACTTTTCATTTCCGTTGAGTTTATATTTAACTAATTTAAATTGTCCTCGTTTCATCTCATTGATTTACTATTTTGTGTTTTTCTTGATGATCAAAAGTTAATTGTACTTGATTTTCACACAATCAACTCACTAAATCATTGTAAATTGTTTACAAACCTTTTCAATTTAATCAATGTTAATACAATGAGTAAACTAAATCAAGTTAACTCTTAATTCAAATACGTTAATCATTTTTTTTACCATTATCATCATCAACTATTCAATGTTTCAGTTATTGAGATCAGTTTGATTACGCACAATTAGTTGATTGTTATTGTCATTTCAAGTTTATTAACAATTACACACAATAACAAAGATAAATTGTTGTTGATCACAATTGACAATCACTAACAATTAAATATAAAAGATTCGTGTCCAATGTTACTGAAGAGTTTGCAATTTTCAATAATAACCGATTGACACTTTTAACATTCACCATTTACAAATGATTAACAGTCTGACAATCAACCTCGAGGTCACAGATCATCAGTAGTGATTTATTTAACTGTGTAACAATTAACTTTTCAGGTACAGTTAATCATTAACTTTGACTTATTAACAGCAAAAAAAAGTTAATTGTGACTTTCAATTTATCAAAGTTACGCTTTGGTTAAGACTTGATTATTATTGTAATTAACTCCTTTTTTTGACACAATCAAGTTCAAATTGTGATTCTTATTTATTACCAAAGAAACCGAAAACAATTAAAACTAATTACAATTTAGTTTTGTGGTTAAATTATGTTGTACCAAACCGTAGCTAAATTGATTTGAAGCTCCAACAATTAACTGAACAAAAAACTGTTAATCAATTGGAATACAATTGCCAAATAATGTCAAGATAGTTTTTTAAATTGTTAACTTTTTAATAGAAAGCAATTTAATTAAAAATCATCTTGAAATTTAAATCAAGTTAAATTGTCAGTTATCTTGAGCTCTCTCTCTTCTCTCTTTACAATCATTAATTGTTAACAGCAATTAATTTAATTCACGCACTCAAAGTAAAATGGAATTAATTTTTTTGTTCAATTTTTCACCATCAATGATGAATTAACAATCAACTTCAATCATTGTAACACCAAGTGATCAATTGTGATTTGATTGTGATGGTTAATTTTATATTGATCAGCAATTTAATGTTAACAGGAGTGGTCAACCTGATCCATAGTCTGTCCATTGTTATGTAATTTTATTAAATGAATAGAAATGAAATTTTAATCACTTTGAGTTAATCACACGAGCCAGAATTTAATTATTTTCACTATGATAGAGTTAATCACAATTTAGATGGCAATTAAAAGGTATAATCAGTTCTTAGATTATGTTACTCAAGATTGGAGGTTACATTTGATGATTAACTTTGGATACGATTGACAAATCAGCTTAATTGTGGTTTAATAATCATCTTAAGGTCTCAAAAAATTTACCTCACTAATGATGTTAAATTGATTTTAATTGTGATTGTTTGAATTCAAATTAGTGTGACGATTCTAACAATTAGAAACCACAATGAAACAATTACCAACATTGAAATTAATCAATGAAAACTAATTTTTTTTCTTGATAATTAATCAAACCTAACAATTAGTTTGCTGACTATATTTCCCTCCATTTTTTTCATATAATCAACTTTGTCCTACAACAATTAACTATCAGCTTAAATATACGGCAAGTTAGTTGATTGTAAATGTACAATCAACGTTTAATACAACAGTTAATTCAGTTCGTAAATGATAATCAACTTTACCTTTCCAATGTTTAATTGATTAGTTGATAATTTGTGAAAACTTTTTCCATTGATTAGATTGATCGTTTTATCAATGAATTTATATAAAGGGATTGTTTCAATTGCTATTATTATCGTATAATAATTAAAACGATTGTTTGATTTTAATTGTAATTATAACCTAACCTATTATTGATATTCAACAATTAACCTTACCTTTTTTTCATACCAAACCTTGACCTAGTCCATCAATTCAATTTAAAACTGTTTATGATTGACAATCAACTTGAATCAAACTTTGGATAACAATTAATTGTTGATCCAATGTTGAATTTTGTCAAATTATAACTGATATAATATTGGAACAACAATTTGCATGATTCAGTATGTAAATTAAATTGTTCAGTAAATTATTCAGGTTGTTAACCTTAATCAGAAATTTTTACAACCATTACTTTCAAGCTTAATTTAATTAAATTCATTTAATCATAATTAAGCAACTTTACTGTTTACTAATCATTTTTATGCCTATTTATATGTGTTCATAATGCTGATTGTATTGTATTCAAATTTAATCAATCCAAAAGAGTAACAATTAACATTATCCTTACGTAATTGTCAACAATTGTTGGTTAAATTTGCTAAAAATTAGTTGTTAATTTGGTTTCATTTTGTATTAACTGTGTTGAGAGTAATCAAGACTGAATAATGAGTAATTATGATTATGATTAACTATTTTAGTCTCTAATTAACCTAATCCAGTTTCCAATCGATATGATTTTACATTGATTTCTAGTCTATTTCCATCACTATTCACTAATTGTCAACAATTGTACATTAATGAAGCTGTTGCTCAGTTATTGCTGATTTGATTGTTTTTTTTTGTTGGTTGATGTTTAATTAATGAAATAAGTTTAAAAAACTCAAGTTCAATTGATCAGATGATTGCCAGAAATTGAGATGATAATCCAAACAATTTGTATTGCAACAATTAACTCACCTTGTATTAACCATTTCAAAAGAGGCTTAATTGTTGTTGTAAAGTACAATTGACGTTGACTGATTTTCAATTAAAAAAAGAGACCTAAATTGATTATTTGATGTGTCTGTTTACAATTAAATTAAAATCAATCAACTGAAAAGATGATCAGTTAATTGTGTTAATCTCAGAATCAACAAGGATTGATCAACAACAATTTACAAAATGGACAATCAGCTTGACTGGTCAAGTGATCTTAACATGATTGGTTAATTATTAAACTAAATCACAATCAAGTAGCCAAAAACTAATCACATTTACTAGAAATTTGAATTAGAAATTGTAATAAAATCACTAATCATTGCTCTCTGATTTTCTTAATTGTTACAGTCCTTTTCTCGGGTGCCGCTTGTTTAAGTTGGTTCATACAATTTAGAAACAAATTAAGTCGTAACGTCCTGACACAAGAGGAAATTAACGATGGCTGGAGTTCAGAGAATCGCTCGAAATTGGGTTACTCGTATTATCTGGTTCTCGTTTCAATGGGACTGTTTTTCCTCAACAAATTCATCATCTTACTCGCTGTTAAAAGGCCACGTTTCCGTGGTAAAAGCCGACTCTCGACCGACAAAAATCCCGAAGGAGTTATTATGCTTTACTAATCAACAATCAATGTGACAATCAAACCTCATCAAAGGAAATCAACTGAAGACATTTTCTCCATCACTGATCATCTTCACACTTGAACAATTAACTCTGATTGTTATATATAAATATATCATTAATCAATCTCATCTTTTTAATTATCTTTTCCATAACTATTTCCTTAATCATGTAATTTTGTATCATATTATTAGATTAATCAAAGTAATCTGATTAATGTTTTATATATTATCATAAGTTGAAGGAAATGAATCTCATTGGAAAGTAAAAACGTTAATCATCACAATTAATTAACAAGGATTGTGACAATTACCATCACCTCATCAACAATCAAAGCTGTCAAAGACACTTGATTGTCTTGACAAAATTTTGTACAAGTTTGCAAACTTTTAAATCTACAATCAGATCAACTGGAATGATTAAGAAAAAAAATTTATCATCAACTGTTTCTGTTAATTTTTACAATTAACTAATCATTAATCAGCACCTAATAAGTTGCCAAATTTTTTTAAAACTCTCACAATCAATTTATTGTTTCTCACCACAACAATTAAAAAAATTAAATTGTCAATAAGACTCAATATCTTAATGAACTATCTCAAAAAAGTAAATTAAACAAATTTAATCAGTTAATTTAAATCGTTGTTTTTTATTAAATAATTAATTCAATTGCTAATCGTTGGCGTTGTAAAATTGAGACAAAAAAAGGAAGATTTAAACAATTAGTTAATTATATCGGAAGAAATTAAGTTTCTCAATCAACTAAGAATTTACAATTAATAATTTGGGAACAAATTAGTTTCCAATTGATATAATTTGATGATTACCAATCAAGTTGAACAATTAAAGGAAAACAAAAGATTAACTGTGATCATTTAGATGAATGATTTAGATTTAATTATTGATTTAATATTCATTTATAGAGTTAATTGTTTGGCCAGATAGTAGATATTGAGTTTGATTACATTGCACTGGAAATTGCTGTTAATTTGATTTTAAATTGTTGATATTTGAAATTAGCAATTAAAATTTGTCCATTCAATTGTTACATAAAAGGGAACGAGGTAAACAATTAATCATTTCAGTGGATTAACAATTAACTTTTTCATTTGATCTCAAGATCATCAGGGGAATCAATTGTAATAGTAATTAAATTGTGATAAGAAAAACTTTCTCGATAATCAATAGTAATCATAATTAGAATTGATAAATTGTAAGAGGTAATATTAAGGTAGAAAGATTTGGAAAATTTGATTTGATATGAAAAAGCTAAGTTACTCTGTTGTCTAATTAGTGGCTTGTTAATTAGGAAGAAGATGAGGAGGAGGATGATTAATATGAAAGAGACACTTTCTTTTCATTTGGAATATGATGATGATGAAGAAATGAGCAAAAAGATATTGAATAACAATGAAAGATGAGCAATAAGACGATGAGGATGAAAATTCATCTCATTACAAAAAAAAACTGTTCCAAATTTGATTGGTTTAAATTGTTGATTAACTTTTTGATTTAATTTGCGATGAACAATTGATTTAATCAGTCTAGTATTTTGATTATTCTTTTCCTTTGATCTTTAGCCTTGAGTCGAGTTGTTTCCAGTTCGTCTATTAGATAATCTCATTGACAATTTAACGATAATTTCAATTAGTAATATAGTAATTACGATTGCATTTCCAATTCCATACTTAATTGTTGTACTTTTACCAAACTACCATTGGCTTGATTGCTTGGCATTCATCTTGAACCATTTAAAGTATGATTGTTGTTTGATTGCTTGAATAGAGATCATGAAAAAATTGATAATAATAATAATAATAGCATCTAAAATTGAATAATTGTTATATATAATTTAAATTGTTGAGGTAAATTAAGATCGCCCAATTTTGTGCTGATTAACGGATAGTGCACTTATTGCCGTGGTTAATGAACGAAGATGCCGCTTATTAATTATTCCACAATTAAGTAAATCATCTTCTCGTAATGAAATAATATCCCATAGATTTTGATGTCCATTGTCTTTCAATTTCACCTCGTACATTGGTAATCCTAAAGATAGTAACCAAGTGTGAAGATTTTCATAGTTAGCCCAATCAGTTCCGGGTCCATTACAGGAATCGGCTAAAAAGTCATTAGGTATCTGAATATTTAAGAAAATAGAAAAAAAATCAAAATTAGTTTAATTGTTGACATAAAACAAAGTAGATAATTGTGAGACCTGAAACCGTTTCAGGTCACAATTAAAATCTTCATCTTCCATGGTTATCAATTATTGTACAATCAACAATCAAGAAAACTGTTTAGGTAACAAAGTGATAACCAGAGATAATTAATTATTGTGTTGGCTTATTAATAGAATATAATTTTCAACAATCTGTCAATATACTAACTCCTTGTCTTCCTGCTTTGTTTAACAGTGAACACAGTCTAATATAATCTAATGTTTCTGCGATATCATAAACATCCGTTTCCAATTCTTCCGCGTATCGTTGAACCAGAGCAGGGGGTATACCACAGAAACCAGACTAAATTGTGAACAATTAAGAAAGAAAAAAAGATTAATCAAATTAGTTATTGTCAATCAAGAACGAGATACATTCAAGATGTAAACAGCAATAATAATTACATTATCTGAATAAGGTTCAACTGTTAGATCAATGTTTTCATCGGATAAAATGTTTGAAAGTGCTTCAAAAAGTGCCGATGAAAGTGGCCTGGAATTGATCCCTAAACGTCCAGAATCTGATTGTGATTGATCAAAGGATGATGAACATGTTGTTATTGATGTGGTTGATGTTGTTGTTGTAGTTGTTGGCTGGGTTGTTATTGTTGATGAAATTGTTTTACGATGTTGTTGTTGTTGATCTGATGGATTAAGAAACTTTTTCAATCGCTTCTTGGTACAATGGATACTCCCGTGGAAACTTGATTCGTTATCAATTAGATTACTTGTTGAATCTGAATTAAATTTAAGATCGAAAACACTTTTCGAACTTGATAACATTTTACTTGGACCAATATCACCATAGCCTCGAACTGTTCGACTGGTTGTTTCATAGCCATGTTCGAGTTTTTTAACCAATGCATTGGTGTCCAAAGATTTCCGATGATCGTAAGAGGAGTATTTGTACTTTAAGTAAAGGTCATCGTCGAGAATATCGTTTCCGGATGCAGCTCGTTTAATATTATCACAAGTTTCAGATGACCGACGATCTCTTTTCTTACGTAATCGTAAGGGATGATTACTATTGTTGATTAAATTGTCACCACCAGTGGAAGCGGTTGCGGAACTAGAAGAGGTGGAAACGGAAATTGTTGTGGCAAAACTGTTTTTGGAATCATTTTTTGACGAACCAGATTTTAAGGTGATATTACATGTGGTGGGTATGGTAGATTCGCTACAATTAACAGTATCTTGACTAGATGAAGACTGTTGTTTCGTTTGAACATATGATGATGATGATGATGAGGAAGATGTTGTTTTTGTTGTTGAAGATGCGCTGTTTGTACACAACGATTTTTGTACACTTTCAAATGCTGGTGTTGTTGGTACTGATTGTGTATTGAGATGATCTAAATCATTGGAATGACCATTAACTGATAAGTTTGAAAAACTTGATTCCAATTTGTTAATTGTAACTGCTGATGATTTGTTGGAGTTATTTTGTCCAAATGATGAGGATGATGATGATGAATTATTGCCACCAGATGATTTGATCATCATGGAATCATTAGGAATTGTCTGAGCAAGTTTACGGACAATGGCAGCAATTGATAATATGGTTTGCTGATGCTCTGGACAAGTGATACCCACAATTTCAAGTACAGTTGAATCAGTAATATTCATGAGGGATCCAAGTGATGAGAAACCTTTATCCTTAAGTTTAGTCAGATAATCATAATTATCAAGACCAATTAATTTAAATAATCCTTTTAAACTATTATCAAGATAAATATTAACAGATGAGAGTAGATTACGAATGATATCTTCATAATGGCTAACCACAAATCCGGATTGATTAGAAGTGGAAATTGAACAATTATAATTATTATTATTATTATTACACGAATTAAGATTAGTGAAAACTGAAGATGTGGTTGAACCGGTGTTGTTACAATTATTAAGACAAGAAGATAGATTATCCGAGATGAGAAGATGAGTATTTGATATATCAGATTCATCTACTCCTCCAGCATCAATAACACCATTGGTAGAGGTAAGGGTCGTGGACGATGCTGAACAAAAAGACGAGCAAGTTGACCTCATTCCGTTTCCTAAGCTTGAGATTTCTTCGACATTGATGAATTTAAAATGTCCAATTTTACCGTTAGCCATTCCAATCCAAGTACCCGAATCATTTTTGGCGATAATATTAACCAAATCTCCTTTCTATTGAATCGATAACAAAAATGATGGCGAAAACGTATTAATTTAAAGGTAAATCAAAAGGTGAAATTAATTAAAATGATAAAGAGTAAAAATTTTAAAGTGGGAGAGATTAATAATATTGTGAGCAGAATTCAAGTAACAAGATTAACATCAAGAGCTAAATTGAGATTGAAATTAGTGTTTAATATAATCAATTAATTGTAACTCATTTTCCTCTTTTTTTCCTAACTAATTTACTAACTAATATGTAATCATTTTCATCCTCATCTTTATTTTTCACTCTCCGTACACACAAAAAAACTCAAAGCGAAAAAACTGATTCCAATTCAATTCCCCTGCAGGGTAATCAATTCAATAGCATAAATTAGGCTATTGATTGGAATAAATTTAGCATCAAATTTGTAGAAAGAAAAAAAAATTAAGATTAATCACTGAATAATACTATGAACTTTTTTCTCTCTCTCCCTTTCATCATCAAGGAAAAGTAATAGAGAGGAAAAAGAAACTCATTTCCACTTCATTCACATCATTTGGTTTCAGAAGCAGAAAAAAAAACTTTTACTTTTCAGGTAAGAAAAATAATAATACAATCACCTAACTAACTGTTATATTGTTGTTGATAGAAAACAAGATTTTTAAACTAAATTAAGCATCAACATGATGATGATAGTAAATAAATGTTTGTATTATTTATAGTTTACATGAAAACAAACCAAAAGAAATAGATGAATGATGAATGATGAACAGAAAAAAAAGAGATGAAGTTAAAAAAAGGTAAAGTTAACAACATAAATAGTAGGAAAAGCCAATTAACTTTTAAATGATTAGTTAATAATGATTATCGGAAGTTGTTAAATTGTCTTACCTTGAATACAAGAGCATCTTTATCGTATGGACAAGGGGTACAATCGGTTAATGCTACTCCTTGACCAATAAATGGACCTTTGAAAACTGAATATTCGTTGGCAAAATCGTTAACAGTACAAATTGAACTTCGATTGGAATCAGTTGACAGGGAACTCGTTTTTACACCTATTATTTTTGTTTTATAATAACATGATGATGATGATTAGAGGAAACAAATAGAAAAGAATAAGAAAATATTATTATTATTGGAATGAGAAAGATTCATCTTTTGTATAAAAAGTGATAATGATGATCAACATAATAGCAATTCACATGATGGATGATGATGATGGTGGTGGTTTAGGTGAAAGTGAATTAATAGTTGTGATTATTATTAAAATTGGAGAAAATTGAATGATAATCTAATGATGATTATTTCAATTGAATCAAATTCTATTCCTAGATAATATTAATGGATATTAACATGATATTAAATTATCGCTATTTGTTGATAAATAATAATAACTAATAGAAAACTATTAACACCAACAAAAGATTAACAATTTAATAACAATAAGAAAAATTAGTTTGAGAGAAAAATAGAAAAAAAAAATTTTCTTCTAAATCATCATCTTAATATTAGATAGAGATTAAAGATTAAGATGGGAAATCCTTTTAATCATAATAAGCTTATTATATGATAACTATTTTTGTTTCTCTCTCACACTCACAAAACAATCATCATCTTAATCACTATTTTTGGTAAATATTGAAAATTATTATAAACAATGTATTATATTAATCAAAGATATATAAGGATGAAGATGAAGAAACAATCAAATATTGATTCCAATCAAATAAAAAGTAATAAGATTATGTTTGTATTTGTAAATATCACAAATGATGCAGATGAGATGATGAGATGATCAAGATGATAATTATGGTGATAAAACTAAATGATTATTTTTCTTTAAGGTTGTTTACCTTTTTAGACAAATTTACAAACAGATGATTGAAAAAAACAATCTATTGACAGGTTAACCTAACTTGATAATCTTTCAGGAAAAAAAATCAACAGAAAAAGATGAACAATTTTGAAAAGGACTTTATCTTCATCTTCATCTTAAGTTATCATCATTTTCTGACCATCAAATCAGCGTTGGCGGGAGATGGAGAGAGAGAGAGGGAAACTTCAATCAATGTTTTCATGTAAAATCAGATGATGACCTGAGATCTGAAAGTCTTACACCAATTATTATCATTACAAGGGAGGGAAGTAAATAGAGATTGCGGAAAATGATGATAAATATGATAATATGATGATGATTATCGTCTCACTTGTCAAATAAGTGAATGAGAGAGAGAGAGAGAGAGAGATGGTGATAATTATGATGATAATAAAAGGGAAAGAAAATTTGAATGAGAGGGAGTTAAACAAATTGAAAGATTGTGAATACTTTTTGTGTATATTAATAGTTGATGAGAAATGGACAGGAAATGGTCAATAATATTTCCGCATCGAAATTCAAACTCATATTCATATTTGTCCGAAATTTCAAATATCCAAACATCTCAATCTCTCAATATGAGAAACACAAAAGGGTTGGGCAGTTTGAAAATCAGTTAATGATCATGATGGTCTTTTATTTGAAAACTTAATCAGCATCTGAAAGTAACAATCACCAATTCATTATAATTATCATCATCATCATCATCATGCTAATTGTAATCAAAAGTAAATATGAAACGAGAGCAAAGTTGAGGGTTAATAGTAACTTATTTTGTTTTTCATTCATTAATTTACTGATGAGCTGCAGATGAAAATTAAGATACTTAAAATTTAGATGATTAAGAAACTGATTTAACGAGAATTTAAATCATTTTCAAATCTCATTTAAAAAATAGGAGAGAGAGAGAGAGACAGATTGACATCGATAAGTAAAAACAAATACATCTTTTTGTATGGAAACCAAAGGATCAAGAAAGAGATGGAGTGATGAAAGATGATAAAGATGAAGATGAAAATTTTTTGACACATTAGCCTAATGAGAGCAAAGGATTATCAATCAAGACTATTAATTGCCTGGGGAAACGTAACAGAAATTGTATATTCTTGAGCTAATATATCATTATTAGCGATGATGATATTAAATAATCATCTTTTTTTTCACTATTATCATGATATCGTAAAAAAAAATTAGCTCAATTCTGTTGAAAAAATAATAACAGTTTTAAAAACAGATAGTTAATTATTCATCCAATCAGTTAATCATTTTTTTTCATCTTATTTTTGAACAGATACAATTTCATTGATATTAAATTGTATCAACGTAATTATATAATATGATAATATAATAATTTAGGTCTTTCAAATTAACACATTTAACTGATACACACTCGAAATTAAAGTGTATTAATAATAAAAACAGAAATGATAATAATGATTAACTAATAATAAGAAAACAAAAACAATTCCAGCAGCATGATAACCATTTTTTTTCAGCAAAAAAAAACATCGATTCAAAGTAAGATGAGCTCAGTTTCAGAATCTTCATCATGATTGAATAATGATAATAATTATAAAAATAAGTAATCATAATAATTAATTATATTATCATCGAAAGGGAAAAAAATGAAGAAAAGAATTTGTAAAATTTAGTAAATTGCATCACCTTCAGACGCCCAAAATTATCATCATGATGAAGTTCAACTGAAAGTATGAGTTTCTTTCAAATTGAGGATCATTTTGATTATGATGATGAAGATAATGATGATGATGGAGATGAAGATGCTTCTGCTGAGCTTGAAGAACGATTTAAAACTGATTAACATGAAATAATATCTTAACCCTCAAATTTTACCTTTCTTATTTTCACCCCTCAGGGTAAATTTGGAACCAAAGGTAAATACAATTAAGAATTAAGAAGAAGAAAAAAAACTGATAACCCAAATTTCCTTCAAGGTTTTCCCTCTGTCTGGATCTTCAAAGTGAATTAAACTAAATCATCCTGCTAATCGATATAATCTACTTTCATATCTTCACCTTTTAGCATCTTCATCTCTTAATTATCCTTTTTTCTTTCTTCTCAACTTATTAAATATAATCTCAATTCTTACTCTCTTTTTTTTTCTTAAATCACTTCTACTCTTTACCTACTTTTGTTTTGCTCACTGTATCTCTTTTCTTTCTTACTAATCATCATCAGAATACATGATAATATATTTATAAGATAAAATATTCATGATAATCATTAGCACCACCACTGCCACCAATAAGTATGTTATTAAGATTAATAATCAACTCAATCCATTACACTATCTACAGAATAAGGGATTAGGGATAATGATGCTAAGTGTGTTTGTGTTTGTGTGTGGGGGGAAGTTATTGATTACTGGTGTTTACTCAGATTAAATCAAAGTAGATACACTTTGATTGTTGATAAACTTACTCGAACCACATCCTGATTCACTGGTTGGTAAACTTTCATCGGAAGCGTAACGTCTTAATCTTGATACTGCTGATGAATGTAATGTATCACATATTAAGGTGGATTTGTTGTTGATATTGGTTGATGTTGTGTGAGATTCACAGGAAGATTTAAGATTATTTGATGTTCGGGTTGTTGGAATTGATGATTTAATTGTTGATCGTCCGTCATTTGATGATTCCAATGAATTTGTATTGAATGATGAGAAGCGCCTTTTAACATCTCGATAAAGATCTTTGGTCTTTGATACTAAATTGTCCGAATTAATGTAATCATGTCCTCTTGAACCATGACGAACTTGACTTTGAGACCTCTGTTGATAATTAGGAGAATAGAGAGAGAGAGAGAGAGAAATTCGATAATTAGAATAAAGCTAATAAAAGTACAATCGATGTCAAAGAAAATTATACTCACGGCAAATCGACGTATTTTATTCATTACAGTGTTGGATTTTGGCCGTTTCTCTGTTTGTCGCTCGTTAGCACCATAAGGAGATGGCGAGGTTGAAGTTGAAGAGGAACAATTATTCAACAATGATTCATAGTCAGTTGAACAATTAGAGTAATTGTAATCGGTTATGGCAGTGGAATCCATGTTTGATTGTAATTAAACAGAAAGAGAGAAGGTGATTAACAATCAAATGACAAAGATGATGAACAATAGGCAATCCAATCAAGCCTTTTTCTTTTAAAATCGTTAAAAATTGTAGTGTTTTTGTTTTATCTCCCTCTTACTGAGTAGCATAGACGCACGAACTTAACAATTGATACGCAGTAAGGACAAGAACAAATAGGGAGAAAAACAATGACAATCGATGAAGATTAGAAGATAAAAAGAGAATAGAATAAATAAGATGATATGGTGAGAATTTGGTTTAGAACACAAAACACAAATTCAATTGATTTCTCCTTTTTCCAATCGTCTTTGATTGTTACCCGTGTTGATACATTGTCAACACAATTGCACGTTTACACACCATCAATGTAACTTCTGTGTGAGATTTAAAACTGGTAAGTTAATTGTTTTTGAATAACAATAAAGAGACAAACAAATTTCAAGTGATTCAATCAATTGGTAGAGAGAGGGGATAGAAGGTGATGATTCGAGTTCTTTTGAAGACGTTTACTCTCTCGTTAGATTTCACATAAAAGAAAGAGAGAGATAGTCAATGGTGACAACTAATCACAGTAAAGATGATTATGGTTAATAAATCTTTCATGAGAGTCTAATCCGTTTATAATCACGTTTCGAATGGTTGATCCAAAGAAAGTCTGGAAGAGAAATGAATTTCCTTAGGATACACAATATATATTTTAGAATTGATCAAATATTTCCAATGGTAAATATATAACAACAATTTTAGAATAGTAACTGGAAATCAGGAATAAAAATCCAATGGAATATATATTTTGAATATTGGGTTGAGAAGATTCCGTTAAACCATTAACACCATGATAACATCAGAAAATATGGAGAGAGAGAGGAAGAGAGACACAGAGACAGAGTGGAAGATGGTTGATTCTTATATAGTTGACAATGTAGATAATTTTGATTCTGGTGGACTTGATATGGAAGAATCTGGTTCAGTATTTAAGAAAATCTAATTGGTGGAAGAAAAAAAAATAACAATGGTAGACAAAAAGGAAGGAAGATAGGGTTACACGAGAGAAAGAGAAAAGACGAATTAGAATAGAATAGAATACTCTATGGGAGAGAGAGAGAGAGAAATTCGATAATTAGAATAAAGCTAATAAAAGTACAATCGATGTCAAAGAAAATTATACTCACGGCAAATCGACGTATTTTATTCATTACAGTGTTGGATTTTGGCCGTTTCTCTGTTTGTCGCTCGTTAGCACCATAAGGAGATGGCGAGGTTGAAGTTGAAGAGGAACAATTATTCAACAATGATTCATAGTCAGTTGAACAATTAGAGTAATTGTAATCGGTTATGGCAGTGGAATCCATGTTTGATTGTAATTAAACAGAAAGAGAGAAGGTGATTAACAATCAAATGACAAAGATGATGAACAATAGGCAATCCAATCAAGCCTTTTTCTTTTAAAATCGTTAAAAATTGTAGTGTTTTTGTTTTATCTCCCTCTTACTGAGTAGCATAGACGCACGAACTTAACAATTGATACGCAGTAAGGACAAGAACAAATAGGGAGAAAAACAATGACAATCGATGAAGATTAGAAGATAAAAAGAGAATAGAATAAATAAGATGATATGGTGAGAATTTGGTTTAGAACACAAAACACAAATTCAATTGATTTCTCCTTTTTCCAATCGTCTTTGATTGTTACCCGTGTTGATACATTGTCAACACAATTGCACGTTTACACACCATCAATGTAACTTCTGTGTGAGATTTAAAACTGGTAAGTTAATTGTTTTTGAATAACAATAAAGAGACAAACAAATTTCAAGTGATTCAATCAATTGGTAGAGAGAGGATAGAAGGTGATGATTCGAGTTCTTTTGAAGACGTTTACTCTCGTTAGATTTCACATAAAAGAGAGAGAGAGATAGTCAATGGTGACAACTAATCACAGTAAAGATGATTATGGTTAATAAATCTTTCATGAGAGTCTAATCCGTTTATAATCACGTTTCGAATGGTTGATCCAAAGAAAGTCTGGAAGAGAAATGAATTTCCTTAGGATACACAATATATATTTTAGAATTGATAAAATATTTCCAATGGTAAATATATATAACAACAATTTTAGAATAGTAACTGGAAATCAGGAATAAAAATCCAATGGAATATATGTATTTTGAATATTGGGTTGAGAAGATTCCGTTAAACCATTAACACCATGATAACATCAGAAAATATGGAGAGAGAGAGGAAGAGAGACACAGAGACAGAGTGGAAGATGGTTGATTCTTATATAGTTGACAATGTAGATAATTTTGATTCTGGTGGACTTGATATGGAAGAATCTGGTTCAGTATTTAAGAAAATCTAATTGGTGGAAGAAAAAAATAACAATGGTAGACAAAAAGGAAGGAAGATAGGGTTACACGAGAGAAAGAGAAAAGACGAATTAGAATAGAATAGAATACTCTATGGGAGAGAGAGAGAGAGTAGAATAGAACACAGAAATGAAAAAAGAATATTAGAGATGAGGAAAAAAATGGAAGAAATCGATTAATGATGATCACAGAAAATTAATGGAATTAACGTTGAATTATGTTGATTGTCAATTTGAGAGAATTTTAATTCTTTTTGAGAGAATCAACATATTTAATGAGAAGCAGAAGAAGAGAGAAAATCAGAATGTGAGATGATAAAAAAGAGAGGAAGAGAAAGAGGTTAGAGAGTCTCGAATAGTGAAAACAAGAGCAGAATCAGGAGAACTCACATCAACCCAAGAAAGAGGAAGAAGATTAAACTGAAGATGAAGATGAACATGATGATGATGTTGAGAATTGAAAGATGAAGACAAGGGGAGAAAAAAAGAAAGAGAAAAGGAGAGAGAGAAAAAGAGAGAGATGAAGTAGGAGGAGGATGAAGATGAAACGATCAACACAAACACAGAAAATGAAAGAGAAACAGTAAAAGGGAGAGAGAGAGAAAAGTGAGTCAAAATAAGAGAGAAAATTTTGGAAAAGCGGGAAATTTGAGTTTAGTTTTTTTTCCAATTAAAAAAAAACTTTTTCTTTTCTCAATCAATATTTTTAATCGTTACACTGAATTAATCAGATTCAAAGCTTAATTGGTAATCAATCAAATATAGATTTCGATGTAGTGATGATCATTAGCTGATTTGGTTTTCTTCTGTTGTTTCAATTAAATGATTTAGTTTAATTTTTTTTTTCTCCAAATGATTAAAGTTTTTTATCTTTGATTGGAAACTAATCAAACCTTAATTGTTGTTTAACCAGCTATTTAATCAGTTGATTCATTTATCTAATCAAGATTATCAATTTTTCATTGATTTCGAGTATCATTTGTCTTTATGTGTCTCAAGTAATTAGTAAATTGCTGGATTAATTAGATGTTGGTAATAATGATAATCAATACAACTAATCAATCTGTTAATTGCTGTGATCATTTGTTTAGATATTTTTGTTAATCTAATTCAAGGTAATAACAATTAACAATCATCTCTCAACTTTAATCATCTTTTACTCTTAATTGTTGTTGATTAACACTTTTAGACTACAATTAGGATTATCATTGTGAGCATCAATTATATTATTATCCAAGATTCAAGATTAACCATTTGAAATTGTTAATTGTTAGTAATCAAATTGGTTAATCTTATAATTTACTATTAGAGGTCAATTTAGATGAGCTAAATTTTTTGTAATGATTATGATTAAAAAAATGATTTAATTGATGATCAGAATTAAATTAAATATCATCAAACTTTTTGTCGAAAAAAAAAGTTTGACCTTTTTATTTAAACGACCAATTCCTTAATTGTTGGACTTTAAATCTTGATTAAAACTTTAGATTTATGATTAATCACAACTGATTAGTATGATTATCATGAAATTAATGATGAGAAAATTGTGAGATTTTAATTTAATTTCATATTCGGTTAATTGTTTCATTAATTTTCCTGGTTAACAATTTCATTCAATTCCCACTCAAAACTTTTCCAAGTGTCTGTTGATTGTTAATTGTTTCAATTGATTGTTGATTATTGATTTTGTATTATAACAGGAAAAGGATCAAGAAATAAACATTTATAATACTAATTATCATCATCGACAACAATTAGCTTGAAAATTAACCAAAACTTTGAATCACATTTAATTAACAGCAATTAGGTGAGATATGATTGTCAATATTAAGAAAATCAATTTTAATTGTATTTAAATGTAATAAATAAATCAAACAATTTAGAGAAACAATTAACACTTTCATTAATTACCTTAATTAATATTGATAATTGTCTGTGATTATATTGATTGTTATTGTCTCACAATTGGAAACAATTTAATATTCAAAAAATTAAGTTACCGGATTTGAGTAATTAAATTTAATTGTTGTCAACAGTTTATCATAAATCATTTTCAATACAATTCAAATTACAATTCACAATTTCTGTCTCAACTATTGACAATCAAATTAATTATAAATAACAATTAGATTGTATAAATTAGATAATATTAGAACTGAATTAAAATTAACAATTTAAGTTGATTAAGTAACGAAAAACTGGAAAAATTTGTTCAAATTATCAGATTATCATGTTAATTGTTTAACCTTGATCAACTGATTAGCTGGTTAATACTAATTGTTGTTATTTGATTATTTCAACAATTTAGTTACAATATGAATTATTGTAACTAAATTGTTGCTGCTAAATCAACTTTAAACACTGACACTGGTTAAATCACTTGAGGACTTTAAACTAATTACAATCAACGTAATCATTGAACGAGAAAATGATTTCTTGTTTCAGTTGATTATGTTGATTAGCAAACAAGTAAAAACAACAATTAACTTTTCAACAATTTAAATTTCCTCTTTTTTTTCTTGGCTTGATAATCAGACAAAGTTAACAATCAAGAAGAGGAAGATTCATCGATTCTAATTGTGAAAACGAAACAACTAAATTAACTAAATTTACTTGATTCTGTCTTTTGTTTCTCTATCTATTTCTTTAATCATCTTCTTTAATCATCAATCAATCCTCGCTTGATTAACTAAATCAACTTGACAAAATCATCAAACTAACCTAATGAATATCAAGTTACCCAAGAAAACAAAAAGTTGAAACAATTAAAACCAGAATATTTGATTAAGAATCGAAATAATTAACAATGATTAATGTGATTACAATTAACATAGTTGAGAAACTTGATCACATTTAATCATGAACAATTTACAGCTAATTTTAAATTGTTGAATATTAATCAACTAAGTTTTGTTGTATTGACAGTGAGATTTAAATTGTTGCGGCTGATCGGGTTGACAATTAACTTTTTAATTGTCTTTACTTTGATTGTTTCAATGTGAATTAGGACAAATATAATGATCAACGGTAACAATTAAAATCGGAAGTGTTTATAATTAAATCATCAATAAGATGATCGTGTCTTCATATCTTATTAATTAACTTTAATTGTTGCCAAATCAATGAATGGTTTAATTTGATGATTTACTTAATCAAAAACCCTTAAGGTTACAAAGAGAGGAGAAAAGTTAATCACAATTAACTTTAAGATGATTAACAAATGATTGGTAATCAATTTAATCAAACACACCTAATATTTAATTGTCAATGTTTACAATTAAATTAAATTTTTTGCTTCTCAATATTGTAAAATGATGTTGATTAGTTTGATTGATATAAATAAAAATCATCATCCAAGTGATTAAAGTTAAACTTTGTAAATGATTAGTTTAATTGTTTATGAACAATTTTCTGGGTTAGATAATAAATTTACAATCAAAAACTAAACAATCAGCCCAATTGTTGCCCTAAATTGCCAATTAAATCAGTTTCAAAGTTAATGATAGTTAAATGTCAAAATTAATTTTAATCATCATCATTATATGATAATAATCAGTTGGAATTAGCTGAATACAACAATTAATATTATGATCAAAGTTAATCAACAATTAGTAGTTGAAAAAGTGAATCTAACTTTTTCCTACTGATCACAATTAACGATGATCAGTTAATGATTAGTTAAAAGTTATGATCGTTACCTTTACAATTTTCAATGTTAATCATAAAAACCAACAACAACAATTAAAGATAATTGTTAATTGTCAATGTTTTACTATTTCGGAAGTTCCTAAATTATTATAATTAACGAGCAATTTTTTATATTGATTAGTTGATTGTTAGCAATAAAGAGTTGCTCAGATTTATAATTGATAACAAGGGTGATCAGTTAATCACAATTAAGAAACAATCAAAAGCTAACAATCAATGTGTTCATAAAATTTTAAGAAACAAAACCCGAAAATAAAAAAAAAGTAACAATTAAATTAAATTAACAATCAATTTAAAAATTATTTGACAGATTAAGAGGTTTTTGATTGTGATTATGATTAAATAATCATTTACAATTAACAATCAAGACTTTCACTTGAAACCTGTTGGTGGTTTTGATAAATAATTAGTTTGATTAACTAACAAGAAACATCAACAATTAGAAAACAAAATTAAAAGCTTATTCATCCGTGATTTTAAACTTGTAAATGATTAAAAACAATTACAATTAACTACAACAATTAAAGGTAAACAACAAGCTAGAAACAATTTAGTATCACTTATTATCATATTAGTTGGAAAGTTTTAAATTGTTGCAGTTAATTAATACGGAAATTAACATGAATATCATGAATATCCAACTGACCAGATATTGTTGATTGTTGATTGTTGATTGTAATCATGATCCTAATCAACATGATTAAGTTGATTGTTTCCATTAATAGAGACTCGTATTGGGGAAAAATCCAGCGAAAATTTAATCTTCCATCTTAATCATTAATCATCTTTTGATTATTTAATAAGTTTTACTTTCAATTGAAAAGAGAAAGAAAGAATTAATTAATATAATATTAACAATTAAGACACAAAGTTAATTGTTTGGTTAGACAATTAACTAAATAATTCAATTGCGATTGTGTCATAAAAAAAGCAAATTTCAATTCATTGTATTAATAATATTGATTAATTTGTTGTTAATTTGATTGTGATTAAATTTTTGGGTGAAACCAAACCGACAACAACAATCAAATTGATTGTCAAACAATTTAAGTATCATTATCATAGTTGATTGAATAATTAATTGTGAAAGTTTTTTCTCAGTTTGTGAATATGTTGATTGGAAAAACTTTCAATGAAAAACAAATTGTTTACTTGACCAGAAATTGATTTGATTATATTGATTATCAATTTCAACTGTAATTATCATGATAATATAATCTTAATCATGATCGATTCTCTCTCCCTCTCCCTCTCCCGATAATTTATAATCTTATTATATAATTAATATGATTAATAAAAAATAAAAATAAGATTCAAATGATAGCCTTATGAATGACCTAAATTGAACTGACCTCTCACTGGATAACTCAAGGCCACTTTTAATGTGTCATTGAAAGTTGTCAAAGGGGGTTAGTTTTATCATCTTCATCATCTTCATCAAAATCAGCCGGTGAAACCCAATGGGGAGGATGAGAGAGAGAGATGATTATGATGATAATGATGGAGATTCAGTTGAAGAAACTTTTTCTTAATGGTCAACATCATTTTCATCTTAATCTGTTTTTATCCTTTTTTTGATTCCCATTTTTTCATGATGATTTTGAATGATGATGATAGAATTGGAGATGATAATGAAAGGGATACAAAAAGATGAAGGTGGATTGAAGAGAGAGAGAGAGAGAGAGAGATGTTCAGGATTGACCTCACGATGAAACTGGACATTGGTTTCCTTAAATACCTCCTGAAGATTTACAAGTTAATAAATTACAATTCAATATTAACAATGAAAACTTTCAGTTAATTGTTTAAAAATAATATGTTTTTATGGACAATCTATTCAAAGTAATGTCCAGTTAACAATAACATTAATATCAGGAAACTGATGATTGACCATTCACTCAATTTTCACGTTTAGCTCAATATTCAAGTGATAATGTTGATAATAATATTATCCTACAACTTATATCAAAATTGTAATAGTTGAAAGATAATAATAAAACCCAAGTAACAATCAGAATTGTGATTAAATCCAGTTAACAGTTAGAAATCATTAGACTGATATTGTCTTGATTAA